CTATCGGATCACGCAATGCTAAAATTAAGTGTGCTCTTTCATATCATTATAAGCGGAATAAATGCGGCTTATTAATGCTCCACTTTCGGTGATTACAGTCATTTGCAATTCTCGTGACTAGCACTATTTGTTGTGCCATTGCTTTAATAACTATTTTAAAACATATTACAATCCCGTCACCACAGTCAGTGTCATTTTTAGATTGATGTGAAATACAAATCTTCATTTTAACAGTTTTTTGTAAAGCGAATTCGCTAAATCCTTCAAGTCAACGCCAGCCTAGATGTTGGCTTGTGGCTGTCAAAGCACAGGAGTCAGGAGGGAGAATACTGGAGCTACTGCCATCTGTGACGTGGTCATGGGGCTAGATTTGATACCCGAGGACGGAGCAACACGTGCAGTAAAGTATAAAATTTTGCCAGCTAATGTTGTATTATGTATTCTTAAAGAGCAACAAATATTTTTCCACAATATTCAATTCAAAGAAATCTCTAGAATTATCTTTTCTATCACTGTGTGGGTCATTAAAAAAAGGGAATCAGTCTTGTAGGAGGAAATATGCGATCTTGACTACGTAGGCACTTCAGACGCTATGGTTTCTGCCATCATCATCTACTTCTAAAAGTTTTCTTCTCAGAGTGTCTTCGACGTTATGAATCAGAAATTATATTTTCCACCTAAAATGCCTTATTATTCAGACAGCAAATGTCGCCCTTCTCCACCAGTTCATTTGCTTGGCGTAAACTACAAAATGCACTTCCCCCAGACGTCAGTTTTATTGTTTTAAGCTCAACCAATCTGTTTCTGACGCACAATTTATTCCAACCACTTATCATGGACCGATAAGATGGAGCTGTCACACATTTGTGACGCTGCAAATGCAAAAGTCAAATAGTGGTTTTAGGCGCTTCGACTTCAAAAATACTTCATATATTTGTGCCTAAAAATGTAGCAACTACACAAGTCCTAAGGGCCAAAAATGTAATGCATTAATTGCTCATTTACTTCTCGGTTTTCGCAACGAGCCAGTTAGGGGCTCCGATATTGTACCTCCGCAGGGTGGCCTAACATCCAGGCCATGCCAGTAGCCCCAAGGCCTACTGTACATCGGCAATACGTATTCCGTTCCAGTATTGTGTCTTCTTCAGGGAAGTTACGGGAACTCAGCTAGTTTAGCTTTATTTTGATTGTTAAATTTTAGTTGCCTTTAGTGAAAATTAATCAGTGTGAAGAATGGTAATTAATGCTTCGACTTGTGCAATCAAATTATGGCATTTGCTAACAGGATAGCGGGTTCGATTCCGTGGTCTTGAAGTTGTTAGCTATGCTTAATGCAGCACTGACGTAAAGAATGTCGGTAAGTAGCCCCATTTTACAATTCCCGTTGTGCGTACAACCACTTTAGGTTGAGTGGATGAACATGCGGCAGTAGTCTATGTCTTAAGGTGGTAGTAAATTCACATCTTAAGAGCCTACCTTTCACCCAAAGGTCTAACCCTTTGGTAAGAGGGGATTTGAACCTCGCCGCATTTAATTACCATTAGTCTGTAGACAACGGAGGTTTCACACGAAAGTTGGTGAAAGGTAGTGAATTTAAATAAATTGTGGGATATTGGGTCAGTATACCACACAGTAAGGAAATGCGTAGTAAAAATCCCCCGAACTACACGCACCTAAGGGCTTTCATTAATTAAACCAGCTGAATCAAGAGAGTGATTTTTTGTTGAATACAGTGACGCTAATAAAATTTGTTGATCACTCACTCTTTGTGAAAGGTTGATGTACTTTCAGGTTAAGTAAACTACTAGTATGAAAAATGTGCATGGGGTTTTGTTTTTAAGGCGTTTTACTCAACTCTTCGTCTGTTATTGTGCCCTCTTGGTTTAGCGTCACTATTTCTCAGCGGGTTATAACCAATTACAAAAGCCAGGTGAAACAAATTCTGTCGTAGATACGCTGGCGAAGAGACTGCACCACCCCTGATAGGGCGGCTGTGCTTTATGGAAAGCAGGAATTCTCCGCTGGAGTAGGCGTGTGATGCAATTGAGCTGTCGTGTGGAGTGTGAACTTGCCGTGGGTCAGCCAAAAGTACATGTACACACGTGTGCGAGCGCCATATCATAAGTGATTGACGCAAGGAGAGTGGGTGCTGTGGCAAAGGGGTGAGAATAGCAGAGGGAAAGGAGTCTCGAGGGGATGAAAAGTGTGGTGAGGGAAGGAAGCGCATCGCGTGGCAACGTCACACACTGTGTGCCTACTTGATCTAAACTGATTGGTGCAATGGTAAAGAAAAAACACCTTTTCAGTCAATTGCATGTCTGTTTGTAATCTCAAGGAGTTTCTTTCTGCTAGTTTGGTGTGCACTCATATGCGGGGTAACGGAGCAGGAACTCATTCCTTATAACGAGGGATACGCATATAGTAACCACATATTAGGCAGAACACAAAACTTAGCACAATAAGATGTGGTAGTTCATTAATGGTGCATTAAGGTCTATTTGCAGTGCGTACGACATCAACCCTATCCAACCTAAGAAGGGTGCGGCAATAGAAATCAACGAAAATTATTTATCTAAAATAGCTTTGTTTTTCTTCGTTGCAACAGCAGCAACGACTTAAATGTATTAGCCATTCAATACACCAACAACTATTAATTTGTGTTGTATCCTTCAGTTATACTAAATGTTGGTTTTGATACCAAATTCTCACCTATTTTATCGAAGGGGTGCCTAGTATTTGTGTACGCTTGGAAACTATAAATGACTGCTCAAATTTTGCCAGTCAATGAATCAAAAGAAAATTTCTTACTGAAGTCATCGGCATTAAAGCGTAGTCTCATGCAGTTGCTGCTTTAGGGATAAAATTTCTTTTAACAGGACTTAGATGATCAGCTAACTTTATTTAGTCACTGATTTGGTGCTTTTGGACACTATTTTATAAAGGAGACATCAACTCGTCTTGACTAACATTTGGCGAAATACGCTACTTGAAATGAATGACAGCTGAACTCACTAAATAAAATAACATTCTGTCAGCTCTCTTTCAATATTCTCTAATGCATATTTGTTTAAATACCCCTTTTAGACAAGAGGTGGTGAATTAATACGAACCTCTTGACAGAATGGACGCTATCGGTCTCCGTGGCGGCGGGAACGTACCCCGGACGCCTAACTGTGATACCCCCTCCAACTCGCCCACTCGTTTAAAGGGTAAGGCGGTGAAAGAAGCACAGTGCCCGTTACAAATCAATTAATTGAGAGGGAAGCACAAGTTTCAGGTAATTTGCCCACATCAAAAAAGAAAAAACACCAAGCATTGACCTAGCTTTCCTCAGGTTTCCATGTCCACCGTTACTTGACGAAAAATGGTATTTTAGTGCCCAAGTCTTTTTTAACGAATTCAAAAGATGTGCGGCTCTTGGTAGAACTTCACTGAAGGTGATCAAAAGAGCTGGCGGACACTTTGCGTAAATGACATGAATGATATGCCATGTTACGAAACCGTTGACAAAAATCTATACTCCCCAACTGCGTGGTCCCGCCACTTTAAGTGCTCCAGGCCCTCTATGTTCGCACCCCTGCGTCTGCTATCACATCGAAGTTTGTGTTTTAAACGCCGTCATCCATAAGACAGAACCGAAGGTTGCACACTGAGTTACTGTTTGGGTGAGGTATTAAACTCCAACCTCGGCGATACATCTCATCTATTCCACCAGATCCAGATTTACCTACTTTCTCTGCTGCGTATCCCTCAGCGCATCATACCACTCATGGCGCATTGATGTTCTTCAAAGAGAGCATTTAATTTTCCAGTCGTTTTTGGGAAAAAACTCTTCAAAAACATCCCCATTTAATAAAGCATATTGCCTAGGTTAGTGGGGGTGATATTCGACAGTTACTCCGCCATGCCACATACTTCCAATTTCACTGCTGTGAAGTCGACTCTGTAGATCCCAGTCATCTTTTAGAGCTGTGGAAAAGGTGTCTTTCCATTTGTAATTGGGGTGTTCTTATGTAAGCATCGTTGACATCTTCATAGTGGTCATGCTCAAATCCTTCAAATTTGGCTTTTCTTTGCAAGCTGAATGGTTTACCAGCAAGTACGACAGTGGTCATTTGCCAAAAGCAGACACAACCTTTATGACCCTTTTGCTGTACGACTCAGTATTTCCATCCCACCACCTCCATTTGTGACTTTTGGATTTGGCATCTAGACAGGGAGACCAAGATTAATGTTTATTTGCATCGATCTCTCTCACCACGTCCACCATTGTAACCCCCTGCCCTCTCCAGAGACGTTAAAAGATGTCCAATTTTGGAGTTTTATCAATGTGTAGAACTCCTGATGAGCTGTTAACTGAGGTAATACGAGACACAATTTCACCAACTTGGGGACAAAACTTTAAAGCAATACCCTCTTGTTACACTTTATAGATCAGTGCATCACCCTTTTCGCCAAAGTATTTTATACTTAGAGCCTCAAATTACAAAATACTAATATCAAAGTCACTGGACTATGAATCAAAATAACTGAATTTACCCCATCATCACACAACTCCCTCTCTTACTAGGCGAACCACTTCGGTCTTCAGCGATTCAGCTCGCACGCCGTTGGTATAGGGTTCTGCTGAAACAGTGCTGCTAGCCTCACAGTCCTTCTGGCCACCGATAGCAAAACCACTACCGGATTTGTATGCTTTACAATATTGTCAAAATAACACCCCTGAAATATGCAAAAAACCACTCCCTCCTCTTCAAGCCAGTTGCTGCAATCATTCAGATCAGAGGTAATGCTTGAAATAAAACCCATGCTCTTTCAGGGCAAGGATTGTTACAAAATGCCAATTTTACTGAAAAGGTTGTTTTTAATATTTGAAATATAAATGACTCTGGTATGCAGTGGAAATCCACAGGGAGGGGGAAAGTAACCTAGGAAGGAGGAGGGCTTTATCGTACCCAATGGAGGCGAAAGGATAAAGGACAATGGAGATTGGCTGACATTCAGGATCTGTCGCCACTGCGCATTTTGGACACTTCCGAAAAAGCGATTCGCAGAATGTCCTTTAAGGAGGCGATCTTTTCCCGGGGTTTGCCAAGGTCACGACCCGTCGTTCTCTCCTTCGAATCCACACGCTCCCAGTCCGCGAAGGTCACCGGGCGCACACCTGCAATAAAGTAGCATCAAAAAGGCGCCAATTTTAGTATTTGTTTATCCAGAATTGGGTGGTGCAGTCTTTACGTCTTCATTTCGTTCTGCTTGCACTTCTAGATGACTTCAGTTATCATTCAACGTAACGCCAAAACTTGAACAGAACTGGGTTCTTTTCTGCGCACATTCAAAAGAAAGGTAACAGACCTAGACGTAGAATTATCGTATTTTTCATTCTTTTCGTCAGTACTTCCAACCAACTCCAGTTATTCTGCAAGAGTACACTACACGAAATTACACCTTGAATGTGTCCATTGAACAATTCCTAAGGTTTTTAGACAGCTTTTGCGGGAACAATTTTGAAGCCTTTTCGGGAGATCTTTGGAGATAAGGAGTAAAATATTACCTTAAACGTGTTTCAGAATCTTGGAGCGATTCCCTATCCCGAAGAAATCTAATATGGCACGTTGACTATCAGGATCTCGGGGGAAACGCGACCATCACAGCCCAGATGTCTTAATGTCATATTTTAACATCAGTTATTCTGTTCTACTCTTCCTTTGAAATCTAATTCAGCCCTTTTAACTAAATTCACTCTATATGATTGACGAGCAGAATTGGGTAGAAAAAATGAGGGTATCACACCCATGTGACGCTATTGCATACTGTTTAAAACAAGACCCTTCTACCTGATCTTCATAAAGCACCCTAAAATCGTTCGTGTAAATAACTTTATTCCCAATGAAATTGTCATCGTCGTGGTTTTTCTTATTTGTTCCCACAGAAAATGTGATTGCGTAGTTTAAAAACGTTTCCCATGAGGACTCTGCATAACGCATAAGAAGCTAACATTTCTTACAATAAACAGAGTCATATCAAGCCAAAGCGGTACTTACAAAGGGGAGTAAATGATCAGACGGACAAGTATAAAGTGAATTTGCTTTTTCTTAAAACAAAACAGATTAAAAACGAAAAAGATTACTGCCTTAGAGCTACAGACGTCACGTGTGGGTAACGCCCCGATTTTTTTACCGAAACCCACACGTTAGAAGTGTGACACTTAATTGAGAGGAAGTGAATTGGATTGGAAGGAGGAAGCCAAACTGATGAAGATTGGTGTCATATTAGAACAATAAGGCGTTTGAAATGTGACGACAGATCTGCTTTTGAGAGGGTAGGAAGAACTACATTATACAATTTACTAAAAGGTTAAGTATTTGAGTTTTCTGTTCAACTAGAGTCTCCACAGGTCTTGCCATCACCTTAGGGTCATGCTCTTTTACTCGTGTCACTCCTCCATACATTTTTAACCACGATAAAATTTCACTCAGATTTGTATACTTTACAAATTCCTCAAAATGGACTCGGGCACCATAGCTGAAGGTGCATTAGATGCAAACCCTTCTTAAAACATAATTCCCCATGTAAAAAAAATATTTACCATCATTTTTCCCTATAAGAAGAGATTTGTGAAGCCAAATACAGTGGTAGGATAGGCAAAGCTACAGGAGCAGGGAAGGAGATGAAAGCAGTTTCATGAAGGTAATTTAGAAGGATGAGACTTATTGAAGCAGCCATTCCTAGCACTTACCAAAGGTGCACAAAATGCTAACTAAAAACCCCAGAAGCATCAAAGCCATTTTGAAGGAGCAGCAGAAGGCAAATGATTGAAAGGGAACAAACCTTTTTTCGCTAAGATCTCTTTAAATCCCTCAAAACCCACATGACGAGAGGGCAACTCCTTGCCCGCAAAGTCTGCGAGAATCGCATCCGCAGTGCTGCGTGCATCAGCAAGGGTATTGACAATAACCCCCGTCGCACCGATCTTGGCCCAGCCGGAGGCGTACAGCAGCGCATCCCCGTCGACACCGTAGCTATCACCTAAGGAGAGGAGGCCTGGAACACGGCCGTACTCGTCGCTACAGGCGATTATGCCGCGCTCCTCATCGAATGGCAAGTCGGGATCAATGCACACACTGCGGTGACCGATGCTGCGCACCACTAATCCACACTCCACGCGCTCTGGACTCTCGCCTTCTGCCACCACGCATTTTTGATCCTCGCCCAGTGGACCCTACCATACAAAACTCTTTACCTTCCATAACGCAGTGATTGTAGTTCGTTTGGAAATGCAAGCAGCGATTTTATGTTTGGTTAAAAAATAATTAGGTGCATAAGACAAATGATTTTGTAACACTTTGTAATAGTGCTTGGCAAAATTTCATGGCTCAGGGCAGCAATTCAGCCTTGCCAGCCAAGCAACCAAAGAGATTGCAGTCACTCTGTTTGTTGTGCTTCTAATGATGCGGTATGTAAAAGAAAATGGAAAACCTGCATCAAGGCGGGCAATCCAACCTCACGGGATAACAATAGTAATATCAATAGCGATGAAGTGGATGCTGGCGCTACAGTAACTTAAACAGTGGCAAAAAAAGGAAAAAGAGAATAGCGTTATGCGAAATTAATGCTAATTACTTTGTATTAGCAGCAGCATTTTCGAGAACTGATTTGGAAAAAAAACAGCATTTAGAATCAAAAGTAGATCTAAACTTAGAACCGACATAGTCTGAAGAGAGAAAAGCTTATAAAAGCACAGTTCCTTTCATCTCAATTGATCGTAGAGAGACTAGATACTTGTACTGAAATTTGTAACCAAGTCACGGGGAACGCAAGGCATTCTTAATATCAAACCATTAATCACACTCATATCACTGCCGGAGCCCCGGCTCCATCTCAGACGATGAAAGCACACGTGAAACTCTCCTCAGTACCTTATAAGCCATTGGCATCGGGAACTTCCTCTGTGGTATAATAAAAAAGAGCTTTTAGACATCAAAAAACAAGACAACGGAAACAAACCCTTAAAAACTACTTCCCTCTACCTAGACTATACGATCTTGTAAGAAATGACAAAAGAACGCACAAACAACATCGGATCCTCCAACTTTTTATTTCAACCTCCGGGCTAACACTTTTTTGTCTGCCCTTAAAGAGGTTACCAGTATGCCTATGCTGCTGAGACTATTGATAGGAGAAGGAATAAATCCCGGCTACAAACGTCTTTACTCACTCTAAGAGCCCTAACGAGATTGTACGCAATTTCAGTGAATGGCGTTTCATCACGTTTATCCGAAGACGGCTGATTGTTTTCCGGTCCAAGGGTTGCTAGTCAGTAATATAGCAGGCGCGTTACCATTAATACGAGAGGCGTTCATAAACCATGGCGGTAGTACTCGTGGTATCTGGCCCACATTTCGTGGGTCGGCCCGGAGACCTCTCATCAAGATGTGGAAAACCAGTGTTGGTGCGTTTCAAAACAGTGGTGCGATGAAGCACTTTTTAAACGAAAACGAGGATGCAAGATCGGCGGATACCCTTAAAAAACGGTGAAAACGAAGCGCTGATTGTTGCGAAGTCGCACAAAAGGCAATCTCGTCTTTTAGGAGTGCTGAACACGAGGTAATAATTCACGAATACTTTCCATGTGGACAATTTAGTAGAGGCTGGATGTCATAAGAAGTTCAGCAACTCCGCGGTTTCCAAGACATCAGTTTAACATTAGGATTTGTAAATGCAGCAAGAGATTATATCCAAAAAAATAGTCTCACAGAAGCAATTTCTCACAATAGTACACATCGCTTACCTCCAATACAGCCTATGCCTTTGGCAACGAAAACTAATCAAATACAGCTAAGGCTGCACCAAGAAGAGATCTTGAGCACGAGAAGCATCAAGAGGCAAAATGATACAGGGAGAGAGAGAAAGGCAAATGGAGAACACACCTCCAGCTTGTTCACACGCAGCTCGATACCAGCCACATTTGAGGCTTTAGAAACGGTGGGCGGCGGCAATGTACAATCGAGGACAGGGTAATGGGGCACCACTTGTATCGGTGATCGCAAAAAACGCATCTCACAGGAAAGGGGTTCACCCACCACACCGTGTTCTATAGGCATCGAGCTAAGAGTCGATATCTTGAGCATATGCTCGATCAGCCTGCGTCGTGGACGCGGAAGCTCTGTGAAGAGGAAGGAGAGAAAATTCAATTGCTTTGCTGTAACAAAGTGATTTTGTGATTTACTCTACACACTGATGCAATGGGCTCTGTTTCGTGCATTTCTATTCTACTAATCTCCCAATCCCACTGCACTTTTCACACTCTTGTGGATCGTGATGACTACTAAAATAATTCTAACGCACCACTGACAAAAGTGTTGCCAAACGCACTCCAAAAGAATGAAAAGTCCAATTTTACTGAGCAGAGGCTGCCCCCAAAAGATATAAGGAAGGCATCTGCTGAGAACAACTAAATCTCCAGAGACTCAAAGCGGATCGACCCTAAACCACATCGACTTTTGGTGACACCAACCTAGTGTTTTACTAAAAGGGCAATAATGAAGAAAATGGAGGCGTCAGTAATGGAACTGCTTACAATCCTTTCGTAGAAATAGTGAATTATAAACATCATTTGAAGACTCGACACTTTCGCATGCAGGCGACTGGGCATAATTGAAGCAGCAATAGGGTAGAAAAGAAGAGGCTAGCTTTTACAGTGAATTCTGTATTAACCGATCCTGCTTTTAAGCAATTGTTTCCAATGAATCCGCTAGTGTGTAAAATGCACTCGCTGCAGAACATCGAGTGAGTCTCCACGCTGGAATTCGCAATCAGGAACGTCCTAGGATTCAAGTCGAGCAGAATCATAGAATGGTCAATGCTTCTGTCATGTAGCTGTTTATATCACACCCGATTATGGACAGATAGCGGACGGGTGTCCAGCCATGTAGGAATTTGCGGTCCTCCACGAATCAGCCATGGGGATATACCCACATGGTCCATATGCTACATGTCCCCCGGGCCTTCCACATGCCAATATTAAGACAACCTCGAGACTCAAATTCAGAGATAATCCGATTGTCGTAATGTTCGTTATGTTTTTACTGGAAGCCACCATTACCACGTTCCCCGGTGTTAGGTTCATAAAAATCGCCACCGCCAGCATCAATAAAAATATTGAGGCATGAAAACAAAAACAACCCTGGCAACTAAAGAAGTGAGCTCAGTGGCTGTAAGGGGTAGTAAAATTCGTCCAACCGATTCGAGAGCCGGAAATAATACCATGAAAAAGGTGCACCTGATCGCGACAGAGGTGTTTTATGGGGTTTAGTGCAAAAGCTTTCAACTCGGACGACAGATAATGGGAGTTCAATACAGAAAACCAAATATTAATGCAAGGAAACTAAAAAAACCCTCAGTTTGGTTTATGTTCAACATGGCATACTGATAATGAATTAAATTTGAAAAATTGGAAAAAGGAAAAATGACAAAGACAAATACCACGGTTGCTCATGAGTCAAATGATTTTGAGTACAAAATAGTTTAGTATTATCTGACCATAGTCCACGATGACAATGAAAATGACGTATTAATGATGAGAATAAGCAAAAGCTGAAATATTTTACTTCTGTGATTAACCAACATTCAATGACAAGATCCACATGAAAGCACATATAGACAAACTTGAGTGGTGTCTGCTTGAAGTCTGCTGCGAAGTGGCCTCTACATCGGTAGCCTGGAGCCCTATTCATATCGTCCATGCTACCAATCTTCTGAATATTGATGATAAGCCTGTTTCCAGACGGCGACCTGATGGTGTCTTCATAAGCACCTTGAATGAACACCATTTGGCCAAACCGCAGTTGGAACAACTGATATCAGTGAGTCGTTAGTTAGGCTTGCTAAGGGTGGAAAGTAAGCCACAGCTGCAGATGATGTAACATGAAGCTTTGACGAAAATGGTGGATTAGGGAACTTGCCAAAATACAGGAACGATGAAAAGAATAGAAGTGAGTCTATGGAATTTATTTTGCCTTTTAAAATTATAAGATACACACAGCTTTATTAAGCCCAACTTCACTCACTAAGCGCAGACCAAAAACTACTGCTGGATGATGCGTGATACTATTTACAGCCATAAAAAGCACTAATTTGAATAGTCGTTGAAAAAAAATTAGTGTTTACGATCTATAATCCCTACGATCAAAACCGTTGATAAAACAGAACTGGATATTTCGAAGAATACAGCTATGAAACGCCAAGTAGAATTTAGCAGGTTATTTGTTAACTGAAAGCTAAAAAAATACCGGAACAATTCATTTATGACACGCGGAGGTACTGATAAGTTCAAGCAACCTAGCCTAATGCTAAAAGTTAGACCAATCACCAGCTGCTACTTACAGCAAAAAGTAGGAAAGTCAAGAAGACGAACCTGCGAGAAGCTTAATACGATCATTGCCAGTTGAAAGGGTTTCATTGAAGATGTTCCGTGGAGTGAATTCGATGCGGAGACCTTGAACAAGGGTATTTTTGGTTTTTGGAAGACAACACAACTCCCTGAACTCCTTCAGCGTGAACGCGGCCTGCAGAGGTCCCCGACGTCCTACTATGATCACTCGACGTACTCGGCTGGTAGAGAGATGCTCTATCACTGGCTCTGGGATGTCTGTATTCTGACATCGATAAAACAAAACTTGCGATTAGATGGCCCTTTAAACTGCTTGCGAGTCAACAACGTGGATTATTTTTGAATTAGCTAATATAGTTTGATGAAACAAAAACATTTTCAATATCTACGCAAAAACTTGAACCAAATCAGATATTTCTAGCATCTGGTGAGTTTTTTGTTTTAAAATCACGTCAGCTACAATTTCTAATGACTGTTTTACACCTAGAGTACCACCTTTGCGTTTGACAAAGTACAGTTCAATCTCTGAAAAGGTTACTCGAATAGCATTCGTGAATAGTGCACCAACCGTAAAAAGGGTAGAAAACTAGATTTCTCCCACATTACAACTGAAACATCGACAATTCCACAAAAGAAGCTAGACAATAGCCAGCAAAAGTATCGCAGCAAACTCTAACGGCAAAATTACTTTTCGTGAACTAAGTTACACACGCACATGGTGGTACATTCGAGGTCCCCGGTTTAAATACATCAAAATTGACTAGGAAAGTTGTCAGTTATAGCGGAAGCAGAAGAAGGTTCATTTAGGATCTGATAATAATTGATAGAGGTAAATCATTGAGCAGGAGACGTATTGAAAATCAGAGAATTCATTTGTAGTTGTTTTGCAATAGATTGCTTTGTTTTGATTGTTTTGTAAAAAATATTTACCACAACTCTTTGATGAAAATTTTACTTACTTCAAAGTTTCAAAAAGTGAAACACACCATCTTTTAAAATTTTTGTTTTCAGTGTCTCACGTAATGTGGTACCCAATTGTCAGGTCACAAATCTGTGATAAGTGGCTTTTAAGAATGTCCGATAACTGTTAGTACCAAATCATGGGTAACAAAAAGAAATTGGTTGAGATTAAAGCAATAAAGATGTAAGAAAATTCTGGTCTGACGACAGTCACATTTTTAGGTTATGCGCAGTTTCCATATTAGCTAACTCACTGGTGCCAGTGATGATGTCATACTGGAACAAAAAGCGTCCGAGCTGTAGTGATGGATTTATCTTCGAAACCCTAGTACCGAACATGCTAAACAGCCAATGAAATGTAAACATTCCACAGTGTGTAAGGAAATTTGTGTACTAGATTGTAGGGTTTCGGTTTGTGTTAAAGAGCCTAAAAGCGGATTTTCAAGTTTTCAATTTACACAAATCGCGGGAACTGGGCCGAGGTTTTCGGGGAAAAGAATCAAAATTAGAGCATGAAACTCGCTTCACAATTCGCGGCCACTTTGTCAGGTTTAAGAATAATTATGAGCAAAACAAATATCCTGGGAGGCATTCGGAAATCCGTGGTTGCACGCGATGATAGGTGTTCATAATCTAACCTATACTTAACGGGACAAGAATTGACAGGACTATCATCCCGGTTTTTTATTCCTTTACCACGCTAAATATAAGGTGACACTTTCAAGGTCTCAGAATCGAGATGACCATTGAATATCTGTCTTTCAAACCCACATTAGCCAGATGTCCAAACGGTAGTGAAAACTAAAGGGCATTTTTGAGTTTGGCATTAGAACGGCGCACAAATGGTAGCGGGACTGGAGTTTAGATCCTGCGTGAATCTTGTTCGATTTAGTCATAAGCCAAAAGAGTCAGTAGAAAGACCCTGAAATTAGCGAACGTCTATCATACACTTGGGAAAGACGCCGTATAAACAGGAACGTGGATGAAGGGCGGAGTCATTAATTGTGAGGACTAACAGTGAAAAAGGAGCAGGGGGCTGGGGTCACGGAGGGACACTGGCATCATAGAAGGCTTAACTGGTAGCCATATCATACCAAAATCCAGAAATCTACGAAATACCCGTCTCCATGAAATATTGTTTTCGGTACCACAGTTTTGCAAAACTTTGCCTTCTCAGCGATTTCAAAGCTAAAACTGGACTCTCTAGACCACTCAATGAAATACAGAAAAGGAGTACGAAGCAGGGACTCTGAAGGGATTAATAAATACCAAGGTTTCGTGATGGGACTTCTTTCAACGTTTAGGAACACGTTCGAGATCCAAGGGCCTTCAAAATATGTCGTGTAAAAATCGCCTTTTCCAGAATTTAAAGTCGCGCAAAATCCAAAAATTGATTCAAAATTCTTTTCTCGAATATAGTAACCTTTTGGACAAAGTTAGTGGCTTAAAAGATGGGTAAAAACCTTGAGCGACGCCTAATAAAAAGCATTTTCGGTAGCAGAAGGAATCATTGGTCTTTTTAGTTAGGCAACCAGCAGCCTCCATATATTTATCTCCATCCACTCTTATTAAATTGAGTGCATCGGGTAGTCAATGGCTTTTCTAGATTTACGAACCAAATCCATGATTTGCCACACATTCAGGGAAAATGAATTGAACAGTGGCCAAAGCTACAGCAACAATGAGGGGTTCATATTAGTATCGGGTCCCAATTAAATTCACGTGACACTGATATAAGCCAGTTTCTGCGCAGACGTTATTTGATTTTTTACATTAGCAGATCATGTCAACAGTAAACTAAGAAACCAGTACCCCTTACTCAAAATATTACGGTTGTGGTTATAATTATTCGAAAAAACACAGATTTGGCCCTCAAAACACCTTAGTATCATGCAATATTCGTGTTAGGTCAAACGTCATTTGCGATAGTGCCAGGGAAACGGATGCTATAAAACCACTAACAGAAAAGTGCCAATACAGCGAACCGCAATTAAAGACTCACTTTGAGGCGATCAACAGAACAGAGAAGAATTCTCGCGACATCGAGTGAAACGTTTCCCATACCAACAATGGCAACAGTTTCGCAGTCCAAATATGGTGGAGGCTAGAAGAAAATGGAAAAATACAACGCTGTTCCATATAGAAAAGACTAGACAGTAAAGGTGAGGCTACCGCTTGTAAATCTGGATATCCATTATACCATCCGACCAGTTCCTTGGCTGATAAGACACCCGGAAGTTCCTATGAAACGCATGAAAATACTAGGAACAAAAACCAACCTCACCACTAATATTCATACGTTTGTCAGCACTTGCCCCATAAGCCTAAGCACAGTGTGAATAGGAAAGAATGAGAAAAGAAACAAACCAGTACGATGGCGTCATAATGATAGCGAAGTTCCGCCAGGCTAATATCATCACCAACGGCTATATTCCCATAGTAATGAAAGCGGGGATTCTTGGCCACTTGTGTGAAAGTATTGATCACATTCTAGAGTAGAATAAAGCGGTACTATAGGTCGTTTTTGAAACTCACCTTGACTTCTGGATGGTCAGGAGCGACTCCGTATCGAACGAGACCAAAAGGAACGGGCAACTTTTCGAGCACATCAATACGTGCACTTTCGTGCCTCTACATTAAATATAACGAGGGCGTTACACGCAAAAAAATTGTTGGAAAAGACACGAACTGCAAAGTGCTTAATCAAATATTGTATTGAGGATCACCACTTACCTTTAGCAAAGTCTGCGCGACAAAAAAACCTGAAGGGCCGCTTCCGACAATGCAGACATGAAGATTCCTCTTTTGAAAGCATTTTTGAATTGCACGTCGTATTGACGAAGTAAAACCTAACATAAATCTGAAAGGGATTTGAGGACTATTATGCATAGTTCATGCCACTTGACTAAATCCACTTTAAAAAAGGCGGCAGAACATAACCGATTAACATGCGCAAAAAGTGAAATATAAAAACATGGTTAATTTACATACAAAAGGTAAAGCAAAAGTGTTTGCTATTTGTGCTTTAAATAAATGCATATTTCACTCACGCGTGAGGGCGACGGATTTCTCACTTAAGATCAGACAAAAGGCAACTGTACGTCAATTACGTGTTGACCTCGAGGTCAATTTTATCCAATCAGATCAACGTGGGCACTTCTTAAGAAAATTTTTAGCAAAATATGTTAATCTTTTAAGATGTTGGGGGAATTCCTAAAGCGCATATTTATTTGCAAAGCTTATATATCAGCTCTTTGCTTTCCACTACCTAAAAACTCAGTTCTGGTAAGTGGTACAAATAATATTAAGGCCATCACTTTCCTCATTATGGTTTAATGCCCCTACTCTTCACCGAAGTTGTAGTAAGCCAAAGTAGTATGAGAGAGCATACATTGCCAATGCACAGAAGAGATAAGAGGCTACTCAAAGACTTGAAAGTCATTTTGTAGAGTGGAAGTGTAACCTATGGAGACTCAAGTGCTCCCTTATTTAAATAAACAGTTAAGCAAGATTTGGTAATTTTAAGCAGGCTGCATTTATTCTAACTCTCCTGCATGTTAGGAATGTGCGTTTTTATGCTGCCTTGGCTTATTATGCCTTTAACGAAGACCCGGGGCTCTACCTGAGTACTGTTGGTAAATACACTTTCAAAAGTACCCCGTAATGCCTAGCTAGTTGTAAACCAAAATGACGAATAATTTATCTCCCTTTCTATTCAGATGCAACCAAACTATGGCTATTTAAATCAAGTGTTTAGTGGTACAATGCTCTATATTTTTTGTAATGAGTCTGCCTGTATAGAAAAGAAGCTATGCCTTAATTACTGCTTGCTTGAATTGTTTTCAGCTCACGGACCCCCTTAAAAACACCCATCCTTTTTCGACAGCTTCTTGCCTAGTGGCATTTTCCTCATGCATTCAATTCTATCTCCTTATCCAGGACTCGCTCGTCATTATTTATTTAGTTGTTCTAAATAGTCATATTTGGTATTTTTGCGTCCCACCCCATTCAAGCATATTCTTCCAACTAAAGCCTTCGCCACCTCGTAATTGTTTAAGCTACATGTGATTTACGGTATGCACCCGGTAACCTAATCTCCACAGCGGGCAGGCAAGTGAAGATACATCCTCGTCTATATTCCCAAATTCAAGTGAGTAAAATATGTATAGATGTATTTGCATATGAATCATGTGGGACTCTCATTTTGCCATTGCAGATAATGCCTGTGCTACGAATCAAAAAGTCTCCTCAGGGGATAATGTGCGATGCCAGTATTGGTGGTCTTGGATGTGGTAGTGGTGGTGACGGCGATACAGATAGCTTAAGAGGTATCAAAACAATAGGCCAAGTTTATCTGTCAATCTCGTTCTCGTGTACAGAGGAAAGTATGGGGCGGAGGGGTGGAGGAAAAGAGGATGTGAATACTGATACACAAATTTGGGATGTAGAAAAGGGTCAAGAAATAACAAGTTCCGATGCTGGTTGTCTCGTCCATAGGAAGTTTGGATGAAAATAACTCTTTCTCCTCTGATGGCAAAACTACTTCGAATTGCGAAATAACGAAAGGTCCTTATTTTTTCGTCATGGTTTCAAACTTGCTTTTTTCTTAATGGGGGCGTTTGCTGCATTCGTTCCTGTCAAGGCAAAATAAGTAAGGATGCAGTAGTATTGCGGTCTAATAATTAATAAGGCTTTCCGTCCAAATAGAGACCTACGAGCAAGCGAGATCTACCTCAGCCTTATGATTACCTACGCGCCATTCCATTCACGGCATTTTTGTTTAAAGTCCACCACTCCTTCTGTAAATTTAAAATTGGTGTTTTCTTTGGCCTTATTGACTGCATTAGGTCCTCTAAAAAAATATATTAATGTGCTTCTTGCGTCTCCTTATGCCCAACTTTGGTACTTATGACTGTTTAAGCCTGCGAGGCTTTTAAGTATTGCCATAGTCTGGGGTTCAGTTCAACCAAAAACCGCTTTTATTCTGAAATTACTGCCTACTACAAATATTTTTACGAACTCTGTACGTAAAACAAAGCATTCATTTTATGCGTAGGAGTTTACATGTTAGTACGTCTTCACTTAAAAGAGAATATGGAACTTTCTATTTTTAACCTGGCGTTCCCCTTCTCAACCAGGTCTGGTGGTTCGATTACAATAGCCGGCCCGGTTTGGGAAATTGTGCATATTTTCAATCGAGATTAAACGCACCGTCCTGTTTTTCAAGCAAAACGTCACTTAATTTTGTCCTACATGAGTCCACATTTTACCAGCTCCAACCATTTATTTATTTATCAGTCGGAAAACTCAGGGATCCTACTTAAAATCAACTGCTAGAGTAGGAAAATATTTGGCCTTTCTGGAAGGTGGAAGACTTTTCACTTGCACTTTATCGGAGGAATTTGACCTCCATGCGGGATTGGAAGTTTGTTTGTCAACGAAAAGTCTTGGTTCTATTTTTATTTACGGGATTTACCACCACGTAGCTCCAAAAATACATCTTCTGTGTTACAGCAATTATTTGAAATAATGGACAGTGAATGAACTTTTTCAGCTGTAGCCAAGGTGGCAAGTCTTTTTTGGCCTAGTATTTGATTCTTCAAGACGTGGATTTGATTTTAAAGGTTAAAAATGAAGTCAAGTATGCAACCGGAATCATTCCACACAGGACGAAATGATTTCCTAATCGGCATCATAATTAAGCCTTTTGAAGGTGCCAAAACAGAACAATGGGGATCTATACAAAAAAGTGAAGCTGTTCGTCTGAGATAACTAAATATTTTCGTTTGTCAATTGAGCAATTACGCTAGAAATCAGCAAAAGTTGATGAACAGCTTCGTTTTTTTATAGAATAGTACTATCCGTTTATCTGCTTGCCCAAAGTGATTGTCTAAAGGCAACAATCACCTCAAGGATGCGGCGTGGCTCCTTATCAGTTTATAATAGGTGGTTGCCTAAACTTGTGCACGAGAGAGAGATTTGTTGAGCTTAAGAAAGCGAGCTGGATTTTTGCGGATAATAGCATTTTTGGGTAGCAACTGGAGTTATTAAAAATAACGAAAATTGGTGAATCGGACATCTGAGCAGCCGTAGTGGTCAATTTTCCTCCGGGACCTCCGGAGCGATGGTACCAATAACGAAGAGGATGAGCGTGCAAACATATTTTTTATTATTCCTAAGATAACTGGTTGAGATTTTGATTACATGATCTCGTAGGAGGCCTTTGAAATCAGGGCACGATATTCTAGTAATAGGTTTCTCTTTGAAAAGCTTTGAATCGAAATGAAGGTGAATTTAAAAGGTGAGTACCTATTCTGACTTATTTATCCATACATTGACAATAAAAAGAAATCCATCATTTTCTGACTTGTTAGGAGAACAATAAATCTCTCTTGTGGTCACTTATGCTGACATTTATGCTTCCGATTTGCTCCTTTCTGACCCGACCTCATTTGTGGGCTGTTGCAGGTGATTTACTATCGCAATGCCGTGAAAGCGAAACAGTTGGGTCCACCAAAATAGCACCAAATCAGCCATTCATGTATGCAACAAATCCCATATTTTGGACAAAAATTTCCTATTTCAAAGGGCTATTTTTGACTCCTAGACGCATGCAGACACAAGGGGGCATGGAGGGACACCGGAATTATCACATTCCAAAGAGTTTATTCTGTTTTGACATTGACAGAACTGGTTAGGCATCGACATTTGCGAGAAGGGGGCTGCTGCTTGGCTGTATGAATTGTTGACGATAAACAGAAATTAGAGTTCTCAAGGCAACTATCCTAACGTTATTTCAGATGAAAAAAGGCAGATCGTCCGCCCTCCATATAGGCACGTGGTGAGGATCAAGCTTCGTTTATCCATCTAGTGTATCATTATAAACACTGCGTTTAGGTTGTGATGTTACAACGTGTTAGAGTTGAAGTTCAACACACATTTTGGAAAAGATTAGTTAGAGGTGTGCATGCAATTTGAGAGTTGACAAATTAAAAACCAATCCTTATTTAGTTATATTAAGGAATCGTGATGAAAAGCGTAGCTAAGACTGGCGGCTACTCTGGAACATGTAAAAATATTCAAATACTGAAACTCAGAGAATAAAGAATCCATTTAACGCTCGAAGATAGCAATATACAGTAGTAAGAATATGAAATTAATATGGCTATCCATCTGTTTTATATCGGATTTAAAAAGTAACTTAAAGGCCACTTTAACTTCTCTTTACAAAGGAGTACAATTTGAGAATGGACAAAAGAACGTTAAGAGGTTGGTAACCTGTGAAAATTTTAGAAACCGGTAATTGCCTGTGGTTCACACCTGTGACTTTTCAATTCATGTTTTCTATTTCGGCTTAAAACATTGAACGAAAGACGACTAAATTTGACTTTAGGATGCAGTCAGCATAAAAACAGGAACCCCACTTGGTTGTCCAAAGTAAAACTACCCAACTAGTAGGCTTCACGAGCCCCGACGTGTAAAAAGGAGCATGCTTATTACCGACTTAATGGAGACCTCGACCAGAGTAAAACTCTTTAGGTCCAAACAATGGAACCGTAAAGTAAAATGTCGACCTATTCATTAAATATACTTGCTTTATTAAACGCCTTCTTATCATCACATCGTTCAAACACTCCCCTAGCATGGGATCTTGGAAAGCAATCCTTCTTCCCCAGGAAATTTATTAATATTTTCAGAACCATTAAAAAATCCTATTTTTGCCATCATCGATCCCAAAACTGACAATATACGCGCATAGTCTCTCTGGATAAGGTATCCTAGTGGCCAATAGTTTCAGTATCTTTGGAAGGAATTTCCTCCTGCCATATACCACCGAACGTCGGTCACACCATTTCGGTAGTTCTTGAATGAACCCAGGATTGAAGTAACTCATTAACTTATCGCCAACTGAAAGTGGACGATTTTAAGTTACATTTTAGCGATCCATCCGAGCAAATACTGGCATTTTATGCTCCCGACTGTAATAATCTGAGCACTACATATAAAACACGAAAGTACTTTTTCGTGTTATATCTTACCGTTTGTCAAGAACAAAAAGCTGTCGGAGCCTAGTTTATCTGCACTTTAGCTGCGCGAGGTCATACGAACTTTAGCTGGGTGAAAGCGAGGGGGGTGGAATCCTTTCCTCTGGATCGTTAATGGCATGCTGTACTTATGACACGTGCCAATGAGTGGGTGATGTTTGCCTCCATCCCTTCAGCAGCCTTGACACCTGCATAATTAGAGGTGTTAGCGTGAAAAGTCGCGAGGCAACCACATTTTTTCCCCTCTAGTAGGTCTGGTGAACAGTGTATTTGTAGCCATGTGTCATATAGTCACTGATTTGTGTCAATAAGGCTGGGTGGGGGCATCTGCGATGGGAAACGCCAGAGTGACCTTAGGTTGGATTCGTGTTCAATCACGATATTTCTTCGTTCAGGTACAATGCTTCTACATTTTGACCTAAATGCATTATTTAATGTTTAACTATTTGATATTTAGTTAGGGAACTTTTCTTTAGTATATTCATTTTTAATCAAACCTTAATCTTCGCTAATAATATTGAATTTGCAAGTTGAATAGGGCCAAGCCTTAATTTTTTGGTATTTGCCACTATCCTCTCAGTCCTCCCGTGTGTTTGCGTGTTCTACAACTTCTTTGGGGTTGGCTTGGGCGCCTATTTAAGTGCCTAAGCTGATGATCTGAATTAACAAACGACTGAAGTCTTCGTTTTCATTCAATCTGCATCTATAAACTTGAATAAAGAGAGCAGCTAAATTCCCTTGCATTTTCATTTACATATAGCGAATTTATTTGAAGGCAAAGATAACAATGTAACCTGTGGGAACTGTAACACGGCAACAGAGCGCCATAAACCCCTCAAATTCCAGGTTTACTCAAGATTCGTCATTTAAATTTAATCTCATCTACTGATTTTATGGAAACGTAAGGAGGAAAACGATACCACTAAGCACGCAAGTTCCCCCACAAATACCATCATTCTACGTTGGAATGCGAGGAGATCAGTGAGACCCCAGTTTAAAAATACCCTCTGAATGGTCAAATGACCCAAGGAAGTATCGCGATCCAGTAGCAGTTTGGTTCAACATTTCTTCTTGCTGACGTTCTGGCGGAGAGGAAATAAATTATTTGTGCAAGAGAATGATAATCGTTGGCTAGATCAAGTGCTTTTTTGCAGAAACAAAGAGTGGCGTAAAGGCACCCTGGATGGCTACTAGATTTTGACAAAAAAACACTCAAGTGAAGCCAGATCCTGACAGGAAAAAGTGGATTTAAACGCAGTGTTAGGAAAGTAAGATATGTAACATCCTGTGACGATTCAACTACTCTATTCACTACTACTCGTTTTACTTATATTTATTCTCCAAGTTATAGAAAACAAAATAAGTAGAAAGTTAGGGACAATGAAGGCGCATTCAGAGCCATGTTCAAAATTTCTGGAGAATCTACGCAAAAGTCAATTAAAATCGGAGTTACAGTGGCGCATAAATAAACCCCAAGGTTACAGCATTGTACCGTTCCCTATGTTGTTTCCCATCGAGGGTCTCATCGAATACATTTGGGCGACCCCATGGACCTGATCAAACCTACTATCTATATAAATCACTGTACCACATAATCGGCTTTGTTCCCATGGCACCCTCGAGATTCGGTCCTCAAGGCAGTGTTTTGATGCCCAGGCTATCTAAGTCTGCTAACTCTCACTTCACGCCTGGAAATTTATCTAAGTTCGTATGTCTTTTAGCGTCTTCAAATTTTACTTTATAGGTAATCATACGTTCAGAACGGTAACTTTGACCTGTTAGTTACCAGTGGAAATACGCTATAGAATGTGAGCAACTACAGTGGTTGGCTGAATTGGCATTGACTCTCAACGGATGAATTATGAGAGGCACATGAGATTTTGACACATTTGTTGACCTAAAGTTCCCCATGGTGGCCACTATTAGGATGAGGTAAGATCAAGGAGTTTTAAAGCTGTCTATGGAATGACTGTTTACCCATAAAAAGGCTTAAATTATTGCCAAAAGCTGAATCTCTCATACCTTTACATGTTGAAGGGAACAAATAATAATGAAACAGCTTCAAAGTGAAAAGAAGAATATAGATAGAACGTAGTCCCGAGAAGCTGAATGTTTCTACTTTTGGACAAATAATCCCATGAAAAGTATTGCCAAGCAAAAAGCGTCCAAGCACTGCTTATAACAGAGTTCGCAAAGACGGTGTGGTAATTACGGTTAGGTCTGCCATTCTCCTATCTGTTAAAAATAACTGCATTGACTTCATTCACACCTCAAGGTTTATGGTAGTACACTTTAATAATGTTGTGACTGTGGACGCGGAAGAATGACTGCAGGAAGTGCTGATGGTGGCATCCGAAACAAGACAGGAATTGGGCAACAGAACGATGTATGCTTACAATACCTACAGACAATCGTATGAACCTTTATTTACATCAACTATGCAATCATCTGGCTCTTTTATGCATTTGTTGGACTTTTAACATCTCTAAAAGATACAAAGATAATGAAAGATATGGCAAGTGAATCTCATGATCCCGTGTTTGTGTCTACCTATCGCACACAAAATTGACTTAAACAAGACGCAGACAAAAACGGAAGGCTCACCTCGTTGAGCACTGACACTGTTAGGCGAGAGGGTCCGATGTCGAAAGGAAGAAGTGGGGGTAGGTATGGTGGTTGGACGCACCACGAAAATGGGTACCTCGTAACCTCCATCACCAGCTCCAAAAGGAGAAAGGAAGCGTGCCGAGTGGCGAAGATACTGTCGGTCGGATCGTGGGTAACCACCCATCAGTTCGGCAAAGAGGGGCGAGGGTGCGTAAGCCAGACCATGTCCTACTGCTGATGCGCTCCCCCCGACGGGGCCAGGGCTCAGTAGTAGGCGGTTTGGCCGCCACACACCGTCCCGATCAAGGCTACCTTTCCTTAAGTCTGTCGATTGATGCGCCTCCGCTGTGCCGTTGCCTCGACGGCGTGGACGGTCCGTGAAAGGCGGTCCGTGCAGCGGAGACATTGATTTGCCATTAAGATGGGGAACAAGCTTTGACATTGGTGGCTGAAAGGAATTTGGGTTTTGTGTTTTGGACGGTATTCAAGAGTGAAGAGGGCTTCTTGCAAAGTGATTAAAATGAGACTATATTTTCATTTTATGAAGGAAATTGGTTTAATTTGTTACATCCATTGCATTACCTTCATGCGAAATTAAAAAGTGCCTTCAATAAAGTCATAGGGCAATGAACTGTTCGTCAGACAAGTATCAACAAAAGTACCATCTTCAAGAGCATTCACGGGTACCATATATTCGAGGCCTATTCAAGGGCCAACGCGAGCCCAGCTTTCAAAAAGGATCTCGGAGACTTTTGGTAGTAGAAGGAAGGGGTGATGAAAGGCTGTTTTCCATGACAAGGTCCACTCTAAAAAATCTTCTCATCTCACCTCGTCTAATGGAATGCTTATTCACTGATGCCTCCATAGCATGTTCATTTATAAACACTCATAGAAGGAATTGACAAGGATAGCATTGACATTGAACATGGTTGCTACTGAAGTTTCATAAGCAACTCGATCACCACCTCCACCCAACCAACTGGACTACACCTTCCAAAACTAAAGTTTATTTAGCACCAGACCATAAGCATCCTCTACCTACTCTATCGTTTTAAACTCAGTCGATCTGATTAAGAAGACATTTTACATTTTTGGGAAATCCGGGCAAGGTAAGGAATTTAAGGTATCACGTACCAGTTGACGGTGATGAAGAATTTGTTAAAAGGTAAAATTCAACCAATTGAGGATAAAGACCAAAATGAAAGGCGTTCGACAACAACGTAAGTTGTTGTGTTCAAGAATGCTTATTGATTGGATCTATTGAAAGATAAATGCCTTCTGTTAGTAAAAATGCTACCTTTCCCTTATAACAAATTGTTTTCTCTTCTTTATGAAGCACAAGACAAAAAAGTTGAGCGCGTGCAGCATGGAGGTGAAGAAACATACGCACACAGCATTTATTCCACGCATGCATTTTGGAGACATTTTCACAAGCACGTGGATAATATTGTCCGAAGAGAACTGATTGGTAATGAAAAACAACTGCCCGCTTTTCCATAGGTTTACGGCATTCCTGTGATAAAAGGCACATAAACGACTACAGTGAAAGCAGTGATAATGGTCATTTGCTCTTCAAAACAGAATGTGCGATTTCACCAGAACACCATCAGCAGAAATCGACGGAAAAAATGTGGTGAAGAGGTATTTGCCTTCGTTGTGTGTTTATCGGAACTGACTTCATTCTCTGAGCTGTTTTGAGGACATTTTGGCGTTCTGTCCATGCCTATGGCCATCTAACGCTTCCTTCCACACAATCGTATTTCTTACTACATCGTAATGGACGACTGGGAACTACAGTGGTAGCAGCAGTAAGCAAACCCTGTCAAATTAATTCATTATCCTAATAGCTATTGAGATTGGCTAAATCTGAAGAGGATCGCTACTAAATGCTTCGTGAAACCTCGTTGACCTCCGGTATTCATGCCAACTTCGAACTTGGCACCATGGTCACTAGTAAAGAGAGGTCTGCTTTCAGGACTTAAGACTTACGATTTAACCTGTGGACTAGCAGATATTACTGCAGGCAGGATCCTTTCCCCGCCGATAGCACCAATTCAAGGAAGATAATCAAACCTACAGAATGTTCTACCACAAATGTGATGTTTAACAATCCCTATATGGTGCTAATTATTTGCATCATTCCCATTTCGGACGCTAAAATGAGGAGGGGAGGATTAACGTCTTCATCCTGATGGCATGACGTGTTGTTTATGTCCTTTCCGCCACTGCCTACGCTGATAATAAGCAATTATCTTTCTTACTTCTTTAGTGATGGATCGAAGAGGAACAAATTGACATTGTTTTAAACACTTTTATGTCCGCAACCTACCTGCGAAACATCCACCCGCAATGGCTGATGCCTTTTTGTTTGCTGCGTCTGTGCAGGTATCTGCTGTTCCACCTGTTGCTTGCGGTTGTTTGGCAGCCTTGGCTGTAGTGTACCTCTGCTAGCATTTAAAAATGAGGGAATAGCGATACCAGGAGGACCCAAAACTCGCGGAGTTAGAGGAGTTGTGAGACTTTGGAGAGAGTGTGGCCTCAAGGTTTTGTCGTCGACAGATCCTGTGTCGATCCTGTCAAAGCCCTCCTCAATATCACTTTCGACAACAAGTCGATGAGGCGACGGTTTGACGGTGTAGACAAAGTGAAGCGGAGTTGAGGACGTCGATGGAAGAGGCGGGGAGGAGGGTGCCGACTGTGATGGTAGCGGTGACGACAGATCTGCGATTTTAACCTAAAAACGAACAAAAGAACCTAGCCAATGAGAATGTCTGAAGAACCTAAATAATCGACGCTGTCGTTTCGTGAATCATTACCAAGTAAAGGCTTGACTATATTGCTAGCTAATATTTGTTCTTCACCCACAAAAGAGAATAGTAATAGATTGAGATAAGGGCAAAATCTTTATTAGATAAGAACCATGCATTTGCGGTTGTCTTTAAACAACTATATTCAAAAAAATACCATTTTCCTAGTGCCGTCCAACATGACACCAGTGTGTGTATGTATGTTAGTTTATTAAAACCCAAAGTCGAGAGCCGACAAGCGGATTTACATGAATTCTTAAAACAAAGTCACTAATTTTTCCCCCTAGTTACTCCAACCTACAACAAAATTCAGTGTTTTTCCCTTCCCCGTCTAACACGACGAAAAATGCCAAAACTGCGCCACAAATGATGCTTCAAGCCCCCTAAGCCTTTATTATTCCAGCTTCATATATTTGCTCCTTTAAAAAAGCCCTCTGTTCCAACCTTCGAAATGACCTTGATTTGGTTGCGGCCAATAAATCTTGGGCGGCTGATGCCGCCTGTCTCTTTTCTGCCGAAGTGGCAGCGCTTCAATTGTGGGAATTATGCTGGAAATGGTTGTGTAATGCATAAACAATGTCTTGCTGATGACACTTCACTCAGACTACTTTTATTTGCAAAAGATTCCCTTTACAAGTTTTTTAACAAGCTCTGGCAGTTTTCTTCTTGGTCTTCAAAGGCCATAACAACAAGAGAAAAAACCTGTCGAGATTGATCTGTGAATTGCTTTCTCTTTTAACGTCTAGGTTTTTTGTGTTTCAAGCGCCCAAGAAAGTTAATAGCATGAGGAGGTGCTTCCACCAAACTGATAATCTCTCTTCGTTAAATGTAACTGATAGGTTTCCCTATTCTTCTTACAACAGAATGGTGAAAGGATGGTCTACGGTCAACCGAGTTTCTGGTAGGCACATGCATTCCCACTGCAAATTTCGATGATAAATTTTCCTTACTGCCTCTCGTAGGCACAGTGTCAGTACTAGCAGATGCAAATATCCCACATTCTTATGCTGGAAAAAGGCATACATGGCTTTCATAACGCAAGTAGTCTCGAACAGGCGACACCTCCTTCTCATCCAGAGGAAAAACTTGGCCCATTCAGATGGCGCTTACTGAATACAAGTACAAAACTTTACTACGGTGTTTATCAGTTAAACGTTTCACCAGAAAAGAAAAATAATTTTCCGGACTTGTGGGAAGATTTAATTGGACGATTGGATAATTTGGTGGGTACTCCTGTCCTAGTGGAATGCGTGCCATTTACGGGGCGGAGGGAGGTAATGTCAGACAAGGGGGATTTAACACCCACGCAGTGTTTGGTTAGCAAAACAAGCTCCCGGCAACCGTTTGTCTGTCTGCCAAATTGTCTGTTATTCATATTGGAATGAGTGGCAACCCCTAAATCAGCTGCTTCAGCCTGATTTCGAGATTCTGCGTCGTAAGAAATAATTTCTTTCCGCCCTTAGGAATGAATGCTAAAGCAGAACTAGAGAATAGGAAATAGAAACCTAGCCAAAGACGGGAACCGAAGTCCAAAAGGATAGGCTCAAATTCTACTTCTGGAGGCCAATAGGAATTATTCAAACTTAAAATGTAAAAGGGTAGCTCGAAATTTCTATCAAAAGGAGAAAGAGTGTTTTTGATGAACCAAAATGCCTCCATACAAACAAGTGCTTGTAGCCATAAATGGAGTTCTTTGTGACCTGAGGCGCAAGAACGGAGGCTGCAGATAACAGGAGACCTCCAGGCCAGTAAGGCACCGCAATAGGACACCCAGCAATACGACTTTTGAACTGCAAGGTGTAAATATTACAAAGGCAGGTGATTCCCAGTCAATCTCGTGAGCGTTTGGTGCGTAAACCGCCTGATCCTGAAATTTTGAACTGTTAACTCACACTGCTAGGATAGGTCAGGGTACTGGTAACTGCTTCCCATTTGGAAGCTTCGAATAAGCTCATTTCAAAGAATCCGTACAGTTCCCACTTCATACAATTTTTTTTTCATTTCTACTATTCTTCAGGCAAACGTTCCCACTTTGATCTAAGCATTCCCCTTACTTGGTATCCCATCGCCTATCTTCATCGTCGAGGCCCTATCTCCTCTGTATCTCGAGGCAGCTTTCAAACATATGGTAGAGGATCTTTCATTTTGTTTACTAAACCGCATACTGGATGATCAAGATCAGAGTTTGCTTGAATATGTGAATGAACATATCCGATAATCTCTTCCTAAGTTGATTAAATCGCCATGATAAAGCCAGATTTATTAATATCCCAAGCAAATTCACAAGTAAGACAAAGCTGACAGCATTAGTTAATAATTACCCTGGATGGAGCAGCAATCAGTTCCATAAAGGCACTCACAAATTTTTTCTGCTGTCCAACAAAAGTCTCCCCACTGGAAGGACGATGCCTCACCTCCGTTCGATAGATGGGACCTCCAGAAGAACCTGCGGGAGGAGGTTGAGGTGGAGGCGGTGACGCTATGGATGGGGGCTCGGGGTCTGTGGAAGTCATGTAGGGTCTCATGAGGACATCCAGACGCCGGCTGTCTATTCTCTCCACCTCTGCACTTTCCGAGAGTCGTCGACCCTGATTGCGGTAAATGCTTTCGTAGTTGGCGTAGGAGTCATCCATGGGCCTCTTTGGTGTTGCTGTACTCACGAGGCCCCGCAGCTGTGGTGATGTCGCAATACCCACTGCATCCTCCCCTGCCGGTGCGTATGGAAGTCGTGATGGGAGGCCCACGCAGTCGGTAGTGACGCGTCGCTCGAGTCGGTGAGACGGCCGCATTTTCGGCGGTCTAGGCGGCTTGTTGAGATCTCCCGCAGTTCGACCAGGGATCATAAGACCCTCATCTGGCTCCCATTCATATATGCCCTGAGATATCGAGCCGTTGGTACGAATTGTGGCGCCTCGAACAGAGTCTTTTGAAAGGCCAAAATGATGAATGGGAAAAGGTGGTAACTTCCAATGAAATCTCCTATATATTTTGCAGACAGATAAGGGCTGCAATCTAATAAATATATTTAAACTTTACATCGTTCCCCAGTAAATTTCGTGACTTTTGACTTGATAAGCCCCCTGAGAAAAGCCCTCTTTATCAAGCTGCTTCAAGCAGAAACAGTCAAGTATTTTAAGGCTTAGTTTGTTGCACCGCTTTCATCAGAAAGTATCACATTGGCGACACAGTGCTAGGGGATCTTATCCTACTTATTGACACTAGGGATGCATAAATTCCTGAATCTTTTTTGCATAGACTTGCTACAAATCACATAAGTGAAATGTCTAGCACTTCATTTCACGTAAACATTCACATCAAGATAAAACGTGTAAGAAAACAGATTACGAAAGTAATAAAGTTGAAACTGTATGAAATCGCGGATACTCTTCACACTTATCAATTATCAAGGATTGCAAAGTTATTCTGCACCACTAATAAGCGAGATTTTGAAGTTATTTAGTTGTTTTTATAACAATATCACAATTTAAACCCTTTTTACGTATTACTGATATGCTGAGTGATCCACCTACCTACTTTGAACAAGTAATGCGTATGCCGTTGTTTCACTCTCGGATAGTGAATGTTACCCTCGTTGAAAAACTTCTATCAGTACTGCTTGCCAACTTTAATTCTCAAAAACGATGCATCAGAGAGTTGAGCAACTACATTTACGCACTGAACTGCACTTTTAGGAGATTTGAAGCCACAACGATATTTCACATTGGTTGAAGATCTTTGGTCCCACGCTCATGCATATTACAGTGGTTTGTCATCATAACTGGCGCTGTCTATCAAACACAGGCGTTTTCTGCCTCAAGTGAAGGCCTTCCTCCAATGAACTCGAACATACTCATGTTTGGCACCTTTCACTTAAAACTCCTTCCAGAGTGTTATCTTGTGCTTCCAAATCGGGCCACTTGTTCGCAGTGTTAGAGGGACATCATTCAAACCTCACCAACAGCTTCAATTTCATTGTGTTATTATCTTACAGTGTTCCATGTAATAAAACAGCCAATTCAATGTTAGCTTGTTGTGAATACACCGACATCCGCCTGCCAAATGCCAAAAATGCTCCCTCCTTAGCAGTTTGAATAAAATCCTAATTGAGCTGCTTCTGATGCCGCTATTGCATTCAAATCATACATCCGAGAACATTTTTGATTACAAATTTTATTTCCATCGCCTGCTTTTACATTACACCTCAAAATAACTGACACAAATTGTACGTGGATGCAATTAAATGCTATTTTCTTGAGTGCGATAATTAAATAAAGAAAGACGTTCATGCACAACCTGGTTTATTAACATTTAGTGGGGTTTTGCAGCATGTTTTATCACGAATCTCTCACCAAATTAACTGTGCGATTTTATTGCCGTCTTTCCAAAAAATTGAAGCAGTGATTTGAAAACGACCCACCAAAGTTAAAGCTCATTGTCTTGCGCTTTCTGGTAGTTATCATTTTAATTAGAGTATTTAAGATGCCGTAACAAGAGCCTCTTCAGCTTTAGCGAGAATTCTTTTCCTTATACCTTGGAATGTATGCACACTATGGGACCACAGACATTAATCCGTCAGGTTAGTTAGTCACGTGTTTCTGGGGTATTTTGGCATCAAAAGCTCAAGCTGAAAACATTTTTGGCTGATGGATGAAAAAACAGAACACTATGTTAGGATTAACGCATTAAATTCTTTCTTCATGGTTACGATAGAGCGATGACATCTTCAAGCTTTGGAAGGCTAGTACATCAGTAGATAATTGGAAGGCAGAAAAGGTTTTTTGCAGTGTTTAACCTAAACTAAGATTCATTAGTTAAGCCTCTTAGAACCTCTTTGAGAGCTAATTTTGACAACTGAAGAGATTTCGCTAATTACCGTCAATTTATGCTTCCAACCTAAAAAGAAACCGCGGAATTTTCCATGGCCTTCATTCGTCTCAACTCTAACGGTAGTATTTCTACCGCATATTTCTTTTCTATACTAAATTACACTTTTATTGCCTAGTTGGCCTAAAATTAGCTGAAAGTAGACCAATAAATTGCTCCCTCTCTCCAGTTGGTGAGATTCCACCCTTCCCGCCAAGTAAAACTGCCCGACCTTTCTTAGAAGTATTGTAGCCCTCAGGACCTCTTTCCTCGAAACTCGTTAAAACGATACTTTTGAAACAGTATTTAGCTAGGATATTATAAAATAAACGGTTTGGTTACGGCCATTTACGTTATTTGGAGCAGATGGATAGGTAAAACAATCATCGGTAGTATTTTGACTTGACCTTATTGTGACTACCTTTTCAGTGAACAAGCACGTCATCGGCTCGGATTGAGTTTAGGTATGCCCTTAACTTTACCATCTAGGCTCGTACCGCACAGGCCAGATGTCTCCCATTAATTCATCTGCCTTCTAATTCTGCCAAGAATTACTCAAGTGCCAAAGTGGCGATAATGTTGGACAGTGCTACTGGGTGCCACGTTAAAAGGCTTCTGCAACAAAAGTCTGCAGCTGTGAAAACTCAAATCAGAAATGCTACCAGAACCTCAGCTACTCCTGACAACTGCTTCGATCTCGAGTTTGAAGGAATCAGAAGCTTAATCCCAAAACTATAAAATCGTGACTTGAAACCATCCTATTTGCGAAACAAATGTACTCGTTGCAGAACTTCGTCCGACCTTAGACCCTTCTTTTCAGATTGATGCAGTTTGCTATCGTAGAGGTTTGGTATCCTTGGGTTTTCAAACTAGAGGCGTGTTATTTAATAAATCTACTCGCACTCACTAGTATTACTGCTAAAGAAACGAAACAAATTTATTGTATGATGGCTGTTCAATGGAAGATTACCGACGATCGAAAAAGAATAGAGAACGCTGTAAGTGAAGGACATGAAAAGAAAATAAAAGGAGTCAAGTGTCTGATTAACCTAATTCTGTGGGGTTCGTCAGTCTCCTGTGATTTGACGACTGCATTGGTGAAGTATGGGACCATGCTAATGCCGCCGAATCGTCAGTCTTTTACCAGGTTTTTAGCAAATTTACTTCCTGAAATGTACTAGTTACAAGGTTCCCGAAGAACACTGAAGCCTCAGAGCATAGATCATGGAAGCGTGGCAGAGCTCACCATAAGGCACTTGCGTTGTCCTGTTCGACATGGCCGGTTTGCCATCAGCGAAGCGGACCGTCTTGCGCGAGAGCGAGTCGCCAAGGTTGGAGGAGGCGATGGAGTTACAGCTGTCATGGATTTCGCTATTAAGATCAACGCTGTCCCAGAAGCCGCGTCCACTGAATCCGCCTCGAGGTGAGTCAGCTCCCACCTCGGAGGTGGACCGCTGGCCCTTTAGAATTCCCCGGTGCGTTGGTGTCGGCGTCGGCATCTGCGCTTGCACCTGCGGCGTAGGCGGTCGGTAGGCCAGCTGCACTGTCGGCTCTGTGGGTTTCGGACTGAGCGATGAGGAGCGCTGACCTCCACCACCACCGCCACCGTTGGTACCCAATGCACTGTGATACCACTTAGGAAAATGAATTTGGGAGGGGACCAAGTTAGGTGCTGTCTCGCCCAGTCTGGTTTGACCAAATTGATCGGACATCTGGTAGAGAGAAAGGAATAAGGCACGAGTTAGTTCCTTGTTTTTTTATAAGGGAAATTTTGTTCGAATTTATCTTCTTAGCCATATTTAAGCTCAGATATTAATTATTCCGAAGTATTAAGCAGGAGTATACAAAATTAATGTTGGCTTCTCCATCAAACATTGGAAAAAGTGAGCTGATGTAGAAGGAAGGCCTTAGAATCCTAAACAAGTTCATTAAGCCCATTTATCCCAGTGTTATACAGTGACTTTTAAAAACCCCCCACGTGTTGACCTAGTTAGAATTGACTTTGTACGAAAGGTATACGCATCATTTGGGGGTGTTCTGCGAAGATTTTCCTGTATTGGAATAGTTACCCTAAGTTTCCATCAGTATTAACGCTACCACTAACAGACCATAAACTGGAACATCTTTAAAGAGTCCACAATCAATCGTTTGTTGCTTTTGAACAACTAAATCCCCCTATTAACCATCATATTGCATGTCAATAGGGTTAAACCTGAAAACAGAGCCATAACAAATTGAAAGGATGTGGATCCTCCTCCGCAGAGATAAAATTTGCCATTTAATCTGCATTTTTGCACGTAAAGAAAGTCCTAGACTGAATGTGGCAACGGAAGGAGGGCAAGTCGCAGAGCAAATCAGTGCGACAGCGTCGACAGCTTGAAACGTCAACTGCAGAAGTGCCTAACTGTTGAAAGAAAAGTTCGTTGATGAAAGGATATGAAAGTTTCTTTCGGCTGACTCGTTAGTGGAGAGGATTCACTTTTTGAAGAGTATTTTACTAAGGAAGGTCATGGAAAACGATAGACTTCAGGCTACTGCAACAGGCGTGCTCACCATTCAGACAACGCTAGGGCCCATGATATACGCTGACGACAGAAAGCATCAGCTTCCCCTATCCTGCCGTTCTTGGGAGTCAGACTAATTAAATTTGTTCTTTTTTTTATTGCCAAAGATGGCAAGTGCCTTTTTTGTCACTGGCACACCAATTATACTTGTCTGCCAAATTGTAAAATTTTTGCCGCCAACGCTCGCACTGATTGAGAGACAATTGCCACACCGAGGAGGCAAATGAGTAGCTGATCAGTAAACTACTTGACACTTCAAAACTTCTACAAGCGAGTAAGCCAATAAACTCGTGCCTAGCAAAATACTTCACAGGGAACGGATTGAGTCACCATGACAACTGAAACGCATTGACTTCTAAGGCATTCGATTGTAAAGGGGTTTATTTAGATGTTAAGCGTTCAAGCTAAAGTGAGGTTCTTAATTCTACAATTTCTTATAAAAAAGCCTAGTTTCTTGGCAGTACTACACGAAGAAGTAAGTGCCAAGGGTTTTCTGTCGCATGCTAATGGCCTATTCACCTGTTCTGGGTGAATCAAGATGCCAGACAACGGTGTCATTGTGTGCATGCAGGCAACAACGAGCAGTCTTTTAGAACTTTATTTCATCAGGAAACCCGAGTTAAACTCCAAACCGCAGACTTCTACTTTAAGGCCAGCTCGGTTCGATGATGCCAACCACAGTCGCTCTGACTGTCAGCCTGTCTGAGGTTGCCATCTCAGTAGCGTGGCGGCGAGTGGTGCCAACGTTTCAGTGATCGTTTTACCTCTACAAGTCAATGGCGACCCCATCTGTGGCAGTTTCATTCTCAGGCCACAACTCTTCCCTGACCAAATCCATAGCCTTCCTTAAGACTGGGAAACATTAATTCGCCTTTGCGACGGGTAAGTATTATTGGCAAATGTTGCCCTACCGATGCTTTTCAGGTACTAGTTCAATCTGGGGATATGTGTAGAAATGCTGGGACAGCTAACTAGAAGGACAAATTTTGGTTCATTTTTTCTAATGTTCCGATAGAATAGCGTTGACTGATGAGGCACCACCTACCAGAGAAATGTCGTTCTCAAAGCTGCCGCGTTGACTTGGGGGTAAGTTATCCATTCGTCCGGTAGAGTAGATGGTGGTGGGCGGTGAGCTGAAGGTCGCGTAGGCTCCACGACCCAGGTGATTCATCTCCACAGGACGTGGGTTCAGTGTACTCATCACGTGGCTTTCCATCCGTGCCCCAGGCTGTAACAGATACTCCGTACTTATTTTCAAAGTTGTAGCTTTTCTCTTCCCTCAAAACTGCCTATTCAATAGAATAAAAAAATTAAGAGGGCCCTTAAAATAGTTCTTGAGTGTGGCACTTTTGGGGCTTTTTTAGCCCCCAAAGGTGATATGTGGGAATCGCTGCTGACAAAAATGTGGGCTGTGGCTTAGGTTCAGTTTATATCGTGATTAAACTTGAACTAATCTGGCCAACTATTAATAAACTGTTCACAGAGAGTTTAGGAGGAAGAATTTGCCAAAATCCACCCTATTTCATCCATATTCTAGCTTAACGCGCAATTTCAGTAATCTCATCGCTGAACACACGTTTCATAGAAGCTGTACATTGTACCCCCTAGCTATACTGTGGTCGTTATCCCAAAATTAAACGGAAAATAGACCAAATGCTACCTTTTACAGGACAATGATGTGTTGATGGAATGATTCTTAGAGTTGTTGACGCAAGAATTTATTCTTCAAATGATAAACACGTCGTCACTTCTTCGAAATTGGCATGCATCATAGAAGTAGAGTCACTTATGACTCAGTTGTAAGGTGAGAAAGTTGACCAATGAAATGGACTGATCCATTTAATTCGCCAAAGTTTATTTTATTTCTTTTAAGGTAGCCCGGGTTCGCCCACTACAATGACTTATGTTTTGAAGACCACTATTTAATTGTAGTGATCCAAAAGTGCTGTTATGGGGCAAAATTCCAGTCCATAGTGCATAAAAAACTGCAAGTTCCATAAGGGCATAACTTCATATTCCGCAGAGCGCATGGTGTTCAGCACCAGTAGAAAGAAAACAATAGGGATATTATCATTTGCCCAAGAAGTTTCCTGATTTGGCTGGAAAAATCAAAGATGTAGAATGTGGATACGTGTGCGCGTGTTTGAAATACGCCTCTGTCCTTTTCACTATGAAATTGCATCCTCAATTTCCAATGAAACAGTAATGTGTAGGAAGCATGTAGTGAATATGCTGGGAGGAATAGCTGACTCATTTGATAGGACTAGTCATTGTTTTTTGCATTCTGAAGGAAATTAATTACTCAAATTTTCTGGTCCCTTCACTTTACCTCCCACCGCCTCTCCGCTTCCCAATAATCCCACTTTCATAGAAGCCGTCACTTTTTGCTATCCATCTGTTTGCTAGGGAGTCATGGGCTTCGAAGACAGTCTACAACGCATGGGCCTGCCACTATTTCTTGAGTAAAAGTGGTCGGAAATGGAAAAGCAAGTGTGCACCTTGTGACAATGAGTGACGAAGACGAAGTTGTTATCAACAAAACAGGTGCATGCCCTTTCGGATCTTGGAAAAACTGAAAGCACGCTTTTTCCACGACAGAAAGGCCGACTAAGGAGAGCAATTTTCGAAAAGGTGACCTCGACATAAAACGGATGATAGCTTTTATTCTCCTTAATTTTGACCCTTAAAGAACGAATAAGTGGTTGGAGTTGTTGCAAGTCCACAGCAGAAATTAAAAGGAGGTACATTCAGAGGCAAATTGAAGAGATTTTATAGGTTCCTGAGGGTAATTAAAACCTAAAACAAGGTAGCATTTAAATCACAAACATATTCTGATTTAGTTCTGCCTTGCGATCAGATTATATGGTCAAGTTTGAAAGGAAAATTGATTGTGATTCTTTTAAGGCCAAGACACTGTCAATAATAACACTCCCTGGGTTTGATTTGTGGGTAGGCAGAAGGGATTGCCTACAGCGTCTGTAGGTGTCTCAGGTTAAGACAGGACCATGTGTTTCGAAGCATGCGTGGAGAATCAATGCTTTGACGCGGTCTCGTATAAGCTGAGGTGCGCGTGTGTGAATGGGTCCCATGAAAAACCACTTTTGGAAGGAAACAAAAGAGAACTTTCAGAGATTAGCACATCGGTTGGATCTCAGGAGGGTCTACTCATCGAAAAAGCACCCCACAAAGAAAGAATGTTTTGGTGATACGGCACTCAATGATGTCCCTTCCAGTTCGGAGGAGTCGAAGACTCTAGAACTGCAGAGCGCATCCCATGTCCTACGTGGCGTAGAACAGACTAATCTCTACGACCCAAGCCTCCACTTTGGGATCAAGAGGTACTCGAGTCCAATCGTCAGAGAATCAATTGATCAGTCTCTACCGGGGATAGAATATCAGACATCGAATCAGGGAAGAATGGTAAATTACAATAGGCAAAACTACCACGCATTAAAACTTTTAGAGTGCTACGCTATCACCTTCGACGTGTACGGAGAGTCGCCGACAATTATAGCCAAACCGATGATTGAATGGGACAGAAGATTTGGCAGAGCAGCAAAAAATGTCTCATTTCTATATACACCCACTCAGAATCTTGTTGTCCTACTCGCGACAACATCAGTTCTTCAAATACCCCGCAAATCCACTGATGAAGCAAATGATCAGTCTCCAATCTCTGGTGCTACAGCAGAGAGAGAGCAACTATTACAAGGCGATCTGAGGCAAATTAGCTTTTATTCATCTAATTTGAGAACCAAACTGCCCATTGGTTGGGTCATGCTACCCATGCCAATTTACGATGAATCATAGGAGTACGTAAAATACCTTCCAGAAGAGCGTCAATGTGTGCAAATGGAATCGTGAGACTTTCTCAGTCTAGCTGCATGTTCATTTGCTTCTCTTTCGCCCATTATTTGATTACTTCGTTGTGTTGATTAATAAAGTAATAAACAAGACTATATTTTGCAAAGAACTGTCTTTTTCGCCCTCAGATCACGTGCGAGCGGGTGTTTTGAAAAAAGCGATACCCCACGCAGCAATCGTCACATGCTTCGTGTGATGTAGGAGGGTAAGCCAACTGGAAGCGCTAGCACCCTGTTTTCTCTTGGAAAAAATAATAAAGCACGTTTCTTATTAATTTACTTTTCCTTTTCCATACCTGCAATGAGTGTTGATTTTTCGTAATGGAAGTGCAGAGTAAACAATGTGGAGGCATAAAGTCAAAAAAAGGTGCCATCAAGAGTAAACCTCCCCTTGTAAGGCCAAATAGGCAGTTGAAAAGGACAACCAGACCGTATTTACCGTGTTACGGTGCACGAATTGGTACCTCCAAGTGGCGTGGGCTCGGAAGGCAGAACAATTTTGCAGTTTTGGATTCAAACGAGGGGTCTCACAAACTCAACACCACCATCTCTCCGTCACGGCTTATTTCAGCTCGAGTGTACCATCACATCAACAAACTAAACTATTCTACTCTTCCAGCAAGGATGACACTTTACAGGAGTATCGTAAATTCCGGGCGCTCCAACAATCCTCCTGTGAAACACCAACAACGTCCAACCAAAAAGCCAAAGACTATTAAACCTGAATTAAGAGACAAGTCGAAGTATAATCATGTTATTTCCACAACTGAATCCACCGCTCCAGACGACACCGATCAATACCTCGGAAAAGTGCCTTACAATCCCGAAGGCAGCAGGCTGTTTTTGTATGATTCAAATGGTACAAGTGATAGTTTTTGGGATAGCTCAATCATCGGTGTCGATGATGAAGTATCTGCATCAGTTTTCCTCCAATGTGTTGACAGTAATCCTCGAGACACGCTCCAACCGTATAGGAGAAAGATTTTTCCTTGTACAAAACCACGAAATCCACCACCTGCTGTAGGCGATGTTAAGACTCAACAAACTGATGGGAAGGCTAGCATTCGACCAGACGTCAGCGTTGATACTGAGCTTCATGCACATGAAGATATGTGCCAGCACAAACAATGCGATCAAAACACAGGTAAAGAGGTGGATGTTACATTGAAGACCCTCTCAATGCTCGACGACACTGTCTTTCTGGATGACACACCAGGAAATGAATCCTCCATGACTATCGATCTTCAAGCATTGAAGGAAGAAGTGGACAGAGCTAATGATCTTTCTACTGCAAGACTTGAGTTGTTGGAAAGACCAAGTCTCATTCCCTCTCAGCGGAAATTTTCCATGGAGCTTAAGTGTAATTCGCAGATTACTGAGACCATTGTTGAGAATAAAATTTCACACCGAACGTCGGAGTTTGTGGCACAGATGTCCGCTTCTCTATCATCCGCTCCAAGCTACCACCAAGGTATCATTCCTGAGGTTGGGCCTTTGGCCTTAAACATGTCCAATTCAGGTGTGGAAAGAAAGAACTCCCACAAGACTATCTGGCAACGCCTTTTTAGGCGAAGTTCTAAAAGTGCCTCCAAAGATTCTGAAGAGTTGAGCAAAATAAATTCAAAATCGAGAACTTTTGGAAGCACCAGTCCTTCTCTGGAGGTGACAACACAAAAGACGCTGAATACCTTCAAAAGTCATTCAAATAACACCAGGAATGCAAAGCAGGATGCTCGTTATAATCCACCCTCACCTTTTGAAGTAGCAAAAGCACAGAGATCCGGTTTAAAGGAGGAAATTGTGCCTATGGCGTCCAAGGGGAATCAAACTGATTTCAGAACTAAAAAACGAAAATTTTCAAAAGCGAATAGGATGCATGCTTCTTCTGAATCACCACACCTGGTTCAGTGGCAGTCTTTAAGCAAAGAAGGGTCTTTATTTTCTGTTAATCCCAAAGAAGGCAACAGACAAAACTCCAAGGAATTAGCAACGATAAAATCCGGGAACTTGGAACAAAATACATCTAAAGTAATTTCTGTGGAGGTGAGCAATTCCTCAATCGCAAGTGCGGATAGCGATCTCGTCTGCTTTGTTCAGGTAGCAAAGACAATTTCCGTCGAAAATAGCCCACCAAAGTCGGCTAAAAAGGCGTACGAGGAGAAGGAAGCCTATAACACACAAAAAACGATCCTTCCAACTAGTTGTGTAAAAGAAGGAGAGGGAGTGAGGGAAGGTTGCACTAAACGGGCCGAATCTCGACGGACCAATTTGGAAATAAAAGCCCCATGTGTAAGCGCTATCTCACCTCCTACCAACTGCGTTGACACAACAGATGAAGACGATCCCTTTGCATCGGACCACTTCTCTAGCGTGTTTTCAGCCAAGGATAGTCTCGATTTGTGCACGTGGGTGGAGAAGCCAACGCATTTTAAGATCTCAGAGGATAAGACAATTTCAAGAAAGTCAGAACCTGTCACTGCGGCAGGAAGTATTGCTCCCTTCCCCTTGGAGGAGACAAGAATCCCTGAGAAGCTTCATCCAAAAGACAGCCTTGACATGTATGTTCTTGGTGATGTAGATCCAGTCGAGAAGAAGCCCTTCAAGAATGAGGTCAAATTTTTGCTCAGGAGGAAGAAAACTAAGTTAGTTCAAGAGAAGAAAGAAGTGCCAGCAATTGATTGTCCTCAATTGCTTCTTCAACCACAACAACAACAGCTACAGCAAAACATGGACTTTGCTAGTGCCATAGAAGAGTTGGCAGCTCAATTTCAGCAGTTAAAAAGGCAAAACTCGAGTGTTGTTGAGAGTAGGGCATTTTCGGGGGAAAATAAATGGGGTGAGGGAGAAGATGGTAATGGTACTGAATACGGCTTTTACAATGAGAATGAGGATTCAGTCTTTTTGGATCAAAATCGGCCTGCTTCTGAACCACCTCCAGAGATAGTTCCTAATTCGCACGGACAGGAGAGCGTGATAAATGAGGAACTGATGAGTTTTCCACAAGTAAGAGTTTTCATAACATCACCAGACAGCATTACACACACTCCTGTTGAGGAATCTAGTCACAATTCCCCAACTATTGAGCAAACCTCTTCTCCTACTGATGCACCTCCCCAGTTAGTGATCATTTCACCATATTCCACCGACGGTTCAAATCACCCCTCTGTTGTTGGACCTGTTCCGACATTCCCGATGAATGAGGCCAACCTAGGAGCCTTCTATTGTGTGCTACCAAATCAATCGGACAAGCAAAATCAGGTGCCTAATTCCAGCCCCGATTTAGCATTTCATTCATTGCAATATGGTTCGGTAATGCATCCTGCCGGGGTTAGAATCCCGACATTCCCCATAGTTACTGAACCCCACTTACATTCCCTTGAAGTACCTCAGCAAGTTGTATTTTTAAATCCAATGGAGATGAGTCCAAGTTCTCCTGATCCCAATATCAATGAACTCCCTTCCATACAAATGCAAGATCCGCCAACTAGTGATTTCATTAGTCCAGTAATACAGTTCGAGAGTCAAAACTTCAGACCTATTCAAGATAGTAATTATGCAGCATCTGGAGAGGATTCCCTTGAATATATACTACCTGAGAATTGTAACAAATTCCAAGAAGTATTAGCAAACTCAGGACAGAATTTATTGGAATGTATTCAATCCGAATTGATAACAAACAATCAGAAAAATACAGAGATCTCTAACAGAAGTTTGAAGTTTGGAGAGGTTGTGCCTTGTATATGCACCCTGAATCCCTCTTCCAACTTAATCTCACCGAATCCATCCGCTTTGATTATGGAACAAGGGTTAATCGGAGATAAGCAGGAGAAAATGTTTCGCAGTGAAAATACGATCTCAGGAGAAGCTGCTACACAAAGGAGCAACTTGGAGAAAACAAAGGCAACTCATCCTACTCTTACTCACTCCTATTCGTTAGAAAACAACAGGCATTCTGACGACCCAGAAATAAGGACGAAAGATCTTAAGCATAACATCTTGACTACCAACTTGAGTTATGGGCAAGCATTACCCCTATTTGCACTGAACACAACAATGTCAACAACAACTGCTTCAGCTGATTTACATTTCCCCCCAGACACTGCTTTTATAAGCGACAATCAGGTGAGGAAAGCTGGTGAATGCTCGAGACAGGCCTCATCGCCTTCAGAAAAAGGTTCGTGCACAGAGATTGAAGTAATCGGTATTGATGATGAGGCTAATACCAGTGAAGGGGAACGCTGTAAGGTAGGTCAAAGTGCGGTGCTGATTGAAAAAATATCCGATTCTCTCGTGTCGTTTCTTGAGCTACATTCGACGACGAGACATTCTCTCTGCGATACTAGCACAAAGAAGGAAATACCTGATCAGGAGGACTTTAACTTTGTGTCAAGCATGACCCAAAACATAAGATGCAACAGAAAAGCAGACTATGAAGTATCAATTTCAGTCAGTGGAAACTCGCAAACAGATTTGAAAGTTCGTTTGGGATCGGTGACTTTGACTCAAGAAGGCCAATATGAAGACCGCTCGGTTGCGACACCACCACAAAGGGAAAGCAGCAGATGTGGTAACACTGGAGAAGTGGAACAGCTTCGATCGGCAGAAGAGGACACTCTATGGGTCCCTTCAAGCAAAAGCATAATTGACAGTGAAGTTCAGAGCGAAACTCTAAAGATAAACGCCAGCACAATTAGTGGGGGCGATTTTGAAGAACCAGTGGTGAGTAGCAGTGGTCCAAAACTTTGTCAGGAGCAAAATAACCCACCGGACAAAAATTTGGATGGAAACGAATACAGTCCTGTATCAGAAACAGAGGTTTTAGAAATCCCACTCAACGTTGCCACCAATAGAAACAGTTGTTATTTTTTAAATCGGGATGGTCTGTCCCTGTCTACGGACTCAAAACAACGCGAAACAGGAGAGTACTCTGATGTTTCCGGGTTCCAAAACGTCATGGTGACCTCAAAGGTTTCACCAGCAGCCGCTCCATCGTCAACCTTTCAAGCACTTAATGTTGAGGTGAAAGCAAACCCCGCTTGGCTATGCCAGGGCATGTTTGTTCGAGCAGTGAAAACAAGGAATGAGGGTGGGTACATGGAGAAAAGATCGAGAACAGGTGAAAACGAAAGCATTTCATCTGGCCCCTTCATTTTTCATGAAGAAATTAGGAACCAATCGATCCCTTCCATTAAGATCAATCACTCAGACGAAGTAGACTCCAGGAAAACCAAGGATGGCAGATTTATTTTAGACTGTAGCATGGATGTACTTCAACCGTCAAAAGTTAAACGGGAAGAAAGTGATGTTATTGATCACCTAGGTTTCATAAGTATTGAAGATCAAAACGGTCCGATTCAAGGACCCACCACTAGAACCCTGAGGCGGGATTCCAATTTCATACAGCGTGAAAGCAATATCCCTCTAAGAACTTATTTTAGAAGCACGTTACAGACGACACTCGATTGTAGTGGAAACGGAGCTCACACCATGAATAGTCAGGATCTTGCTGCTAAAATAGAAAACGTCGGAAGACAGAATGACGTAAAATTAAATGAGCAGATCCAAGTCTTGGAAAATAACGGACCTGTTGAAGAAATACGCCCAAAACCACGTAAACTAGTTAATTTGCCTGCCTCCAGCACTCCTGATAGTAGTAGAAAACAAAAGCTCTCTCCAACTAGTGCACAGGAAATGCCAGCACTTATCTTCGTTCCTGGAACCCGACTGCCAACTGAATTGATGAAACTGTACGACAGCAAGACTGATCATCCCAGTGGATGGTGTATCATGCCTCTTCCTGTCTATAGAACACAGCACGCACTCTACGCTGCTTATGCACAAAACTTCTCTGGTTTCAAAGTTTGATTTGTTTTATTTTTACTTTTTGACAATAAATTACGGATATTACCATCATCAATCCCCATCACTTAGTTCATTCTTTTATGATAATCGGCTGATGTGAAGACTTAAAATCTATAAAAGAATTTAGTTAGGATAAATTCATTCTACATATGGGAAACGAGCCCCTTTCCCCTAACTTCTTCCATAAGTCATTTTAGACCTTGGCACGATGCTGTTGCACAGCACGGGGACATAACACCTTGTCTTCCCTAATTTGTGGGTTCAAGGTCGTGCAGTGTTCAATAGTTTTAAACGTGAACACGCGCCAACACATTAACTGGGTGGGTGAGTCCATGTGAAGATTGTGATATGACAAGTAAATTGGCCACTGATTCGGACGCCCTTGGTGGAATGCCCCTAAAAGGCTCCGAACTACCGTCTGTATGTTTTATGGCAGAGGCGATTCGCATCACGGGTTCAAGTACAAATGCAGTTCATCCAAGGACCACTACGCCTAATCGCTCCTGCATCTCCATGACCTCAAACAGGATCGCAGAGGAGGATTTGTTTAAAGAGGCGATTAGCTTAAGATACGGAAGGGATCAGCACAAGTCCGAACAGACAACGGATGCAAAGTGCGTCAGTGATATTCATCTGTTGTATTTAAAGCAACCAAATTCATTGTTGACCCAACCTACGCAAGGGTCTTTTCGAATATCGAAAGTGGTTCAGAAGGACAATGGCAAATTATGCAAAAAAAGGACACTTTATCTCTGTAATCGAGCGCTTCAACGCCGTGTTGCCGATCACGATTCCTACCTGTACTGCTCCAAAGAGATGGATTTCTTCAATGAAGTAGGTCTTGTTACAGAAGTGGCAGATGAAACCATCTTAGCAAGTGAATTCCATCAAAACCTTTATCCACCCTCACTCTCTTTCATTCAGTCAATTGGCTTATCACCATTCTGCTCGTACCAAACCGAGGAGGAGGCATTTTCACAGAAGTATGGCCGCACTCTTGAGATAGATGCCCAACCGAGTTCCGTAAAGAAAAGCCTTGAGTCAAACCTTGCGATTGGTGACTGCGCCCTGACTTATTTAAGCGTTACCCCAAGACATGACAGCACTGTAGGCAAACGTCTCTTCATTAAACCAACCTGGAAGGAGAGGCTTTTCTCGCGACTTTGTTATTTTAAGCCTAAATACACGAGTTTATAAATTTCATAGTCACCATAGCCCAAGGGTTCCTCCTGGGGTTTGTCAATCTGCCCCGTGCATTTTACTTGTTTGTGATTATCCTTGAGTTTAGACATAACTGTTTTTTCCTTATAATTTACGTTAATTTTGCATTGATGTTTACTTAAAACACTGCATTCTTCTTTATTCTTACGCCTAGAAAGCTAACAGCCAGCACTAAACGCAGTCACCATGATTGGGTGGGTGTAGCGCAGTGGGACTACAAGGTCTCAAGATGGTGATCACATGGATTTGCTTTTTGCCGTACTCATGTGATTTGCGTCTTTCCACCTGCCAGAACTGTCACAGTGTCTAACAAGTCGAATTGAACATTCATAAAGTGATGTGTGACTTTACAAGCAAAGTCTACTTAAACGATGATCTACTAGGCTGGAGTGAGGAGTCAAGTGTTAAGTTTAAGCCCTCGAAGTAACCGATGAAATAGCACTGTGTGGCATTTTCAGTCTCCGTGGTTTGTACTTACCCTTAGTGGCAAGGCCTTCTGGCCATCCCTAAAGACTCTCACCCCTTCTATCCGCTAGTAATAAATCATTTATTTATATTAATACATTTTATCATGACCTCAAGAAAGGTTCAAGGTCATAGGGCACGTAAGTTTCCCCAAGGAAGACGAGGCGAATTAACCACAAACACCGCAAATGATTCAGTTTATGATACAAGTGGGATAAATATAGCAGACTGCACAAGGAATGACTGAGATCGGGTCCTTGTATGAACCTAGTATCTTGTGAATTAATCACCAAATCAAATTACAGCTGAGCTAATAAAAAATACATTTGAAGCATACCAACGTTGACAAAAGCAATCAGTATCAAAAATGAATACACAGGGGTGTGTCAAAGATAGGGTTGTGTGGAGCTTGAGATAGACAAATGGCTATATCATTTCGCCTACCTTTTTGATGATTATTTATGCTAATGCTGGCACTAGTGGACTGGTCGTATTTGAGTATTTTTAAAGTCAACTTTGAAATCATTATCTCTTGTCGATTTGTGGGCACATGTAACGCACTTCAAAGTTTCGTAGAGAAAAGGGATGCATTTTTTTTGGTATTTCTAGTTTAAAGTATTCAATAAAAGGTAGAGAAACTGAAGCATAAATTCATAAGCGTGTGAATAAAGTCTTGAAACTATGTAAAGCAAGATATTTAACACCGATGCGGCGATGCAATGATGGTGAATATATGGAATGCACAGAAGACGATTACTTACTGCCGCATAGAAAAATCCAGGTACCGTCCTGTCCTGACAAATGGAGGAAGGGGAGATTTAGCAGACACAAAACACTCTGAAAGGTTCGCCTGATTCAGCGGCATCCATGTGAAGCCAGTGATGCACAACTGCACGATATTGTAGTGCCGATCCCAGCCACTTCATTGGTTGCTCGGGTGACGAATCACATCTCGGGGATCAGTTGCGTGTACGTGCTTGCACATGCACCTATTCACGATTGCAGAGAGATTGTGCAATTGTGACCTTTTTGCTTGCCTCTGTCACGAATGTCAGTTGCCTTCCTCCTTTTTCTCCCTCTAAAAAAAGAGGCTTTGCAAATTTTTCACATATTTCTTGGTGGCAGTAGTCATTTAACGGTTCAAACTGTCTGCCATCTTTGGTGACCAGCTTCGTCTGGGATAACTCAGAAACTCTCTCATCCTTCATTAAAATCTCGGCTTATGTTAGTTATCTGCTTCTGCTAGGTCTTCCTAATTGTAATTGTCTACGCCCCATCTTTTATTCTTCAAATGAAAAATAAAATTGTAATGAAACAGTCTGATCCAACTGAAGGAGTACAGTTTAGGATTGACTAGCCAATAGTCGTCCGGTCATCAAAGCCGATCCAAGTCTTTCGCACAAGGTACCCTTAGCAGAAGGTTAAATTTTGTGATAGATGGGTCTTCCATTGATAGATCATCTGTAAATATTTACACATTCGTAGTAAGCAGAAAAACGAGGCTCTCGGTTTTTCGGAAATAATAATCCCTTATGGTTCCAAGTGTAGAAGGCTTAAACAGAGTTGATTAGAGGCGGAATTGCATTTCATGCAATTAAAAAGTCCCGAATTAGAAGTTAAACTAGTGCTCTGTCAGTCGATTTTGAAATCTTCACAATTTACAGACAATTGTGCCGTCAACCATGTAATTGCCATCACGAAGTTGGCATTTTTATTGGCATTGCATAATTTTTAGGGCATTGTTGGGTCCCTTTACAAAGCTTATGCTCTGTAACGCCGGTGAGAAAACCTAGTCATCTTCGTGTGGCGGCTCACTTCTGTGCCCACGGTGATGCCTTTACCGCTGCTGGTCTCGTTCGATCATTGGCTGGATGTTGAATAGGTCCCTGTATGGTTTACACTTTCACGAATACTTTAATATCTGCGGTATGTGTGCATATCTATCCGGAGAAAAGTTTGTACAATGTGTAATCAGGTGACATTAGCAGAAAACTGCTACTCTTGTTTTAGCCTCAAAATTGAGACTCGGTATATTTCAAAGGCGATGAACAAACATGGCACTGCTAGCCGTCAGGAGACTGCATTTTTAGACGTCACTACTTTTCACTTTCAGGATTTCTCGACCACAATCTATAATCTACCAACAGGTATGCCAAAAAGTAAAGAAACCTCCAGAATATACATACTTTCGGCGCTTTTTGCGATGATACGTGTACCCAAACCATTAAAATTGAACTTTGACCTTCCCACTCAGTTTTTGGTATTAATTAGGCGCATTTTAGTTGCAAAAAAGTGCCATTGAAATTAAATTATACGTGATGCAATTACGGCGCTCAAGAAGCACCAACTTATCGCAGAACGATTAAATGGTGTTTATTTATGTAATCAACGCCTACGCAGCATATTAAAACCAATTGGAGAAAGGGTTTACGTTGATAGGGAGAATGTTTTTTTTTTCAATTTAACACGAATCAGACATGAATTGGAGGTGGAAAAGGGCTTGCCAAGCACCTGTGCTTCTGCTGCTGGTAATAGCGAAAGTTATGGACTCGACTACTTACAGTTTAAGCACATCACATTATTTTTTGTGGTTATGTAAATATTCCCTTTGGTCACGAGACTGTATGAAGCAATTTTACCGAGACTTCATAAAGTTCGAAACACTTAAAAGTGTTACGATTGGTTGTACTTTAAAGCCTACCGCGTGACGACCTTCACGATAGGTCGCATAGGTCATGTGTGCTTTGTATTTCCTAACTTTCCTTTCTTAGTTGTAGTTTTTGGTAGGCTCCTTGATCCATTGACATATGAAGGGTGTGACTCGAGTGTTGCTTTCTTTGATTGAGTTTGTTACTTTTTCTAATGGCACTCTGCCGCATTTAGTGCTAGCCAAAATAAATCATTTTCACACCCTTCGCATCACATTTTCTACGTCTCAAAGTGGACTTGAATGGATGATGTGTTGTCAGCTGAGAGGTGTCGTTAATACTACTTGAATTGTAAATTTTCTCGCTTTATTATCCAACGCATGTTATGCTCGGTTACTAGGGTGGCAGTCTCTATATTACAATGCCTCCCACAACAAGAGCCCCCTCTAAGCCCTTGTGAGTCATCATCATCATTTGAAACACCATATTTTGCTCTGGCTCATCATACAGACTAACATGCACGCATCGCCGGAGTCACAAGGCTCCGTTTTGCAAACAGCTAATAAATGACACCAAGTAAACACTTCTGAGAATGGGGGGTTTTATAGCTAAAATGAGTGATTTTTGAATGGGTATACCAGCTACTTGTACAGGCCAATGGGCTCCGGCTATTGCTGGTGTGTTTTGCAGCGAATGCCTTCTCGAAGTATTAAAAATACTATTTATAGCTAGATATTGGTGCTTTTTATTTTCAATGATGATAAGGCTTTATTACCAGAATTACGTATATAGACAAAAGAATGAAGCCAAGAAGGCCTCTAATTAAGAGATCACAGTGAATCGCGAAGTTAATTTTCTCAGTTTTTTTCCCTCAATCCACTTCAAGGTAAATCGGATCATATCCGTAGCATTGATGAAAAAAATTGTACTGGTCGCTTAAGCCAAACCTTGACTCCTAATTTTATGATTTTCTACAAAAAGGCTCATTACCGTGGCGGTAGTACACGCAGTGGTAAGTGCCAAGCATCTCCTGTCACACGCCAACGGCCTACCCACCCACGCCGAGCCAAACGAGACGGCAGGCAACGATGATGGTGTGTGCATGCAGGCAACACCGAGCGGTTTTTTAATAAATTTGTGCCAAAAATAAAGCTACGTCAAAGTCTAACTCGCAGACATCGACTCGTACGCATTTGAAGACTTCAAGCAAAGTCCGATTCGATGATGCCAATCGCATTCGCTCTGTCAGTTCGACTGAGGCTGCCATCTCAGCAGTGCGGCAGCTAATTGAATGGTGCGAATGTTTCAATGATGGCTCTATGTCTATACATCAGTGACCATCCTGAACGTGATGGTTCTGGTCTCAGGCCACAAATCGGTAGTCTTTCCAGTGAACGCTTACGGTGTCAGATGCCCGATCCTGTACTTCTGACTAACTCAACCTGGCGCGAAATCGAGCAAGAAGCTAATCTTTCTGTAGGGACGCTAAGCATGACTGTTTTTACTTTCGGTAAGATACTCCACCCTGGGTATTGGGACACCTTGCAACATCGATGATAGAGTGAAGGATCCCTTCCCAGGCTTCATAATTCTTCCTATTTTGAAGCTTTTTGGGTGCTTTTAAATTCCGAGCTAAGCGCGCGAATGTAGTAGAGGACAATTTTGAAGAAAAAGAACGCAGTTTTCATCCCCTTGAAGTGTGTCATTTGTGGTTTGAGACTTTAAGCCGTGTTAGACTCAAACCCATCTAGCGAAAAGGCTGATTGAATAATCTACTATTAGCACCCCTTCCAGTGTCTAGGCCTCCACGTAAATTTCGTGCCTATAATTCTTTCCTTGCAACAAATCAGAAAACAATTGTAAACGTTCCAAGAATTTGGGCATTATAAGTAAGATGAGGGTAATTTGAGTACTAACATAAAAAATGACCATCCTCAATCTGAGGATGGCACTATTTTTAGAACTTGAGCAGCAGCTGGAACGGTGCTGATGCCGAATCAGAACATCAAGCACCTGACCCGTGATGGTTGGTTTCCCTTAAACTCTCGCGGTGATCGTATTGCCTGCCAACTCAGTGGCGAACAAATCAAACAGAGTGCAAGCAAAACCATTCATCTCTTGAAGTTTTGGTTTCGTAGGATGATTATACCACGCCTCAGAATGAGAAAAATAAGCAAGGAAATTTTATTCCGCTACATTTCTGGTTCATTTTTTCTCAAATTTTCTTGTGAAAAAAATGCAAGTTGTAGCCACATCAGAATTGTTGCGAGTGTGCCTAATTTCAGAGTAAATCGCAATGCACATGCTCTTGTAACGCGACTCTCCTCCTCTAAGCCGCCATCAATCGCTAATGTTTTGGGGATCACACAGCCTCACCACGGTGAGCGCTCACTAACCTTGGCTCCAAACACAATTTCATCTACGTTAGCTGCTTAATCTTCAAAAATGTGCATCCAGACGAATAATTTTTTGAAGCAGTCACGCACACATCAAGAAAGGCTCGTTTTCCATAGTAGGAGATTCACTGCGGTTCTCTTATAGATGCAGTAGGAAAATGCACGCCATGCCCTACTGACATTCTGAGTAATACCGTGGACGTTATTTCAGGTTGCCCATAACTAAAAAGCCCTTTCTACACCAAAAATAGCTCCTTTATTCAGCCACCCCACCTTGGTCCTTTTACCGACCCAACTACGAATTTGCATACAATGCGTGAGTGGTCTTTAATGGCAATGCAAATTTCTCCGGTACGTCATTTGTTCCGCTCTCTGACGCAAATTTCGCGCACAGTCAGGTCAGTTTGGTTTTGCTACTGTTTAGAGCTTCCAACACTGAGACTTCATTCAGTGGGTCAACCAAAACTTACAAGCTATTGATGCTGCTTTTAAACTTTCTAAAAGGTATTATCATTTCCAAATGGTATTTATAAGTTTAGTGGAATCCAGATTCACATGACAGAAGATTGATCTTAAATGAAAGGCAAAATATTTGCAGATGATCGTAAACGATTCAGATGCATTGCCGAAAATTCTAATAGTCTCCATCGGGCACCAACGAAGTGAATCACGCTACCACTTACTGATTTAGCCCTTTAAAAATTGTCAACAAATTAGTCAACAAGGCGGAACTGAAGTGAAGAATGCAGAAACTGCAACAAAAACTCAGCGCTGGTTAACTACTTCTTAGATTCATGTTACTGAACGAAATGACAGTAAAGGTAAGCCTCGTTGTCATGCACTGTCTGTTAAGTGCAGCAGCGTCACTCGCTTCATCCTCGTCAGCAGTAGCAAAAAGGGAACATCTCAAATGGTCAAGGAGGCAGGAGACCACGCTGCCTGTTTTTTATGACTTTGTTGATTGCGTGACCTTTTATTGACCTTCTGAAGGCAGGCGGGAGCAGGGGTGGTGTGGAGGAAGGAAAAGGAATAATTGGTTACCTTATTGGGTGCCTTTGGTATGGGATTGCCTGTTCTAAGGAGAAATACCTCACAAGGAATGCGGTGTTGCCACCACCAGCAGTGGTGCATCTGAAGCCTGCTTAAGTCTGCATTTACACACAAGGTGACAGGAGTTGACTCCTCGTTTGAACGTCGACGGTCGTAGCAGTTCATTCCCCCTTTATCTGGATCCTAGCTACTAGACGTGGGGATAGGCCATCGCTGTAAACTGCGAATCACAGAAGGTGATATCATGGCTTGAAAAATGTTCGTAAATTGACAAATGCGCAGGTTATGAGTTTTGTCACAGCAACGAACTTCTTTAATGGATTCAACACCAAAAAGCTACCAACCCCTTCAATTACTGCTTAACTTAATTTTATCGCCTGTTTGAGACTACCTAGTTCCCTCTTTTCTGCAAGGCAAGAAATATCAGAGCGATAACTGTAGTTACAACAGGAGGACTCCGCTGTAGGATGCCAATGCATCATCGCGAGTCATACGCCAACTCCTTTAGAGCGTTAAGAATGAGACAACAAGCGATCTGAAGGGCACAGCTCTTTTGATTTTACAAATATTAACAGAGCCCCGCTTCAATGTCGTGTAAAGAGTTTATTTATGGAGCTGCTAATCCCAATGTGGTAAGATCTAATAAGATCGAGTTCGATTTAACGCCTCAAACAACTGAGGACGCATGCGGACTTCAGAGGCAATATTCTCCTCCAAACTGAAGTTTTGTTCGCGGAATGCCCACTGAGCCAACAGCAGATGACTGATTGAATTAGAATGAATCAGTGGAAGTTGTGGGCGAACAAATCGACGATCATAGGCTTCGGGGCGCCTCATGGACGAATGGATGAATCACTACTTCATAGAGCATTAACCGGCGATTTGTACTGGCATTTCTCAAGGATGAAGAAAGGAAGTAAAATCAGTGGTGTAAGTTGAGCAGCATGGGGTGTAGACTCGTCTAACTCGAATCAAATCTCACCGTACCTATCACACTGACTGACTGCCAAGCCTACTAGGACCCCGTGAATTTACAACCTTCAATGGATCGTTCAAGGTGAAGACTAAGGTAAGGTATCGCAACCTTGAATCCGACTTTGACCGACTCGTACAACTTTCTAGACAGGTAATTGAGGATCCCGAACGAGATTTGACTCAATACCCATTATTTAAATATGTGCACTATTTAAAAATGAGTCAACCCCGACTTCCACACAAACTAACTGTGATTTCGATCATGCCATCTGTGCCTCTAAACCACAACTCTTCGACGCCCCCATTAGAGAACTATTTGCAGACATGTTTATCTCTGATACACACAAATGATTCATAAACCCATTTAAACCCAGCAACCCAAATTATTTTTTTCAGTTTAACCCCTCACTCTCCCATCGTGCAACCACAATATGTGATTCAAATGCGCATAATCTTATTTACATAACTGCAGAAAATTACCGTCTGAATAGTCTGAACAGCGGGTGCCGCTCTTTCGCTTTTTCACGTCGAGCCGCAGCTGCTGATGAGGTATCCATGTAAATGGCATCATCAGCGCCCGAGATAGAGGCCATCTGTCCGGTCCGTCGCACAAATCCCGCGCCCCGTCCACCCTTCGCCGTGCGTCCACTACCAAATCCATCCGGATCTACTGGCAGTGTCTCCTCCATTGCGTCCTCGTCTGTGCTCGCTAGTACGCGATGCAGTAACTCTGCTTGCTCTGCCTTTGTCCCCAGTCGCAAATTCTCCTTCTCCATTCCCGCAAGCCTGGTGATCACCTAAAAAGTGGAAAAAAGCACGTTAGCAGCGGGACGATCCAGTGCCCTGGGGAGAAAGGCTACCATTTCAGTGCATACAAACCTTGTACGCATAGCCCTGATTGACAAGAAATCGCTGTCGTTTGAGAGCGTACTGCATCTCCATGGTGTCCTGAGAGACAAGGGAGTAGAAGAAGGCGTTGTATGCCTCGGCGTCCATACCTCGTTTGGCACGGAGGATGCGACCTAGACGCTGGGCCTCCTGTCTTCGACTGCCGCCATGCATGCTGATTTGGATGAGCACTGTGGCCTCCGGCAGGTCAAACGAGTTGTCTGCCACCTTGGAGACAAATATCGCCGGCACCTATACCGGGGTAGTTGGGAAGAAAAACCCACCTCATGATTAGTTGACCGTTAAAGATAGTCCTTGTAAGCTACTGTGGTAGATTGCCATTGTACACGAAACAAACCTTTTCGGTCTGCGGTAATTTGGCCACTACAATGGGATGTGGACCTTGCTCAAGGCATTTGTATAGTCAGTCTTCATCTCTTCTGTATGTTTAAAATGTACCTGCTTCTATGGTTACGCGCCTTGTAGAGCCAAGCTTTAACCTCAAGCGAATGTGCTAATGGGGAAAATTAGGCAGCATTTAACAATAAAAAGATCTTTACGAAGTTTGCACAACCTTCACCGAAGGAACATCAGACAATAATTATGGTTTTAAAACAAAAAATATGAGAAAAGACTACTTTTTCACTTTCAAAAGCTCGTTGGCTAGAAATACCAATAGAAATTATGCGAAAATTGGCATTAATTTCCCACTCAATGTATTTCTAATTAAGACAGATTTTAAAGGTTCTGACCCCCAAATAAATGGAGGAAAAAATACGCACTCTGAAAACTCTTCAGCCTCTCTATTTTGTTATTAACCACTTCCAGAATATTCCCACTGATGACACATGAAAAGCGATAATCGGTTTCAATATAACCATGAGGTAGAATCCTAATAAGTGGTGATGCTAGGCTTTACAGGTTGTAGATCAATCGCGGCAAAGACAGCTAGTCCGAAAGCAAGCAGAGTGTCGATCCCAAACTTACATTCAGGTTGTACTGGAAGTTCTGCAGGATCTGCATTCTTTCGCTCTGACTAGTCGGGCCATAAAGGTACGGACGACCCATTTTCTTGGCATAGTACTTTAGCGCGAAGACATTGTCCGAAAAAACAATTATCTTGTCATTGCGCCTTTCATGGTACCTTATGAGGAATTCACAGGCGCGGAATTTGTTCGGGTTCATCACCGCCAACAACTGTTTTTTCATGCTCTTCATCTGCAAAATGATAAACCATGAATCACTCTCACTATCAATCTATAAGTAGCAGGTTTTATTTCTGTTGCGAACCTGAAGGTACTCGCGGTAGAACTCAGAAGTCATGGGGCACCACACCTCGGCGCATTGCACTTTGGCAATGAAGCCGCGTTTCTGCAGCTCCAACCAATTGGCCTCGTAGATTTTGGGCCCGATGAGGAAGTTGAGGTCGGTGATTTTGTCGTCCTCGCGTACTAGAGTGGCGGTCAAACCCAGCTTGCAGTGCGCCTGCACCATAGTGAGAACACGACGAAACATCCTCGCTGGGATTGTGTGCACCTGACACAAGAGGTAAGTTTTTTGGGCAACGACTAAGAAGTAAGGGTCACAGGGGCCAATGTGTGTTTGGAAAGTGACTTGCTTAGTCTTGAACTTCAAAGGAATACCTTTTTAATAACAAGAATATAAAGAAAGTACAAACTTAACAAAACTGGTCTACTTCAAGAAAATTGCATCTATTTCTATGCGGTAAATTTCCTTCGTGACCCAACCCCACCACTCCTTAACATCATCACCAAAATGTCACATTATCGTCATTACATGATAATCATCCCCTTAAAACAATTGCTCATGACCTTCATCGCCCGAGCAACCTAATAATAACTGTTGTAAACAAAATAGATCTCTTCGTAAAACAATTCGTGGATTTCTTTTCATCCCCGAGCAAGCCACAATTGTGACAGGATTACAAATTTTAAAACACTTTGGGATCCTCAGAAGGTATTCTCTTCTAAAACTCCAGGGTTTTTTCACCTCACGTGATCATGGTTGGTGTACGCACAACCATTTTTTGAGATTTGTAGCTGAATTGGAAAACAGGCAATTAATAAAAGGAACTGGAAGGAAATCAGGTAACTGAGGAAAAGAAAGCAAAAAATGTGAAGAGTAAGACTGGAGGAGATAAAATTAAAATGAACAAATAACGAGAATTGCCCACCTCATCCAGAACCATGAGGCCCCACTCCTGGCCCTTAATCCATTCCATGAGACGCTCAGCCTCGTAGGAGCGCTTGCCGGAGAAGGCGATCATGGAGTAGGTGGAGATGCAGATGCACGTACTCGGTGAGGGACGGTCGCGCGCGTCAGAAGTGAATCGGAGAATTTGGCTGTCCTCCGCGGTAGACCAGAGCTTGAACTGGCTGCGCCACTGCTCGACCGCCACTCCACTCGTGCACAGGCATAGTGTCGGCTTGCGCACCGTGCACGCCGCTGTCACACCCACCTGTACGACAGAGGGTAGTCAAGGCAAAAAACGGAAGAAAACTGAGGCTGAGTGCAATACAAATTCATCAGACCATAGTAAAAAACTACCTCAACGCAAGCAGTAAGCATTTCGTAGTGAAAAAACAACTATTGTTGATCCTCGATACACCGGTTTGTTTTATTCTAGCGACAAAAAGCTAGTGTTGAAGCTCATTTACGATCAACAATAAAGGAGATATCGAAAGCATTAGGTCCTGGCAAAGGAAAAAAATATAACTTCCCGGGATTTCATAGAGTCGGCTATATCTTAAAATGAAAAAAAAAATTGATAGCAGTGCTAACTCTAGTGAAAATCATCCATGACCAAAACAAAAAACTGGGTCTCCATTTGGAGTGGGAGGATGTGTCATATGGAAAACTAGATAGGGCTCTTGATCATTAGAAGATCGTTTCCAGGCCAATATGCATTGGCAGTAGAGGGATGCAAATACAGTCCCCATCGTTGAAGTTGTGGCCTGTAAGGTCACGATAGAGGCCTGTTCATAAACAAGTCATGGGACTAGGTCCTTGTTGTTAGTAAAAGGATGGGATAGTTTTTAAACATGGAGGAAAGAAAGTGACTGAAGAAAGGAGGAGAGTGGGTAATCCGTCTGATCGACAAAGTACTAAAACTAGTTATTTGCGAAAGAATCATTAGGTCGCGTTCCGTGAAGGGGAGGAGGGTAAGATATATCGGTGTATTACGAAGTTAACGTAATAAAAAGCACCAACAAACCTGACCTTAGAAACAACTCTCACTCATGATCAAAGAGGAACGATAGGACTAAGTAGGTTAGGATGGGGTACTTAGAGACGCTTGGTAAGGTTGTCGAGATAGCCATTAAAAAAAAAAAACACCTCAGGCACTATCAAAGGAAGGGTTTCAAAAGAAGAAAATTATCGTGGTTTTCATCGGGAAAAAGGTGTATAAATTAAAAATTTTACGCCCTCTGCTGCAGACGCATTAAGATAAACTTGATGAGTGTTACAAAGTCAGAAGAATAACAGCTTCGTGTAACTCATAAGTTGCTAGTGTTGTTCCAAGACAGACTTACACTCTCAGAAAGTTTAATTATTTGACCCTAACATGTATATAAATCTACGGAAGAAAGTTTCCTCAACACAGAAGCACAGGAGCGCCTGGGGCTTTATAACTGAGCAACAGATAAAGCAAAACACCAATTTAAATGTTGGTTAAGCCACAAGAAACTATAGGAATAGCGGGGAGTGTTCTAACTGCTGGGAATATTAATGCAAAAAGCAGGATGGCCAATAACGTTGACTGTCTAAATTAACATTATGATTGAAAAGTATCAGGAAGTGCACAAAAAGAAAATTATTGTCAAAGCTGCTTCGGATACTAGCGAAACGCTTTATCGTAGATGCGGGGAAATATGTTTTAAATGTGTTATTCATAACAACTCTAAGAGTAACTTTCTATAAAGCGCTTGGAAAGCGACAAAGGTGCTCTTCTACGTCGACCAAAATGGTCAATCAAGAGGCATTTATGATACCGTTGGGAGAATGATTAGAAATGCTGGCTTAAACAACACATAAATCGTTGGTGAGTATTTGTGGCCTATCAGTCTGATTGAAAACCACAAAAATACTTTATTAAATGGGAGCCAGATTAAAGATTAGCCACATGGATGCCCCTCAAATAACACCGGAGATAATCACGTCAAAAGCAATAAAACTCCTATAAAAAACATAGATACCGCATTCCGGCAATTTGACCAAAAACAAAGGTACGAAAATGTAGAAAGCCAATTTAAAGGATCGGAGTCAATAGCTTTAATTATAGAATGGAAGTCCAAAATGAGCGACTTACAAGAGTCTTCCCTGCACCACAAGGTAGTACAATAACTCCAGAGCGCGCACGTCCATTACCAAACATTTTCCGTAGGCTCTTCTCCTGATACGGTCGCAGAGTGGTGCTTGCCCTCAGATCTACACTCATATCCTTATTCAACTTATCCTGTCGAAAGTCGTATTCAGCCAGCAACGGCACCTCCAGCTCCACACACCTCCGCTGTAGTCGTTCGATTTCATTCTGCTGCACCTCAATTGCCACCGTCTCAAAGGGCTTCAATCTCCCTTTCCCTTCTTCCTTCTGTGACAACTTACTTTTGGCAGTATCGTCGTCATCCTCCTCTTCCTCTCCTTCCTTATCTCCTGCCGCACCCTCAATACCTAACTTTTCAATGTCCAACGCATCAGCATCGCCAGTGGAGTCTTCCACTTCCTCTCGCACCTCCACGCCCACAGGCCCCGCCTCCAGCCCTTCAGCCTCCTCCTCTTCCGCATCAATTGCGGCGTAGAGCCTCAGAATATCCTTTAAACCTCCATCTGAAACGGAGTTCTGTGCCTCTCCTGCGCCATCAGCGGAGGAAGCAGTCCTGGAGGCATCTTTTGTCTCCACACCAAGAGCAAGAACCGTATCAGGGGTGTCAAACTTGTGTAGTGTCACCTCGGAGAGGCCCTCAGCGGTGGGAGTATTCACCAAGCACTCCTTGATTATCGAGTCTGCAGCGAGTTTCTTGAGAAAGACACGATGATTACTCTCTACGTAGAAGTGTCCACCTCGGAGGACCAGCTTTGCCTTGCCGTAGGAGAGAGTGCAGGAGCGAATGTAGGCTATTATGCCTGGGGGAAGGTCGGTTTTACAGAGGCGTCGGAGACAGCCGATAATCTCGCTGGTGCGAAGACCGACAGAAACCGCGGCATAAAGGGAATAGGAAGTTAATTTGTACTCATGGATGTGTTCTGGCCGGCAGACAGGTTCGGCAATGGCAATAAGGAAATCTTGCGCCTTGCTGGCCAAGGGACCAAAAGTTTCAAGAAAAATGTGACCGTCTGGACCGACCCAAAGTGGACGGGTAGGGTGATCAGAACGAAGAGTGAGGAGTACACGGAGATCTTTGGCACCGAACTCATCGCGGGGAGTTGGTGTGACAGTGGTGGCACCGCTTCCCTGCGTGATACCAGCAGAAGTGCGAGAAATGACTCGTTCCTCATCTGCCTCTTCCATCTCCTCGTAATCCTCATCGTCGTCGAAGTTAGTGTCCATGGCGGTGGTGGCAAAACTGTCGTTGCTAGCTTCCTGGTCGCTGTAGGAGGGCTGAAGGTCATTCAAACCCGCAGTTTCGTCCAGACGGGATCGCTTTTGTACAGGCCGAGAACCGCGACGTGAGCCTCGTTTCTCCAATTTGGGCATCTTCTAAAATAAATATCACGCCATAATGACGAGTTCATGGGAAACCACGTAACCTAGAGCATCTTACAGGAATGTTACATAAATGCCAGTCCTGGAATTATGAACTGGCACAGAAAAATAACAAGGATATATTAGGATACCCATATTGATAAGCGATTCTTTCCTGAAGAATTCGCCCAAATGTCTGTAAAGGTACTCAAAGTACTAACTGAAAATACCATTACCAGACAACACTAACACTAACCCATACGGTAATGAACTAACAGGTGAGATAAGCTTGTACACTACAAGCGGCACCAACCGCAATATGAGTCGAAGTGGTTAAATAATAGGTGTAGTACAGAATGGTACAATTTTCGAGACTTAACTAGGTTTCCTCTAAAAATTTTTGAGAACTTCTTCAAATTACTTACGGTTGTGGTTTCAGCTGCATAGCAGTAAAGTAACATTTATTTTTGCCGACCATTATTAATTTGTATCCCGCAAATATAACAGTAGCAACTTAAGACTCCTCTAAAGATGAACGAGGGCATAATACCCAGACAAAATACATCCATTTGGTACCCTGTAGGAGTAGGGGCTACTGGCATGACCAGGAGGCATAACAACCCACAAAAGGTACAGTGGCGGAGACCCAAAGTGTCTCCTTTTTTTCCCGAAAATTAAACTAATATAGCATTACACAGTAATGTGTGAAGATAGGGCAAAGACACGTATCTTCTCCCACAATATTATGGTACACTTGCCCAACTCTTTCACCTCCGCCTTTAATCACTTGAATAAAAATAAGAGGTACAAAAAGATACTTTATGCTCGAACAGCATCAAGAGGTGTATATACTAAAAGTTCTGTAAAAGATGAGAGTTTGGCTTTTCCTTGGGACCAGTTATGCACTGTCATGTACGAGTCGATAGCTGCAGCGCTTCGTGACTTCTCTGGAAACAAAAGCGGGAAACTTCGGAATAAAGCGTGCCCTAGCAACCTATAAAAGTGCTGAGGGACTAAAGACATGGCTAATAAGCCACAGTGCTCATCCGAGGTGCCAAAGGAGGCGCTTACGTTCCCACAAGACCTAAGTGAAGGGCCGAAAATAGTTAAGCATTGCAATGTATTTAGACCTTTGCCATTTTGCGTGCTATGTATGATTTGTAGTTTGCATGTTTGTTATAAGTTAGTCAAAATGAGGATGTAAAACAGCATTTAAGTTGATAACATAACAAATCCATAATCAAAAGCAAGCATTAGTCCTCCAAAAAAGTTTACATATATAGCATTTGTTATTTTTTCGTTAAAACAAGGATACATGCAATGGTTATGTGTGTTCGACTCATCTTGTTTAGTCGAACCAACAGTACACACCGAGGGACGTTTGTAGGTGGTAATACAAGCATACAAGGTTGTTACGGTGTACCACACATTGGCGCTTACATGGAGTCGAAACGCGTGCTGTCTGTACAGAGCCATGTTGTCCATGGATACGTAGGAAACAAAAGCGCGGTCTTTCCTTTACAAGTTTGTTTAGTTCTTAGCTTGATCTGTCTTTCTAAACAGCTGCATAATTACGAAGTTGACAATATAAATTCTGTCCAACTATCCTGCCATACCCGTAGTCCTCTTTTCAATTTATTACCCTTCAGAGTATGCGCACTGTACTGGACAAGTTTTGTCCCTTAAACATTTGGAATCCATATATGATTCGCTGAAACAGAACAGGTCCGCCAATTATGATGCTCTACTTACGGGATATGTTGGCGATCCGGATTTTCTCATACAACTGGCTAAAATTGCTATGGAAACCAAGTCGGCCAATCCACATTGCAGATTCTGTATGGTTTCTCTGATTCATCTTATTCTCTAGATTGTGATCCTGTTATTGGTGACAATGGTCATATCGTAAGTGAATAGGCTTCAGATTTTCCAGACTTGTTTTTAGTATGTACCAGAAGAATTAATTCCCATATATAGGGAGAAAATTTTGCCAATTTCTGATGTTTTGCTGCCGAATCAGTTCGAGGCTGAGTAAGTTTATTTAAATAATATAAGTTTGTTTTATTCAGGCTTCTAACTGGATGCAAAATTACCGATGAAGACTCTACATTCCACTGCATTGACCTACTTCATTCGACTTATGGTATTCCCACTGTCATTTTTAGCAGCACTGATCTACTCTTTGAAGACAAACAGGGTTTCAGGCAGCTTGCCACTTACATTAGCTACCGTCCAGATCTTGCTGAGTTGAGAAAATGTGGCAGATTCAGCGGAGATTTGGGTCAAAAAGGGAGGGCACTCTCAGTGCTTGGTTTATTTTTCTAATTATTGCCTTATCGTGGATGACTCATGCTTTGTTTTTCCAACTTTAGCTCAACGTGTTCGTGCTCTATTCCCCAAATTAGAAGTCCCCTTCTTTGGCACTGGTGACTTGTTTAGCAGCTTGACGTTGATATACTTTGAAAAGCACGATGGCAACCTTGACATGATGGTGTGTTCCAGTTAATGATCTTTGTTAGCTTTTAGAAATCTTGCCAATGTGTCAATTACCTATAAACTTTTGATGGTTTAATTCGGCTCTACTGACCCCATGAGCTCAAAAATAGTTAGAAAGACACTGGAACTAGCAAAATTATAAGAAAAAGACGATATCATTAATCGTGTCTGTCTAAAAGTAATATGTCGAATAGGCAGTGCCAACATAGTTTTCCATTTGTAATAAAAAATATTTGGAGGTACCTAATCATAGATTGATCGCGATGGCATCTTCTGTCACGATCAGGTTGCCGATGCTTTTATCTTTTTTTCAAAAAAATAGCTGGTCATTTATTGTTTTTTGCAGAAAGCACTCTACAAGATTCAGTGTACAATGCACGCTGTTCTCAAACGAACAGTGGAATATGCTGAAAATCTCAGCTCTGGTAAGCGATCAGTAATTTGTCGTAGGGATAGAATTTTTTTAAGCCGGCCTTTTTGGTAGGATCTCTCTAAATGTACTGGTTGTTTTGGTCATCGATTACGGTCTAACACCAACATTCCCAGTGGTTGTTTCATTCAAATACGGTACAGCTTCATTGCTAGCCTTCGCGGAGTGGCTGAAAGTTGATAAGTCACTCTAAATTGTGCTGTTGCCAATGTGGTGTTCCAGTAGCTCCTAGAAGTAGCACTGTTGCATGCTGGGAGGCTGATTGCATGCGCAACATTAACAGACACCCACGTCACCATCGTAAAGCTCGGGTCATGGGGGGACAGAAAAGGTAGCTAGAACTGTATATTCACTTAAAGCAAATATCGCTCTGTTGCAATGCTTTTCTACACCCACTAGATCCCACCAATATGATGCAAAAGTCTGATCGGTACGAGTTGAGGCTCATTCAAAGCGCAAAGGATATCCTCGACCCCCCGGATTTCGCCTCCGTTCAAGTGACTTCACTTTAGTAGTTGCTGTCTCCTCCTCTCCCGCTCCATCCTCCTCGGCAGCTTATTCCCCTATCTCCTGTTTAGTTTTTGTGATAATAAGACCATTCTCTGGAGGTGCAGCTGCAGCTCTGCTTTTTTGTGTGCCTGGTGCACCTTTGATGTCGTAATAAGGCTGAGGAGCTGTGGGTGTGGGGAAGACGTCATTGAAGCCGGCATGGAAATTCAATTATGGCATCAAAACTACCTGCGAAGATGTACTGTTGCATGCTATCGCTATTAGCTTATAGATGGGATAAGAGGCTGTGCGTGTGGATGGATGACCATACATCAAACAGGGCGGCTGAGTCGTAGAGCTTGAAAGGTCCATGTATTTGGACGTGCACCCTCCTACTTTGAGCACTGCGATATTGGCGGTGTCTTAGGAACCACCCAAGAGACAAGAATCATAACCATTGTGTTTTTAACAAACCCTCTGTCGTCAATCTTCAAAGACCAAGTCGCCTGCAGCGCATGGTTCCTCCTGCAAAGTTGGGATTCCGGTTTTCAGCATTGAATTTTTAGTTTGCGTCAGGTCGCCTTACTGCTGCCAACAATATACCATCCTTGTACCTGCTTTCGTAAACTGATAAAGAATGTGACACTACTTGTGACCCTAACTCAAGTAAGAAAATTGGGATGGCACCTAAATATGACACCGTCGGCAAGGACGATGTGTCCAAATCACTACTTTACTTCTCAGTAGTTCTGATAGATCTGTTATATGTGCATATCTTAATAATGCGCGCAAATTTTTCTTGGAAAACTTTAACCAACTCTCTAATGGTGCAAATAGACCAACAGATCACCACTGAATGGCGTTGTGACCAAATTTTCTCCTCAAGACACGAAGGAAGCAACGCTACATTCTTATGAATTCTACGAAGTTCCATTATCTCGTCAGCACTGCATTGGAAGCCATCCCTTAATCCATCAGCCTACCACATTCAAGACTTTTCCCCTCTTCGACATTGCGCTGTAGCGAAAGAGGAATTGTCCCATTGGTCGCCACCTTATAGTAGTTAATCACCTCCCGGTCTGTGAAAGGCCTTTTAGAGCAAATTAAGCTCTTTTATGCAAAAATGTGGGGAAAACCTGTTATATGGGGATTTACTTCCGAATAAGTCATTTTCTCAATGTCCTTTCGCTCCTCGTTCATTCGCCTGACTCGCATCATCTGTTCGGTTCCGCCGCCCCTTTCCAACCAATAGGCGCCTCTTGATAGGCTTGTGGCTTAGTCGAGACACCTTTTAAACGAGTTCTGGCCATGGCTGATTGCATTGTGCTTTGTTGTTATATGAGTAAAAGCCTTTGTAGTTGGCATTTGGTCATCGTGCTTTAGCTGTTCTAGTTTAAGTAAATTGTTTGGGGGATTCATGCGGGAGAGTTATGACAGGTGTCATCTTAATGACACCCGCCTCATGCCGCCTGTATGGGTCAACCTGCACGCTAAATCTAGATGGCAGTCAACAGTGTTAGTGGGTTCCTGAGCGAAATAAAACGGACATTTTTTAAAAAAAAAAGAGCGCCAAATTTTACTTGTTAAACCGTACAACACTTTTGAAGCTTAGTAGTGCTAAGCAATTTTAGCAATGTCAAGGATCTAGGGAAGGCCGTGCACCTCTGACGTGATGAGCCCAGCTGTGGTGGCTCCAAGCCATAGCACAACACTTATTCCCATGAGCGAACAGTCAATTCTTAGACCGCGTGCCCGATCCTGGATTCCTGTTTTGTGACGAGATTCTACAGAGAACATCTTTTCATGGAAATGGCGAATGCATTCGTTCACAAACGGATACCCTCGACAACCCATTACAAGCTGATTACTAAGAGAGACTGTCCTGAAGTGATTTTAGCCATACAGGCAAGTTTTTTATGCTGAATCTGATTATCAGGTAGCAACAGAACGCTGGGACAAGTGTAGCAGGCGACTACGTTGAAAAATGGATAGACCTTATATTTCTTCAGCTGCGTTTTTGATTTGTGAATTCAAATGGCCTGTTTTGGCTTTAATGTCCCTCCTATGCCTGTCATTCGACAGCTCTCACCAAGTGCTTGTTGCTTGTGTGACTATTGCTTGAAGTCTTCATATGAAGCTGTAAATAAGTAAAAAGCTGTCATTTTTCTAGAAACCAGTCACATTGTATTCACCAACCACATAGTGCATCTAAAATTTGAAGGGTAAATTTCGTTCCTTCCGTCTTATTACGAGGCAAAGTGGATGACTGTGAGTTGAAGGCCATTGTAATGGAAAGGGATGGATCAGTTATTCGAAGCGAACCGGCAAGTCAAGGAATCCGTTTAGGTAGATTCAAGGAGATAGTGTCTAAAAGATTGTCTTATTTTTTAGACTAGTTTTTCCGCAACCCCATTACCTTATGTGAATAAAATGGCTTTGGTAATGTAAAACTAGCAATCGTAGTTAAAGCTAGAACAACTTCTCACTTCACCCAAGACAGATCTGTGGTGCAATCAGCAGGACTGTGTTTATAGGCGTACCATTTTGGCCTAGATGGATGGAATAAAAACCTCATAGACAGTCAAATGTGAGGCGCACCACACCCATCTGCCGCTCTCTTAGTGGTGGTAGTAGCAGTACCAGAAATTAAAATTGCTCAATCCTAAGAAACTCCAACATTTTCCATAAACTTAATCGAGAATAGACTAAAGCATCAACTTGATAGTGTTTTTGTGGTTTAAAATGAAGACTTCAAGGTAAAATCAAAATTTCAGCTTGGCCTATAGACGGAGAATTTCATTGGTTCCTTGGTGTGTGCGCGCACGTTTCCATGTCTGTTCGGTCGATAAAATCCATTGATTGGCCAGTTGTTAGCAGATCGAATATGGCTTTCGGCTTGCGCGATCTAAGTGACAAAATATGTCACCATTCTGTTTGGTTCTATAATATAAAATGCTGATTATTTTTTTCTTGTTTTAGAGAAGTTAAATGGTTATTGTTGAAAGGCCTCTACAAAGTGGATGCATCGGTAACGGCGCACATGTACTGTTAATTTAATACTACTGGGGAATTATCAGTAGAAGGACTAAATATGGATGGAGTACCAGCTGCTGCTGCTGCTTTATTTGACGACAACCAAAAGCAACTCCACTTGACTCCGTTCTTTAAAAGGCAACTGCATTATCGTCTAATGCTAGTACTCCATTTGGAAGCCAACACATTTACTACCCAGCCACGCTTCAGTCACAATTCACAAATTATTTATATTTCATCCGCACAAGCTACAAGGTAAATAATTCTCAGGAATGAAATCAACTGCGCAATTTCGTAACCAGACTCTGTACAGTAATTCAGGCATTTGCCCTGTTAGTAGTTAAAAATCAGCCTGTGGTGACCAATACCTAATGGCATTCAAATCGTACATTGTTTTATTTCATTTTTAACGCTGTGACTTCTTTGGTTGCGCCTGAGATTATCAAATCACCGCCCATACCTTTGGTCCCCCAACTCTCCTCAGCGAAATGCTGTGGTCCCACATTGATGCTACCTGCAAAATGTATTCACAATTACTTTCAGTGTGACCGGTCGTGATTTCTGTCATTTGCATAATGTTAATTTATGCACTCTGGCAGAAAAATGGGACTCACATTGGCATATATAGCGCCAAGAGAGAATTCTTTGCTCTATATCTTCCTGTTTTGCGTGCTTGCCTAGTTTACAAGAAAAATACTCTTTTGTTACCTTGTTCATGGCTAGACTGGTAAAAATAGGTTTTGTAATCGTAAACGAACGAAGGGCTCTACTCAGCTAGCAAAGATGTATAGAAGGGAATTGCGTGTTCACATAATTGGCATCTCCATACAGGTACCGTAGGCAGCTCGGTAACAAACTTTTCCAGATGGTTTAAAGATAGATCACTTGTTAATAGCTTTCCTGCAGCCCACGAAACCAAGGTATTTGCCAAAGATAGGCGTTATTTTCGACACTTCTGTTTTAAACCGCCACCAATTCTCCCACCCCTAGTATATGCACTTGGTCCACCCCGCTAAGGTTTACCATCAACCAGTAAAAATCAGGATAGATGTCCTTTAAGATCGGGTTAGCTTTCTGCTGCTACCGATGTGGTGCCCTGAGACTTCCCTGAAGTCGAAAGGAGACGTAATACTCGGGCAGAGTATATATTTTCGGCGTGCAGAAGGGCCAAGCGACCACTGGTATGACCCGGACGCGGTGCTACCCGGCGGAAGCTTTGCCGACCAACGCACTACACTAATGCCCGCAAATCCTCATTTCGACTTCTAATTTTAATTCATATTTGCTTCCCATAAATCTTAGTTTTATTATTGAACTTATTTACCAAGGCAAATTTCTGTTCAATTTATGACATTAAGTATGGTTCCTCTTTTTTGCAATGTTAGCATGTTATCGTAACGTTACTCGAATGAGACACACAGGTACCGCAACACCATCCTCATCTGGTTGGCTAGTGCGACGGCGACGGTAGCTACTACCCTTTTTTAATTTTGATCTTGCGTTGTAATGGGGGCTGGGTTTGTTTAAAGAAGAAGGATTGGTACATTCACGCTTATATTCCACTGTGGTAGTGAATTCATGGGTTAAAAACAATCTATCCAGATCGCGATTTATTTTTCCTGATAAAACAGAGAATAAAAATTCATGTAAATTTATTCGTCTATTTACGCATTTAAAAGGTATAGTTCTTGTAAAATCGGAGGCTTGTGTGTAACTCTGTGTATAAACTTTAGTTTTAAAATTTCATTGGCCTAACTTTTTGTGTCTTTTTAAGAGATATTTCCCATATCGTATACGTCGAACTTTCCCAACCTGAGCCACATAGATGTGGCATGTGCGCTTTACCAGTTCATGGCAAACACCGAATTGTGCCACAAATAGACTAGTTGAGTTAAAAGCAGTAAAGTAGATGTAGGGTACTCCCAGCTTAATGGGTGGATTCGAAAACTTGATGGCGTTTAATGCCCAAATTTGGATGAAGAGCCACTTTTTCTGGAGACCAACATCAGACGTACTAATTTTTAACATCAAATATGTTTTACGATTCGCAAGTTCCTCTGTTTGCTTCGTTACCAACTTATCGTTACACATCTGCCCTGCCTCAGTCCAACCACGAAGTTCTTAAAATCTGACCGGCATCTAACGGTCAACATGCATTGCCCAGGAGGCGTTTATTTGTGCAGGATTTTCCAATTCTAACCCACGCAGTGAATCATCGCCGGACTTTGAATGTGCCATCTTATTAGGCGTACTGGAACATCTCAACGTGTACCCTGCTACTGCTGTGACACGCGCCCCGCACTTCCGTCCAGTGTAATCGTGCATGATCTCACTCGCACCACCAAGATGATGGTACAAATCGGAGAGACGAAAGGGCTTCTATAATTAAAAACAAAACTGCATCTATCGCATGGTGAAAAGTCTTTATCTTATTGCTTATGTTACTTGGCCAAAAGCATGCAGGAATAGGCTGTGTTTTCCTTTTGGCTGTAAACAATTTATTCATGATGGCCAAGGAGACATGTTAAAATAAAAAGAAATGAAAGTGTTCTGGTGGGCAATCAACCGTTGCTACAATCGGATTAAACAAACTAGACTGTGGAGCCCCGAGGCTTCTCTAAAGACGAAAGAAGCCATAATGCTCAGGCAAAATGTGCACTGTTGACATGCAGAAGGGCTGAGAGACCACTGACATGACTTGGAGGCCGTACCGCCCGCAGCAGATACAATGGCGGAGCATCTAAGTAGCCTTTTACTAAAACCCAGAGTTAAATAAATATTTAGTGTTATACAGTGCAATAGCCAACGAATCAGACAAAAACCGCCCTCCTAAGATTACGACTCGCACAGATGCTCATGGGAGCCTTCTTTTAAGCGTGTCCCTTTCCTTACATCTAGCGTTCCAGTTTATGCTCCCTAGCAGAAGCGCGAGGGCATGGCCAAAATATGGCAATTCTTGGCAAAAGGAATTGTTAAACTTGGAAAAACCTCTACTTAAAAGAATGTAGAAGGAGTGGACTTTATTTTATGCCCAATTAAAAGTATTCAGAACTTATTTTTAATGATTCTTCGTTGAAGGGCATTTATACTACTTCAATCTTCATAGCTGAATTTGGGTAGGGTTATGGGAGGAGGAAATCACAATGCGCCACCCTCCAAAAAAGTCAATCCCACTTCTCATCAACTACTCCGTCTTGGCATTCGAGGGTAGGAGGTTTTGAAGGACCGGTTTAGTAAAATCCCCACTTCCCAATCGACAATTTCTTCTTCCCTTCTGGTGCACCATCTCGTTCTAAAGTCAATTTATTGTTGTTGACATTAAAACGCTGAAGTTTTCAAGGTCTCTTGTGTTATAGCCTCCTAGTTTCGCTTTAGTTTTCATCTACTTTTGCAATAACTTTGTTCGCTTTAAAGTGAAGTGTAAAGATGTTAATTACTACGCAGAGTACAAATTTTGTTACCGATGGGAGATGAAGTGGTTGGCCCATACAACTCTTGAGATATTTGATTAAATGATACGTACGTCACACCAAGGCTGGCAGTTTTATGGCAGGAAAAAAAATAGCTCAGTAAAAAGTCATTCAGTCAGGGCTGTTGGATATGTGCCAGGTAGTGGATAATTCCATTCTAATATGAACGAATGTCATTGGAATTTGGTACAACCGAAGACACTAATGAGATGATAAATCGGGGAATGATCGCTTTACCCATGCAATTCACCGCAGATGTTACAATCTGCATAATTTACACCAAACAAAGCTTTTCCAGTCTTTTAAACGACCTTATCCTGCTTACCAGACCTCGAGACTATAAAATACCCATGCGTTTCTCCTGGATTCCTAAAACCTGTGAAACATCTGCACGGCCCAGGTCAGTGGACTTAGTGGCTTGTGCATGCGGAAAGCCATGGAGATGCAGCCTTTGTTACCGATGCAGATAGCAACGTACTTTGGTGAAGTCATGTACGTCTATTTTTCAGCAAAGAAAATACCGCTTTGACATTACAAGTTCACTACTCACTCTCTCAGCCTCATTTGCGGTGCTGTTGCCCGGGTTGCCCCCCTAAAAATGTTATAATGCACACAAGACCGAGGGTAACAATATAATTACAAGCGTTCGCACCCGGGAGATTAGTGGCTCCTCCAAAACGAGCAAAGCCCCAGGTGCTCTGTCATTCTCACAGAATCGCACACAAACTACACAAATATCACACGATTGCGGAGCCTCCTTATTGTTTCAAGCATCTACCTTAACTGTTGCAAACTTCTCAACCAGAGAGAACCGAAAGTCACACGATGAGTACTTCCTTCTTCTTCACTACTAGTGTACCGTCGCGGCCTTCAACGAAAGCCTCACTAGGTGGATGGTACTGGGATTGTTGTGCTGGGTTCCCCCCCCCTGGTGGGTACACTCGACCGCATTTCGCCGATATCAACACGACAAGGAAATACCGCACCTTACCACTGTTTTAAAAATCGCCATCCATCACAACACCGCGGGAGATTCCAATGAAGAGTTCAAAATCGAGACAGGTACTGGAAAATCGGGGTGGCTTCAATGTCTCCCCATTCTGTTGCACCCACCATTAGTCTTCAAAGCCTTCCGCACACTTGCATTAATACTACTTCTAGATCAGCATGTCTTACAGCGCTGAAATGGTGAGTCGATGCATACAAAACCAAAGGTAAATCAGCCACTACAGTATAAGAAATAATTCATTCATATCTAAAGTTGTGTGGGTGTAGCACCATTAAAAACAAGAATTTTGCTCGACGTTTTTCACCCACACATAGGAAGAGGGAGGTGGAAAGTCAGCGTGTGCGCATACGTATGAATGTGATTGTCAAGAGTGAAAATCCTGCATTTCTTTTATCGCGTCCATCTCAAACGCCGGTTGTGATAAAACAGTACTGGGACTGGAAAGTAATAATAAATGCGGGGGGATGAAGAGAGAACATGGATGTACAACCGAGAATTGGGACAAGGGAGGGGGGCAAAGGGGACTAAGGGTTGGCTTCAAAGTGTTTGTAAATCGAGGCGATGTAGGTCATCACATGGTTCCAGTCTGGACGATCCTTGGTGAGCATATCACTCAGACGAAGGGTCGTTGGAATACCCTGGCTCTCCGCTGCCGCGAAAGCCACCTGTAATGCAACACACGTTCGAGGGTAGAAGAGGATATATCGCTCCTATCATCATTAGGAGGGAAAAATCAACGCTAAGATAGCCAAAACGGAGACGGAGAGTTCAAGCCACGAGAACGACGACTGAATAGTAGCTGCTGCGTTCAAGAAAATGGACCTAATTCGTCTAAAAGTTGGATTCAATAAATGAGGTAAAAATATACCAATGTGATCAAAACCTATCAGGACTGCCCACAATCTATGATCGCTGTCAATTGAAACGGTGCTTCGTCTCAAGAGAAACTTATTTTAATTGAGTCAAAAAAGGTACGCAACCATGACAAACACCAATTCTATGCGTCCCAGAAAGAGGGGCAAAACGGAGTTGCTGCATGAGTTTCAGCACTTAAATATATTTCAACGTAGAATTTCGAGTGCAACCAAGTCAGCAAACAATTTGCCTTTGTTACAAACTGCCTCCAAACAATGTCACAAAGGTACGATCTGGAAGAACTTTTTGATCTACAAGCCCCTGGCAATCAAAATCTTCAGATGAGAACCAATGCCTGCTCCTAGTCAAAATGTTGGCGTTAGATGTAGAGAGGAATAATGCTAAAGTGCAAAAAGACTGTTACCAAGCGTTCAATTGAAGAATAAGTAGACCACCTCCATTTTGTCATGAAATCCAAGTCCATTTCATGATGCTGTATTGCAGCAGGAGAGAGTAGCCTGCATAAAAGCTTGCCTCCTTCTCAATACCAACAATGGAGGTAATCGCCAGTAGTCGCACGGAGTGAAGCGAATAGCCAAGGGTTAAGCACCTGGCTACAACTCTGCTGGAGAGAATAGCCCTATCAGCAACACGAATAGAGCTTTCTTTCAGCTTCAGTGTCTTTCAGACGCATTTAAGTGGAAACGCATGCAACTTGCGCCTTGGTTATGCCAGCTAAGCAATACCATCTCTTGGAACGGAAGAGTGCTTGGTCTAAAGCATAATCAAGAATAATCCTTTAATCCATTAAATAATTCAGTATTTTCACGTTATTGAGGTGATTCATGGGTAGGCAAGGAGACGCATTACGAGAAGCCTATAGAATTGGTCAAGAGCCAAACGCATCCTCTAGATGGAAAGCACATTTTCAGAGCAGGAGAAGAGGAGCTGAAATCACACACAGAGTCATTTTACGCCCCCCTTTAATTTGTTTTTCGCAAAAAATAGATGTAAGTGTTTAAGACAGCTTACTTGACAGGCTGGTGGTGAAAGGCAGATATAAAGTACATTTTAGCAGCAAAATAATAATGAACAGCACAATGATAGGGCTCGTAGAGAATACGATGGGCACTGGGCCAGTGAACTGAAAGCACAGTGCTTCTATTTAAGATCGTGTAACGGCTTCGGTGCATAAATAAAACTAAAATTGGCTAATTTGCTTCAGATACACAATTTAATGGTTTACACAAAAAAGGAAATAACTAACGGAAGGAGTAGCAACTATCAACTTCAGCAACCCTTTGCAGATAGAAAAGTTGCCAACCGAAAAACATCTAGAAAAGGCAGATTGTATGAAGAAAAATTAATGCCAAAAATAGCCGCCTAGAAAAGAAAAAAAGAGAAGTAACACCCTCATGTGTATGACTGATTTAATTATACGCAGCAGGACAGAAGAATTAGGCTTGGCGATGCTCGATTAGCATGCGAAACGTGGGCAGCTTCAACACCTTAGCCTTTCAGCACCATTTGCTGAGTCCGACTACAAAGGATTGGCATCGTTTTACGTATAGTCTGGATCACTGTCTGCAACAAAATGAATTAGAATTCATGTTGAAAACAACTGTCACAAGATTTCTGTCAAAGTGGTAACTAAGTAAAATCTCCAGTATTCTTTTCCAGCATGACCTCAACAGATGGTTGAAAGGGAAGTAAAGATGGAAGATATGACTAGTGCGAAAAGTTCAACCGAGCTTCCACCGTTAATACAGCAAATATGCTTTGGCTCGTGTGCAAACGTCCTCAAAGACCATGACTTGCGAACAATGGGTGCAAATTCATTGAAAAAGTTCGACCACGTCTCAAATCGGCCATTTCTACCACTCCTACCTGAACTTCTTGTCATGAATATAACCATAAAGCCATTTTTTGGGACGAAAATCCCTCAACACATTTGAATTCCTGCCTCGCAGGTGCCAACAATTCCCACTGCCATACTAAGGAAGAAGCTAAAACACCACCCCATCTTGACTGCGCATCACTAAGAGATATGCTGCGTGTAACTTCGAAAATAACGTCACCATTCATCGCAGAGCACCTGCAACAAAATGACACCCCCATTAATCGTACATTAATCTGGCTCCACTAGCACCTTATTCCACGTGGTTCCGAATTCCTTCTTAATGACTTGGCGTTCTACTTGTGCTTCTGGGACCTCAAACAGTATGCACGATACTAGCACATTTTCCTCCACACACATGCACCGTTAGCTCTTCGGGGATGATTCAGATGGCTACGCCACAACAGAGAGAACAATTCAACGCACCTCAAAGCGGCGCTGCTTATCCATGCTATTGACAACCCGCTCCCAGTTGGGTGCAATGAGGTGTGGTAGGAAGGTGTGGAGGAGGGCGCACAACGCCAGACCATCATTCCAGGAAGAGGAGAAGTTGGTCACCTCGACCCCCCGGTAGCCCGCCACTCGACCCTGACACCAGCGCAGCAGGGCGTTGCGCTTTGAACCCGCGTCGGTGCGCTTCGCCAATTCATGTAGCGGATCCGTCGCCGTGTCCACAACGGCGGTGGTACCGGAGGTATTTGTGGTAGCTGTAGAAGCAGAGGCAGCAGTGGTGGTAGTGGAAGAAGGCACAGAATCACCGGCTGCAGCGGAGAGAACACTTGAGACGGCCTCTGAGATCGCCCCGGAGCCGTTGTTCTTAGTGGCAACGGCGGAAGGGGAGGAGGGGGGAGCGGTGAGGTGGCGCTTCAGTCGCGGAGTAGTGGAAGCGGAGGTACTCGTGGGAGTAGCAGTGGAGGAGACAGTGCAGGTAGAAGGAGTAGCGGAGTGCATGAGGAGGAAGGACTCCTTTGCAGGTGAGGTATTGTCACGCGGGACACTGAAAATGGGCTTTGATCTGCCAGAAAGCAAATGAAAACGGACTAAGGAATCGTTGGACTAATCGGTGCATTCTTACTAATAGGTAGGAAATAGTGTTCTGGATTTGAAATAATCTGTGATTCGTAATCTAAATTTTATGCATATGTTTGAGGCATAAAACTAAGCTTATAGTAATTGGTAAAGCTTTAAGAAATGGGAATGAGCGTCTCCACTTTAACTACCCAAAGCAAAACAAGAAAATACCGCATAAATTAAATCTAGATTGTAAAAATAGCGTCTTCCAGGTAGTCGCAAAGGCTGAGCAGTTAACTTCATCCGGTGAATATGTATGATAAAGTGATAAAGTTAGATTTCTGAACCGGATCTTTTTTGTGGCTTTTACGCATAATTTTAAGGCTTAACGTAAAATCTAGAAATGGTTGGCAGCCTTCAATTGAACAGACAAGTAAAGGGAATAACTAGGTTCCTTATTACCTCACAAAGCAGTCCCCTTATGTTTCAGTTTTTATAACTAGATTGAATGATTCAATGACTACAACATCTCTATCGGACAGAGCAAACGTTCATTTGGACTTCGATCGAAGAACTGGTTATACCCATTTACCACCTCAATGGGGTAAAAAGAAACTGTCACCTGGAAGAAGTTGAAAGGTGGACACCAATTTTGGAAGTATCATATTAAAAGAGCAAAGGTAAGTACAGACAGCATTGCCTAGTTGCATGACGCATTACCCCAACCACGCAGCAATTGGAAAGGGGTAGAAAGGAACCTAAATATGGCGTTCAAAAGAGTTTAACACCCGTTGCTGTTGCGTGTGCGTATGCAGAGTGAATCACCCCAACAGTGCATCCGATTTCAATGCCACCACCACTGGTGCTTCCGAAGGGCAAGCAAACAAGAAAGCAAGCGGACTAGAAAGACACAAGATATGCACGTCACTGCGTCGTGGTGCCAACAAAGAGAGGAAGGAAATGTCACAAAAGCACAGACCTTTCCATGTCATATATTGATCAATCGACCAATCAACCGGGAGAAAGTGACAGTTTTCGAGGAGGGACAGCGGGACTCCCTAAGACCACCTCACCTTCTGACGATTTTGGTGAAGTGACTAATCTGTCGTAGTAACAGCACTAAAGGCAGTGGCACCAAGCGAACTCGAAATGAAAGTGATAATTTTGAAATAGAAAAAAGTCAGCACGATTATTAGCGCCGACAATCGCTACATGTCACCCATCGATGCAGCACCAGCCCCTGGAGATATGAATGGAGGTAATAAAACCAAATAATGTTGGAAAATGCAGCGTTTAGACTGAACCGTTACTGTTTAATCCGTGTTAGTAAAATATTCATGGATTTAATGATCTAAAAAGTCACCTCAACAACGACGCCGAAGTTGTCCAAGACAAAGGTGGAGGTTGAGAAGTTGCAGGGGATGCGAGGGGGGGAGAAGTGGGTGGTGGTGGTCCTCCAGGAGCCAAATCACCGACAAGCGGTTCGGCTAACAGGGAATGCCGGGGTGCCGAGTGGACGGGGGTTGAGTTAGGGCTACTACCGGCCGAGTGCAGCCGACGCGCCGGTAGAGAATTGCACCTATCGCCACCGACGCCGTTAACACCGGTATCGCCGACACTGCCATCAACGTCCAGCTTGACCTTTGCACTGGTAACTGTAGAGCGAACTGCTGAAACCTTCTGTTGGTGCTGGACAGCCTTTACCTTTATCAGAAGAAATAGGAGAAATGGGAACAAGTCAGTCAGACTGCTAAAAGAAGGTGAACCAACTCTCTGGTAAACACTTCCGCTTAAAAGTCGTCGCACTGATGATGATGAGAGCTTTGGATTAAGTTAAATACGTGAAAGCAACAACGCAGATTATTTTGAATAGAAAAACTAGAGAAATTAAACTGAGCTTAAGAATAAAGGCTAGTTAAAAGGAGTGGAATAATGACATACAGCAAACAAAGTCGTTCTGGGATAACCAAGAGAAATCGTAGTCATTTGCATCACAGAGTGAGACCAACTTCGGTAATGACAAAGCTGAATCAGTGACTTAACAAGCTTGGGAGGGCATACCTCCAGCATTTCTTAATTTTATTTAGTTTTTCTCTATATGCATAATTATCGACACCAGTGCTACTGTTAGTGTGCAATTAGCTTTTAAGAACAAGTTTTATTGTGAATCCATCGAGGCAATCTCAAGCTACCAGACAGAAGTGTGAGTCCTTGAATAACCATTACGCTTCAAAACAGTGAGGCAAGCTTATCCTAAAATAAGGAAGGTTAGAAATGCAGCCCCAAATCTATAAAAAAACAGGGAAATGTATAGGTATTGGCAAAATTTGAGACTGTTTTCAGCAAAAACAATGCCGAGTCAACGATTATAGAATGTTAACTAATGTGAATAGCCAGCTTGAGAGGCATGGTTTCCACTATTTTAGCATGACAGGTTTTTGGCTCCATTCGGTTGTTGTGACTGCGCATTGTTAATTTTTTGTAAACAACAAGAGTTGATAAACAAGCCAGTGTGAGCCAAAAAGGAAACCAATGGGTTTGACTGGTAAGGGCGTGGTTGCAAATGCGCAAGCACAAAGCAATAGTTTTAAGTGTTTTTTTGTTATTCTACCAGGTAATTTTAAACTTCACAGATAAGTCATCTACGTGGGACCGAGGTGTGTACTTGTGTGTGTTAATAAATAACTTGAAAAAGTCACAATAGAAGAGGTGGAAACCTAAAAAAAATTAATTACTTTCAGAAGTCCTCCATATTCTAAACATACTTCTTAAAAATTAGACACTTCATGTCTAATGGACTAGCAACAAGCCACAAATTAGCTTTTATAGACAAAATGAGTTGTTAAACCAGAGAAAATCTGGACGAAGGAAAATAGCCTATTTAAACCAAGCAAATACACGACTATTGCCTCATTAGACAGGAAATGCGAGCACCGTTAGCGCACAGAAAGCCTAGCCTTTAAACATCGAAAATAAGAAGGTAATACCAAGTGAAGAGCACTCACTCTGAGCGAACCGACAAGAAAACACCAGACGCTTACACAATGCAAAATTACTTAATCAATTTCCACGTCTTATTTACCATGCTCAGAAATAGGAACAAGGTCAATGGTATCTCCATTGGGCAAATAACTGACTTTTTATAAGCAGTCCACAAAATTTCGTACAAGGAGCAATTTTTAATGAAAAATGACCCTCAGATACATCAGAAGGGAGGCTGAGACGTTGCATCAGGTTCAGCAGATAAAATTTATGAGACTTTTAACGTGAAAACTTCGAAGCATGACGTAGCTGAGCCTATACGATGATAAGTTAATAAGATATTCATACATTCGTGACACAGTTTAAGATTGAAAAAAAAACTTTCGTTCAGGGAAAAGGCGGTGGTCCAGCTGAGTCTGGATGCAATTGGATAACAAACCCTTACCTCGATTACACAGATGCTTTCAGTTTTCAGTGATTCGGCCACTACAGTGATGGTGCTCAGCCCTGCTCAAGCCACCTGTGCTATTAATTTCGCAGTCCTTCAATTCATTTGTCATACTTCTCCCTGTTCAGGGATAACTTGGAGAATCCGATGAGAACTATAGTCTCTCATCTTATTTAAAATATTTACCCCAATACTTACCTTCAAAGCTACCTTTGGGCATACTCCAGGTTTTCACGGGGGAGGGTAATTACCTGGTTCTCGATAGTTTGAATGAGACTCTGGACAGTAGGTCCAGTGCGTCTGATGGCACCAACTCCACCACCACCACTGTTACCAGGCCCACCAGGTGAGACGGTGGCAGAAGCGGGATTGAGACCCAATTTCTGCATGTAGGTGGTGCGGTGCAGGTGCTGGAAGGGTGTTGAGGAGGTGGCTGCTGAGGAACCTATGGTGGTGGCTGAAGCCGTGGTTGCATTGGTAGAGGACAGAGATACATAGGGCGTCTCCGCCGGTGAGGTCATTGTGGCCACGCTTTTCATCTCCACACGCGGTGGCGATGGTGGGGGAGGCGGGGGTGGTGGTGAGGAGGGTTCAGCCGGTAGTGATGGTGGAAAATCCTGATGTGGAGATGACTTAGAGAGTTGGTCCCGGAGATTCGAGCTTTCTTGAAGTGCGTTCTCGAGGTCTGCTGACAGATGCTTCACCTATGAAGGACAAGTAGTTGCCAGTCTGGTGATGCGTTAGTGATGAAAGAAAGTCCACATTGGTTAATGGAGAATTTAAGTGATATAAATTTCAGATTTGTGCCAAAGGAAAAGTCGAATCAAGCAGGAGTGTTGAATAAGGTGAAAATGACTCAATAAGACCTAAGCAACAGCAATGAAACCATAGAATCAGAAATCTCGACTGTACAGAAACAGAAGGGACGCCCATACAAATATACCCAGATGAAAAAATCAAGGTCAATCGCGCACCACTGCATGCACACCACGACTACGATTTCTAAGCGTTTGCTCGCAATAGGCCTATAAAAATGAACCAAGCATATATATCCACTAGTGTATAAACTGGATGCCTCGATGTCACAACTCAACGCGTTCGCTACCATAGTCACAGATGGAAATAGATCACTATAAGCCAGGCGTTTTGTATCCCTAATGACACTAACATTAGCAGAACAGACCAACCTTTGTTCAAAATACAGAAGCTAGAGTCATTTTCGAATCCAAAACGGCATACGTGTATTTTATTGTGAACACATGGCTTAGTGCGATCGTCTATCACAAAGTGGTAAAGAAAGGATACACTAGTAACAAGTAGCAAATGAGTCAAGCACCTATCATTTTGGCTTTAGAAAGTGAACAGTGGGAATCATCTTGGGGAGTTGAATGGCCCTTATTCGATGGATTCAGGAAAATAGATGAACAACACTCCCACGGCCCGCGTCCGGGAAAGTGGAAAGGAGCCTACTACCTAAGTCAGGATTTTTTGAATAGATTAATTAAACACCATAGAAGACGCTGCACTTAGAATGGAAAAAACGTCCCTGCTGTTAACATAGTGAAACTACCGCTTTCAATGAACAGGTCACCATAACGAAAAAGAGAAATAGCGCAAAAGACTTATACAAATAAGAGATTTAGTGGAAAGACAAAGCCCCCAAATCTAATGCCAAGCCAAATTTCATTAACCAAATGTTATAACTTCAGATCAACAACATTCCGTTCATATGTTTATGGTGCCAAAATTACATAAACCTGTTGTGGAAATCGTGACATTGATTTCACTAAACCATCACTTTCCTGATGCAAAATGCCACGGGTTTAAGAAGGGTGGAAGATACACAAACCCTGTTTACAAATAAGAAAAAGTTTAATTATAAAAACAGATCGAGAGCTGGGTATTCCACTCCTCTGAATGTATAAACCGATGCCACATATTAGGCACTTGAACATCAGAATAGGATCCCCCGAGCTATTACCAGCAAAAATAAGACAATAATTTCCTGGAAATGGAAACATACCTCTGGTTTGTTTTTAGGCAACGACCAAAAATTACCCAGAATGGCCCAGTTTGACCACATGCACGCAAAAATACAGCCGTCAGTGGAATTCAAATTACTTAGTGAAGGATAGCATCACGAAAAGTTTGGAAGAAGCATTACAAATTAGTGCTTTTCCACACTGGTTGGTGAAGTTGGAAACACACAATCCCCTATCGATGAAATCAGTAAGCATAAAAACTACTCCGCTTTGAGGTTATTTTGAATAAATAATTCGTTTTTCATACTGGGACCCCAAATATTTAACCACAGGTTAGAACCAAACTTCTTTTGCTATGCGTTCATTTCCTCAAACCCGATTCATTGATCAGTAGGAACGTAGCTCAAAAGTAAGCAATTAGTTTCTTTGAAATGACTGCTTTCTCTCACCCAAGCATAAATGAAAACATTATGTAATCCAATCTCAAACTCATAATCAAATTTGAGCGTGACATGTACTTAATCCTGATGTCACATCAAATCGCTCTAAGGAGAGGGTAATCAGAAACCGAAACAACGATGTACCTTAAGAAAAGAGGAAAATGTCCGAGCAATATTGACTCTTAATCTATCATGAGCAATTCTTCTGTCGTTACCATTCTTCACACATCGTAAATTAACGGCTATCTCTCTCAGGTACCTGTCCGAAGGACACGGTGACCTTACACATGACTAGGTGACCGACCGACCGACCGACCGACGGCCAAATCACTGGCATTATATTCACCTCCTCCTCTTCCGCTTCTTATTTTGCCGCTGATGTTTTTTCCCGCATGTGCGTGTCCTCAAGAAGCTTTATGAACACGTGCGCACACGAGAACGTGAGAAAAGCCACCACCACTGCCATTACTGCCTCCGCCGTCACCTACTGCTACGAGACGCTCTTGTGCCTCCCTGCCTGAATATGTGGATGGAATATTGCCTCGTGTCCGTGTATACCTTGGTGACATTGATGCGTATGTGTGCACACGTGTAGAAAAAGTCAGGACAAAGGTGTATTACTAATCGCCTCTGGTAGGAAGAAGATAACGGAATAAGAGGAGCTTCACTGACTGCTTCTTCTAACACACTCGCTTCCCAGTCGGATGAGTTAGACGCTACAGACTTGAATTTTTAACGCAATTCGTAAACCAGAATGAAGAAAGGAGTATTACCATTTTAAGAGCGGTTTCCATGAAACTACGAATGGACTTCAAGGGAGGTCTAGAGACCCAATTGACTCATAGAAAATTCCGATAAAAAAAGATTTCATGTGACTTAATAACACTTAAAAATGCGATTTCAGTAAATAAAATACTGGGTTTTGTAAACATTATACTAGATGGTTCGCTATAGTTTGCGACTCCATGTCAGTCAGGTTATCAAGCGCTGTGGGATAACACACTAGTAGTATACATACTTTCAAGGAAATTCAACGCCAAAAGGAGAATTAAGAATGGGAATTCTTAGAAAAAAGAAGGCGTTTAAAAGATTCCGGCATCACAAGAGACAAATGTCTAGTTAAAATTGTTTGGAATGGAAATTGAATGGCACCGACTACATGCGTCAGCTGATATGAACGCATTTTCAACGAAATTCGTACAGCAAAAAGGAGTTAAGAAGAGATAATAATCAGTCTCCCTAAAATGTTATTTCCAGAACACACCTCTGGTATTACCATAAATGGAGAAAGCTGAAATTAGTTCATGGAATACTCCGAAAAGTAACACATTTGGAGAGGATTTTGGTGAAAATTGAGAAATTGAGAACATTTTTTTAATGAAGAACATCAGAAGCAGACGCCGAAGAACAATCGACTGGGTTGAATATAGCGATTGCTACTAGAATCTCGACGTAACTAATACCATCGAATTAGGCAAATTCAGTACGCAGATGAATGGCTATTATTTGCAGTGCTTCCAATCAGTCACCCTGCAATGACAGTAGTAGTAAGATGGGGACAAGAAATAGCTACCGACGTTATGCAAACGTAAACATAATGGAGTTTTGAAGATGGCAGCTTCCGGGATATTGCTTAACAGCCTCCTAGCATCTACAGACAAAGAACTTAAGAAATTGAGATGAGGTCGATTTATGAATCCCTTAAATAAACAAATTTGGAAGGAACTCGAACGACTATCGAAAATTTCCTGTCGGACTTCCAGGATGACACACAAGTAGTAGATATATTCTTGGGGAATTCGTAGCTAGAAAGAAAATAATCCCCAAGCGGTAAAGCAGCTCATGACGCGACTCAGATTCAAACAGAATCAGGTTATTGAAAGGGTTGGTTCTCAAATGTGCCTTAAGTACCACAAACCGATAGACATTTTAAAGATCGCGGTGTCACATGAGACAAGAGTCAAACTGAGTTTGAAAACGTTCTGTTCTGTTAGGTGAATGAGAAATACGAATGATAGCTAGGGTAAAATATTGCCGTTCAATGTAAAAGTAGTCATTGGGTAAGAAATGTATGCCAAATAACAAGCAAGTAAATTGTTTAGAACTATTCATTATTTATTAGGGTAATCTCTGCTAACAGGGGTATTTTGAGCTAGTCTTGGAAGCCAAAAAGAAGTAAATAACTTATCGTAAACCTTTGGCAAGAAGTACGTTTATCCATCCACCCATTAGCATGCAAATTTCATCATCTCTAAAGCCCAGAATGACGGTTTGATTAGTCGTAATCAAAGAATGTTTTTCAGGCGGAACGGGTACGCTTGGAGGTATGCTAAAGGTAGCAAATTATTAGCATGAAGTGCAAGCACGGAAGTAAAATCTGCATACAACAGAATAGAAGACCTAGACGAGAGAGGATAAAAGGAAACAACCACTAATGATAGTAGTGCAACTGGACAGGTGAGGGTGAGAGTGAAGGAGAGGAAATTCATGAGGTAGAGAACAAAAATGCTACAGGAGGCCACCGTCATCTCACATGCACGTAACATACACAAGCGCGGTGTCTGTTGTTTGCATAATTAATTACTGACAAGGGCTTTCGGTGGCGAACACACCACAATACACCCCAATCACATAATTAACACAAAATGTGCCACTTAAGCATCTCATCTCTCAGACGGAGGAGGAACCACGACACTTGACAGCTTGATTTATTAAAGTAGTGCAGACATCATCAAAAACACCATTGTTGGAGTTAGGCGCATTACTCGCCAGAATGGGGACAGTGACTAGCCTGTAGATACATAGATCAGTGGACGGTAAGAAATTGCAGCCGAATTACGCACCTTTGACATATTTGTAAAGCAAATTGGCTTCAAAGTTATTTTAAAAAATGAATTTTACAGGTGCATTTAGCAAAACGCCTAGCCCATAGCAAACTTAAAATCTTGAAAATATTTAGTTTATGTTAAAGAAGACAAAAATACTTTTCGCTCGAAATGGGATACCTTACTGGAGAGACACGAAGGATTTTAAAAACAAAAGTTCTCTAATAAAGGTGAAGAAGAAAGGAGGAAGACAAGCGCAGTCAGCTTAAAAAGTACACCCATTAACAGCGCATTGCGTGTGTTTGCAAGGAAATGGAGAATCTAGGTCGTCAATCCACCGTCAACATCGTCACTAAACATATTTGCAATGGGGATGATAATTGTTTAAAGACGGCTAACATTACCCAGTAAATGAAATATGTGACGAGTATGAATGGCTCATTGTTAAAAAAGCCTAAATTTTGAAAATTATTGAAATTTTGCATAAAAATGCGGATACGAAATTAAAAAAATAGCATTTTCCAATCGACAAGCGTTTCAGATTTTTCGTCGTCAGATAATGCTCGTCTATAGGGTTAACAATACCCACATATATAGCAATAAATCCAAGTTTTGACAAGTCATAGCCGATAATTTGTGCGGTCCAAAGTGGAAACGATAGCTGACATCTCAAAGTGGAGAAATGGCAAATTTAATGTTAAAATAATTAAACTAGTACTTTAAAACAACTAAATACATGCGCAGTACAAGTTTAGGGCTTATTAAAACAGGTCCCCAAATGGAAGTTATCTTTGAGTGTTAAATTAAACAACCGCTATCAGGTTATTTCTTAAAGTAAAAGATGGTGGATATCGGTAACAATCAAATTGATTAGATTCCTAGTATTCACGTCGCTCACCTGGTCGCGCAGCTCATGAGTCTCCATGGTGATGCGAGCCACCTCAGCTTCTGACTCCATCCTGATTCCATCCGCGACCTGTACTGTCTTAAGGAGATGCCTCTCGTGAAGTCTCAATTCAGTGACCTCGCGTTCATGCTCCGCCACCTCCAGCTCAAATTTCTCCCTCCATATTGCCACCTGTCGCATCAATGCCTCCACTTTGACCGAGAGCTCCACCTCCGCCTCTGCAGTAATATTAGTCTTTTCCACCACCGACGTCCGGTCGTCACCAGCTTCTGCTGTAGTGATGACTGCTGCCTCCATTCTCAGTCGTTCTGCCTCCTGCGTCAGAGACTCTATCTTCTCACTGAGTTGGCGACACTCTGCATCCAGAGACTCACAGCGCTGCGCTAAGTCGTTGTTTTGTGTCAGGAGGATCTGTTTCTCCTCCTCCACTGAAGCATAGAGTTCCGCGTAGTGTGCCTCCCTCGCATCCCCAGTGGATGCCGAGGGGCTGGTCACTAGCAGATACTTCAACTGATCAATCTGGAGGCGGCAATGCTCCAACTTGGCGGTTTGCGTACATAACGACTCAAGAAGGATAGCTCGTTCGAAGGCCAGATTGCGATTCTCTTCCTGCGTCTCATCCAGTGTCCTCTGCATTTCACATAACTCGCCCATCGTCGCTTGCAATTCCTCGGTTGTCGTGTAGTTCGCCTCCTCCATCTCATGAATTCGGTTCTCCAAGTTCGTAACCGATGTAGGCTTGGTGGTTTCCCCACCAAAAAGACTGGACATCGCGGAGACTAGGCTCTGTTGATCTGAATTGGCAGTTCCTGAGGCAGCAGGTGGTTCTAGAGGTGGGCGCGAGGAGAGGCAAGACGAATCCTCGTCAAGGTCAGCACCACCCATTTTTCGTTTGAGGTCGTGAGAGGTCTGTTGTTGGACCAGAGCCTCCGCTCGCTCCTTCGCCTCCCGCAAGTTGCGGACCTCAAAGGAGAGGCGTTCAATCTCCATCTTTCGTGACTCTGTCAGTTGAGTGAGCTCGGATATACGCGCCTCATACTGTTTTTTTTCCTTCTCAACTCGAGAGAGAAGATCAGAATTGATGTAGATACGATCACCGTTCACGGTGTTTGAGCCGCCAGAAGTGGAGGAATTCGATTCGCGGAGGACGGCGGAGGGGAGGGCTATAATTGAGGAGGGTTTGCGACTGGAGATCTTCCGTGATTTGGACTCCTTGATAGAATCGTGTGAGTCCAGAGAGGTTTGGGAGTTTGAGCGGGCAGATTTGATATTGTGACAGCTGGAGGACTTAAAAAGGGCAGGTTTTGCCCGTGGAACGGAGCGTGAGAGGGGACGGAGGAAAGTGCCCGGGTCGGGATTGTGAGCAGTTTCAATGGGTTTGTGAATGCGTGGTGAACGACGGACTATGGTGTCGGGAATCTGAGTTGTGGGGTTCTTTGGAGCAGTATTTCGTTGTACAGTTTTACCAGCCATCGACATGGTGCCGTTACATTAGAAGTACAAAAAGTGGCTAAAAAGAGAGCGTCTTCCAAATACAAAAATCAAGCGTCTATGGTCAAAAGTAATTAAATGATGCTAATTGAATGCACCTCAGCGGTCTAAGAACAAATTAACCTAAGCAGACCTAGTTTGGAAACTATTTCAGGGAATACGCAAGGAGCAGCCTTATTCTAAGAAAATAGAGGAAATAAAAATGGTAAGTAAATATTCATATCCCAAAAATCTGGCAAATTCTCTGGAAATATCTAGCCCAACAGGATACCGTGGGTCCCAAAACTGCAATATCAAAGAATATTCATACCATTGAATGAAACATACACTTCATAAGCGTGAATGAAAATAAATGGGCTTCAACGGTCGAAATTCTAAATACAATTTTACGTAGCGACCCAGGCCTGACTAAACGAACTGCAAACAAAATCAAGCCTCGTTGACAGCCGCAATTAAAATGCTTGCGTCGCGGAGTGACACAGTAAAACAAGAGCCTTATCCTAATTTTTGCAAGAACGATTATTGAATAAAGTAATAAGCTTTAGATTTTCTAAAGTTTTTAGATTAAAAATTTTACTATGTGTATTTGCTTATATTTTGCCGTGATTTTTAATGCATCTTTATTTTGAGTTGCAAGAGCAGGAAGAAATACTACTAATGCTCCTGCAAAATGCCTCTATACTAAAATTGTTCTTTGATTTGCATTCGTTTTGCACATTTGTATACAAATTATTTTGTGATTAGCTTATCTGCCGATAAGGCATTTCTAACATGGAAGATAATGTTGATTGCGGCCAACTTGCTTGTGCGTTTATTGAGAATTTTAGTCTTTAGTTTCAATATCCGCATTTGAATAAGTTCAAAAGAATACATTTGTACAAAATCCTGCTTTGGTAGAGAGAGGTAATAGAAGTCATGTACTTTTGCCGTGCTGAATGGCCCTTGTATAATTTGCTTAGAATCACAGGATAAGTACTTGCAATTATTACTTTTATCCCTAGTAGAAGATAAATTAGCTAACTCATTTTACAAGACTTAGGCTTCTTTTTGGTGCTCCGAGTCTTCCTTGAAGTCGGAAGAATTTATAATATTTGGAAATCAAGTGTATTGGCCATGTACAGAAGCGCCGAGGAAAGCATAGAGCCCTTAGACTTAGGTGCCCAGGCAACCATAAACCCGATAATTAAATAAATAATCCAAGTGTTGTAATATGTTCTTAAACCTCGCTCCTGCGTAATTCGCCATGAAATCGGCTACTCTACAGCACTCAGCTTGTTAAGCGCGTCAATCGTGTTAGCAACATCGTCATTCGACCTACCTCAAATATGGTAGGATTACCCCCTTAATCGTCATGCTGTGTGTAAGTTATTTTTTTCGTTACCTCAGAGGAGCAGATTTTATCATGCTCAGTGTTGCAGACACAGTGCTACAGTGTGTCCAAAGTTTGAATATTAAATAAAATTCAGTGAAGGAAAACGGACGGACGATAATTTATAAGCTAGAGCATTTATATCAGCTGTTACTCGTCGAATATGGCAAAGCGTCTCCAGCACATATAAGGCACCTCAAAGTTGTGATTCCTCATTAGTAAAGAGAATAAACAACAAATATTATAAAACAGACAGCCACATCACCCAAAGTTACAAATGTATGTCACAGTGCAAGGTTAATTACATTAGGTAAGTATAAAATTATTGTCAATGGGCAAAATAAGGCATTGAATTGGGACTGAGCGGAGGAGAAAGAGGCAATCAAGAAGAAAGACATTTGTTTGGTTGGTTGCTTGTTCGTTTGCTTGGCAGTTCTAGGGTTTGCATGTACATGAGGAGGGGGAGGAAGAAAGGCAGGAAAGCAGGCTGGACTGCAATCTCCCTCTTCCAATTTCATCGTCATAATCACAACCACTGCCATTGAAATCAACAAATTCACTATCACAACCCTATGAGCGGCCAGGTGTAAGGTTCTCGCGGGTGCCTCCTAAAATTAAATCAGGGTTAAGTCTGAGTGGACAGGAGCCTACTTCGCTTATTTTTTTCCAATCCCGTGGTCACCAGAGCACACGCAGAGGCACCCAATGGCTCTCCTCCTCCTCCCACACACGCGAGAGGTGTAGGTGGTCCACTGGGTGCTTCCGTTTGTGCCAGTGGGGGGATATAAATCAGCCAGACATAAAGGATAGTTTGATTAGATTAAGTCACTTTAGCAGCACGAGTTGAATAACCCTCTTAACTGCGCTAGTAGATAAGTACAGCTGAAGAGACGCTACCACTGAGGGTGCTGTCTTAGATTTAACGGGCGATAATTGCGACATATGAGCGAATGACTGCCTAAATTTTGTTTGTTAGAAGTGAAGAAAAACGCAGACTCATAGGCTTACTAATTGATCAACTTTTAACCTTCAGAAATCAAAAGATTACAAAATGATATTCCGAAACCTTAGCATTATCTTCAACCTTTACGGAAAAATAACATCAAAAGTTGCGCTCAAATGACCATATTCCTTTTCAACTTTTTTACCATTGACTAAAAGGTGATGAATTTGTTATAGGCATAAAATAGCTCGTCATTTTCGTGTGTCAGATCGAGATTTTATCATCTAACAATTCCAGTTACAAAAAGTCAAAATTTAGTGGAACGCTGTTAAGGTTCGTGCTAAGGCTGATAGCCTGAAACTTCAGATCTTGTTAAATCTTACGCCCCTGATCGCAATTTAATCAACAAATCGCAAAAAGAAATAAGGGGTAGCGAGCATTAACAATAAGATGGTGCTATTCATAACAAAAACTCACCCTTGGGAATTGTGAAAGTTCGGAGTCAGTGAACTTCAAGCAATTAACCCATTAAGCACCCTAAACCCATATAATTCAACCAACATTTCCTAATTCTGTTAATATTAACCTCACAATCTAACATGAATGAAATTAATAGTGGGCATATTAACATTCACCAAGTATGAAAATATCAAGCTTCCACAACTTAGGCTAAGTCCGTATCATTTTTCGCCCTGGCTTCTTGCTGCGACATTTCTTCACTTTTGGTCTTCGAATGTCCCTAAGACAGTGACATAGAGCTCCTCCTACGTTAACACTAAAGTTGACTCCGAATTCTTACGGAATGTATTGTCCCCAGGACTGACTTATATGCCTCAGAACCTTAGTGAATCCTACCTGGCTAGATGAAAAAGCGCAGGAGGGAAGTTGTGATAATGCAACCGTCAAAACTAAATGCCATATCAAATAGCATTAACAAATGTCCAGATACAGATCGCTCAATTTGACAATACGATTTGAAACCGGAACTCCCATATTCAATGACCTGGCTTAAAAGGATCAGTATCTGTGCTAAACGTAGACTTTCCGGCTGCAGCCCCACAGTAAAAACCAATGCTAAAAGCTCTCAATTTTTCAGATAAAAAAAGGTCTGACTAAAAAAGGTCCCCAATATCGGCTGACTGAGTGAGTTAGGGAGTGAGTAAATGAATGAGAAACTTGCCTTGGACGTAGTAGAAATTTTTGGGTGCGCTAGTTCCACTGGGAGCATCAATGACGATCTGCACCCGTAGCGGACTCAGTGACGCCGTCTGACCGTCGTAGGGCGGCACGCAGCAGACCAGGTGCGACTGTGGCAGAAAAGGCACAACGTTATAGTGGTAATGTGCGCATTAATGGTACGAGGAATTCTGTAAGTCGAGCAGAACAATGAATTTTAAAAATGCAAAAACAAGTGGCATTGTGGCAGTACTGTGGGCATTTATAAAAGGTAAGCGTATCTGTCCCGTGACAGTAGTGGGTGCGCATCCATGTGGGTCGCTTCAAGTACCGTTAATAAAGATAACAGGCGTCAGTGTCATTACGCCCATCCACAGATCAGTACCTGGTGATGAAGTGCCTTGTATTAATGTTCCAAATTCAGGCATGCGTCTATCATTGACAATTCCACCGTGGCTGTTCCCAGTCCACAGCACACCACTCACTCCTAAGAACATTCAACTCATAAAATCTCCGATCCTGGATGATTTACGCATAACGTGCTGTGGAATTGGAAAAACGACGATCCTTCTTCCAGTGTAAAGGATAAACACGGTCAGTTACGAGCATTTACCATTTCAAAAAAGTCGGAGCATGCTGGTTACCACAGATTTTTCCTTTTGATGAGCACAGATAATGAAGTGAAGCAGGCTGTCATACCATGACGAACCGTCCGGACTGCTAGTTAAAAGCCATAGTTTATTTGTGTGAATATAGCAGGAAACTAAGCCGAAAAATGATACCTGTCCTCATTTCTTAATTTTTTTTTGTCATTCATAAGCTTTTAAGCGCCGGGATAAGGGTCTACTCACGTAACCCATACTACCAGCTTCCCAGTCTTCCGATGGGCTCACGGAAAAGCTCTCGCCATACTCGAACGCCTTATAAGGTCTTAGATAACAACTTGAGCTCTCTTGTACTCACTAGGCTCTTTATTTGAAATATGACTGGTTTTGACGGGGATCCGACTTTTGCCCTTATACATTCCCTATTAAGCCTAACGACGATAAAACAAGTTTGAACACATTTGTAAGCTACAGGACCCGTGCTGTCACGCCAGGAAGGCCAAGCTGGCTGCCTGGTATATGTACTGACGGACTTGCATGTCCACATATAATAAACAACAGTTCGCTGTCGCATTTAAATCGCTCGCCGACATGTGGTCACTTTGGAGCACTTCTGCATTTATTTGTACTGCAACTATCGTGAAGGTTTTGACACTTTGCCTATTACGTATTTTGGTGCATAATACATTAAGTTGATGGTGGGTGTGGGATGGCATTCTACAATACTGGTCGAATATAAGCAATCCAAACACCGTCAGATGCATTTTAAGATATTAATCTTACTGAACTTGACTCAAAATCAAAAATCACAAACTTCTTCATCCCTGTTATCCTAATCCACTAAGTCCGCCGAGGACAGCTTACTAATGTATCGGGAAGTGGTTAAAACGAATTTCCCCCTTTACGGAATATTTCCGACTTAATACTTCTTTTGTTAATTAGCAATTCCTCTCTTAAGTATTGCCACAAATGGTTAACTTCTTCAGCATTTTTCATTAATCTCTGTCATTAAGTTTGCTAACGCTGACGCTAGTAATTATGATGGTGATACTACTGCCCTGATAATGACGAAAATGTACAGAAAATAGGAGGGAAAATGTTTTAAAGTGAATTCAATTTATTAAAGCAGAACCTTCACCTTGGCAACGATTGTAATAATTTCATTGTGTAGCTGATAAAGAACAGGTACACTTTTCGTTCGACTTAGATCCATTTGACCATTATTACTACAGGGATAGTCCAACTAATTAAAAACTTTTTTCATCGCAAACTTTTAAATGATCAAGTATGCCTGGGAATGGGAGAGGTGGAGGGATTGTGTGCATAGTCAAAAATATACAGTAATTTGATAAGAATTTGAAGTGAAGTGAAGGCTGCTATAACTTAACAGGGAGCCGACCTAACAAACGAGATGTGACGGAAAATTTAACTTATTTGTTTCTCATAAACAGTCCTGTTTTTATTGTCCCATACTTGCAATTTTTTAGTAAAATTGAAGTAAACACAGCTAATGCTTCATCGAGGGATAGATAGGAATCACAGGAGGCTAAGTAGATGCATAACAAGATGAACAAATTGAATGGTTTGGGACAAATTGGTGAGTAGAAAGATAAAGAGGTAAGTGGGTAAGCAAAGCAACGGCACGCAACTAGAAAGACAAATGGAGAGAATGTTCGCCCGGTAATACCATAACGGTAATAAATTGTATTTTAGTCCCGAATTGAAATCAAAAATGCGGAAGCATCAAACTCACCTCAGTGAGAAAGTCAGTGTCCACACGAGCCTCGCGTTGCCAAACCACCTTGGTCCCCTCGAACACTCCGGAGGGTGCGTAGACGCCACCATTGTCTGTTGTTAAGACCACCTGGCGGAAGAGGACTCGACAGCTGGGCGAAAAGTTGGAGCCGAGAACGATTAGGTCCACCATGCCGCTAGTAGGTGCCTCACAGTGCGACAGTCGGGCAATCACTGGTGGTCCATGCAGCGGTAGGGCTGAATCGGTGGTGAGTTAAAAAGGCTAAATTTTTATCAAAATGTGACACTGTAAAGCGGACGGAAAACAGAGCGAAGACAGTTTGTTAGAATAGAATAGAGTGCAAAAGACCAGCTTTTTTAACCTTTCACTATTCGATCTCCACGACAGTCGTACGGGGTCCTCCTTCCTCCGTCGTCACCTACGCTAATATCCAACCTGCTGAAAGTCTAGTACGCCCCATTACACCTACACAGACCTTTTCACTCCGTCATGATATACCCACGCTAAGTGTCCGATTCTGCTTGTTAGTAGTAGAGCTACCGCCCGATTCCCGCGCCCGACTCGTCTTTGGAGGGTAATTCAGATGAAGATCATGAAGAATGTTTCCTGCCGGGTGGGCAGGTTCAGTTTTACGGAGTAAATTGTTCAAGTGATTTATTTCCAACAGGTGGTCATGCTAATGCACAATTCTATTTACCATAGACCAACGAATGTATGTTAACCCTATCGAATAAGAAGCTAGGCGGTTTACGCCAAATCTGGGCAAATTTTGCCTCCATTTTGATTGGTTGTGTGCATTTCATGTACATTGAAGGAGGATGTTTTTGGGTTTGCCTCGTCAACATGTAGGGGATTTGCAGAGAAATGCTTGGCTCTTTACAAAATACCTTAAGGAATCTGTGTCCATTAAAATCACTCCTCTTGATAGTGTTTTGTTTAACACAACAAGCAGCAAATACGTTCATAAAAACTGGTTCCTCTAAATTGCTATGATGCTTCAGCATAGCCACTGGATACGTTTACTCAATTCGGCTATGTAAGGACGATTTATGTCGACTTTAAATGAAGCAACATTTTCAAAAGTCGTGGCATCATTGAAGGGAAAATCGAAAAATTAGCTTCCCTTGCAACAGGATATGCAACTCCTTAACAGATCAGTGTGCTTGTGAATTGACGAGAAATACGGAGGAGATGGACATAGTGGGAGAAAGGGAAAGTCGAACTTGTCACTTCACAGCTGGACAAAAGTTAACTTACAGGGAAGGTAGGTGAAAGTCTCGGGCCTACCCGCTTTGGTCGGTGTCTGGATGTACACGTGGACCTGCAACGGCGAGGTCAGGAGGCTCGAGGGACCACTGTACTCCGGAACTTTGCAAATTAGATGCGTCTACAACAGTCACAACACACACGAAAATTAGTATGACTATTTCCAGCATTACAAATATGTGGCATTCCAGTTCCTTATCTGAGTCGGTTTGTCGTAAATTCGTAAAATTTGTTTTGATTCAGTAAATCGTTTCACTAATCGGACGTTGTTATTTTGATTGTAAACGTACTAACTTTTAAGTAGTGCTTAAATTGGTTTAGGAAATTAATAACAATCTGCTTTAAATTCGTATAACAAAACATCTAAGAGATTGTTACAGGCGATTTCGCCCTAAGAACCCGGTGGAAGTGTTTAATCTCTATTCAAATAAAAGTATATCACCTGTTGTATGTCCAATATTTTATGCAGGACTAAATTTAAATGGAGTGGCTATACGTGTCAAACCTTGCTACCAGTTCTTGTGTAGGTTGAGGTGGATACATTCCCATTGCTAAGCTTCGGGATCTCCCAATTGGCATAAATTCAGGCTTAAAACAAGCATTCGGGTAGTATTCCCGTCAAATTGGAAGTGACTCGAGATGGACGACGTTATGATAATGGAAGGGGAATAATCAGCCCATTCAGCTCTACAATTTTGGTGTTTGTCTGGCTATTTCAGTCTCACGCTAACCACCTAACGCTTTGTACTCCTCCTTTTATATTGGCAATGTCATCATCTGTCTTTCAAAGCATTGCGTTCTTCAAGAGCAATTTATTTTGGCGCTAGGACGTCGTCCCCCTCGCCTGAACTGCCCACCACTTTTGGAGGCGAGCCAAATGACCTTGTTGAGGTGAGGCTAACCATATGTTACATGCACGTGCCTTAAATCGCACCAAGACTGAATGTCTGACGGATATTTTATCCACAGCTATACCCTGTCATGAAGATTTTTGGGAAAATTATTAAACTAAATTGTTAGTCCTCTGCGCAGTCATACACGAAAGAAAGGGCAGGCTTGTATTTTTAAACGTAAACAGGTGTGTCAGCCATTAGGGAACATTACTTAAGCCACGGCCCCCTTGTCAACTTTGAATACAACGCCACCGATGAAGTCATGCCGTTAACATGGTCTTAGCGACTGATTACGATGAGTTCGAGGATGACTTCGTCTCAAATGACCAAACTCTTCACTTCTGCCCTTAAGAAAAGTTCCCAATATCTGCCAGGGGCATCTCCCTCATGATAAATGGAAAATCAGTATTTCTGACGTTGGGATGATGCTGCAAGCTTCAGGTTTGTCCAGTAATTTCTAATCGCCTGAAATAGGCCTTGAGGTCATGGAGGGGGGCCACACCCCGTCCTGCCGCACTTTGTTGCAAAATTTGAGGCCTATGTAAAATTCTACATAAAACTAATCAAGCCGCCTGTCTTGATTTTAAAAAAAAAACGCTTCTTTTTGTTATAGAGACAACATGACTTGGAGTTCAAACATCAAAAGATTGGTGCCCACTCCTCAAATATTGTCATCTCTTACGTATTTAAACTCAAAACGAACTTCATGTCTATGTGGGGAATAGTCCCGCTATCCCAGGAAAAAAAGACGTTTCCAATAAGCACACAGTGTGCAAAATTTAAAGTTTGCTCAGTAGAGAGAGGCATTGTAAAATTAGGCCGCCAGTTTGAAATCACTGTTACAAAAAAATCCTTGACATTTTGAAGTCAGGTCGAACTGAGAGAGTTATTTTAGCTAACCTCTACCTGTTTCAGCAAGACTGCTGCTTGTACGGTCTGTACAAAGCTGGAGTAAGTGGAAGAAAATTCTTGTGATTGTTTTAGTCTTTGCATGCAACCTCAGCTACCTTCGTTTTAACTGAGATTACTAAGCTTTAATGTCACTGAGGGGGTCGTCACTGATGTATATTATCGAGGGCGTTATAAATGGGACAAATGAGGCCCCCTGAAAATCGATTCAGGCATTTTAAAAACCATTTTGATCCAAAAATTAGCAAAGCTTATCGGATTTAGTTAAAAAATCTTTCCTTCTATTCACGTACAGATACATTTACTGCATTCGTGATGAGAAATGTATTTCAATCCGTTTTTGCTCCCAACTAGCTAATAAATCTTGTAAATTTTAATGAGGCAATGATGAGTCTTACGAAACCGGTAAAAAACGATAACAGTCGTTTAATAGAATCATTTTTGATAGACAGGTAGCCTGAAGTACTGATGAGACACTAAGACAGATCTCTACTTTACCTGGTAGAAGAAGTTTGGGTCAATAATGGCATCCCTTTCCCATACAACATCTCCTTTGCCCTCATCATTTAAGTCGTTTGGTAGACTGTTGCTGGTGGACGTGCCGGATGCCAGTTGCCGGAAGATGACACGAGTTCCACGCACAAAGTTCTTCCCAATTATGTAGAGCTCCGGTTGACTCCGCGCGTCCCCCTCCTTGATCGACATCCGGCATATCTCCGGTCCTCCTACGATTTGTGCTAAAGTAGATGCTCAAACTTTTTAAGTGGATGCGCCTCCTGGGTACAACAATGACGTCTTTTGTACGACCAATCTAGAGTGAGTGTGAGCATGTGTACCCTTTTTGTCTCAATTTTATGGCATTATTAGGGCTTAAAGGTTGCGATAGCAAAAGTTATTTTGCGGAGTTATAATAGTTTTATTGGGCCTTCTGATGATGCAACTAATCTTCCAGAATGCAGAATGGCATCCTTGTTTACAACCTACATTTAAAATCAACTAAGAGAAATTAAATTTTGTTTTTTGGATTCTCCACGAACAAGCATCCAATTAGTTACATCAAATCAGGACCTGCTTAGCAAGTTCCTTGTAATTAATGTCATGTTACCTGGTAGAAAAGAAGTTGATGCATTTGCGAATCCACCTTAGACTGCTGTGCTTCGTCTGCTAATAGAGCTACAGAGGATTGAGCTTAAAGGGGGATGCAATGCTTCAATAGCTGGAATAATCATGCGGTGAGGTGATACCTCTGCCTATCAAGATGGTTCTTCACGCTTTTAGCGTGGCAGTCAATTTTCATTATTCTAGAAATGCATATGTATTCACAATTACTACTACTTCACAGATGCCTCTGATGCAACATCGTAACATGCATTCCACCAAGATCTTGAAGGCGAAACTTTTAATAAAATTGCAATAGAAAGTCTAGGAATTTATGTGTGTTTATTCTTTTTCGTCTACCACATAGGTGACAGTGTGATAATATTCGCCTGCTACAGTTATTCCATTAGCAAATAAGCCGCCACTGGTAAAAATGGGAGGAATGGACGAAATGAATAGAGTTACACTTGCTAGGAAAAAATTAATCGTGAATTGGCATGGTGGCTGGAAGGCTTAAAAGTGGGATTTTACAGAAGAGTAACAAATCTATCCAGTTTTGGGACATGACCTAAGCGAAAACAGATTTATCCACAAATTCTATTCGAATAGTGGCTAAATAGCAAAACTCAGAGATCTGGAACCCGCCTCGATTCAAGGAGCTTAGACTAAACAACGTGGATAGTTGAAGAGTATTAAATCACAATGTTAACCAACTTGTTCACCTATATTCAAACGAATTTTCCTCCTAATATGGCTTCAATGTAGAATATTATTAGAACTTCTACAACATTAGGAGAACGGGATTCGCCGTTTAATTTTTTCAGTCATGAATCTTACCCACGTAACCTATATTCACTATATTTCCTCCGTTCTTTTTTACCCTGCATTTTCAAGACACCTGGTTAAGGGTCAAATGGTCCAAGTGGAAGTGTAACGGCTGGGATCTAGAAGATCGACGCTCAAGACATGACATGGGCTACGTAGCATATCAGTTTTTTTCGTGTAAACCTTGTATTTCGTCCGTGCTTCCGGTCATTTAGCCTTCTCCTACAGTCATGATACAGGTGGATGTGCTTTTCAAAGTCTTTGGATATCATCAGTTAAGATACCTATCCAATGCCATCAGTGTGCATTACGAGTGGAGGGCTTACTGCAGCGAATGGGGTCACTGATGACTTGTACCACCCCTTCCACTCTATTTTCGTGGGAGAGGAGAAGAACTCTGTAGACAAGGCGTGCGGAGCTCGACTTGGGCTTTATTGACCGACGCGCAACTTCGTCGCAGATCGGAGTGGAAGTCGGCTGCCCACGCTGGGTTGTGGAGGAAGGGGTAGTAGCGGTGGAGGCGGAGGTGGAAGTCGGGGGCTGAGCAAGACATGGAAAGCTAAGGAGCTTCTTTTGCTGCTCCTCCGACAACGACGCCATTCGCCGCTCCACATCGGAGTTGCGTAGCTTTACAAGTCCAACGAAATCTACACTAAAAAGGCAAGCAAAGTGGAGTTACATGCTGCCGATCTGGGGAAACAAACATGTTGAATTAGAATTCTATCTGTTGGAATCGAGAATAACACAATCCAGTGTTAAATAGGATCAATTATTCCTATCTAGTATATATTACAAGAATCTGTTTCTTTCTGCCTACTAAGAATTCGTGCACTGTTGCCCAAAGAAATACTTGTTTTTTTGGGAAAAATACACCATTACACCTTTCACCATCGATCGCAGAGTGGCTGAAAAGAATTGATTTGATGGATGGATGGATGGATGAATGGCTAGACAGAGGGATGGGTGGATAGGGACCGATGGAGCACAACTCATAATCCACACAGGCAGAATTGCAAGACAGCAAAGAACTCCTCTAGTTAGGGCTGACCCTGCCTCGTCTCGCAAACAAGCCCAGCCCCACCCTACTAGCTGATTTGAGTACTCACCGTTAGCACAAAAAAGTAAATTAGTTATTTTTAAGACTGGCACACGCTCGCTAGTGCGTATTTATGTACGCACCAATGCAGATGTCAATGCCCGGTAAAAGGGCTGCGAGATATGCAGAAAACTGTCTAGTCACAGCAACATTTTTTGCCTTTCATTAAACCACCGGCGACAGAGAGAACCCTTTTTAAGTAGCCTTTCCGCTATCACTCACTGCTCGTTTGCAAAAGGGTGCAGCTGCTCCTTTTTACAAACTTGAAAAGTATCTGATTCCCTCAAGCTGACCTATCTGATTTGTTTATTCGGCTAATATGGAAGTATGAAAACGTTGCTCCAAGCATAAGTGCGTCTGCAACAATTTAAAAATGTTTTTCGGATATCAACTTCAATAACAGTCGATGGTAAACTAAGACATTTCCTTGATTACACGTTCCTTTTTTATCTTCCGTAAGCCTCACAACCCAACACTATAACAATAATAATAATAGTAGCAATAATAATAACAACAATGTTTTCTGACTCGTAGCAATCCTATGTCAGTACGACTTTTTTGCTTTCAGGCTGTATACGCAGAAAAACAAAGTTATTTCATCATTACTTAGGGCACGCAATTTGGTTAACCACCTCGCACAAGCTTTCATTCCATAGGAACGAAATCTTCATATTCGTTAACTCAACAAATGCTAGTCAATAATGGCATTAGAATGAGTTATGGCAGGCAAGTCCAATGCCACACACAAACTAGGTGATTCTGAATGTCTAGCTAGTCAATACCTTCAATTCAACCTAACATGTGTCCTTAATCTTGAAAAGTTGATGCGGACAAGTCCGTCCACCCCAGTGTTTAGTTCTCTACTAGTTCATTAGCTCTTTAGCTGCCGGCATCACATGAAAGTGATACGTATTCTCTACCCCCTGGTTATACCTAATTGTGTCACGAACAGAGGTTGAACCGATAGTTGATGATAGATGGGAGGATACTCTTGGCTTGAGGATAATTGCACTTTCAACCTTTGGAAATCTGAAATTGCTGGGCGGCGTTAATCTACCCTAGTATTAAATGACAAATATCCTTGAAAAATGGGAGTTTTTTTACAAACAAGTCTAGATTTCTCCATTTGTAATTCGCAGTCATCAAATATAGCCTATGGGAGCATTAATTACTCGTTAGTAGATCCTCCGCACATGAAACTCATTGACTAGTACTTCAGTGGCCCTTCCGAACGTGTTTAAAATGGTGGACGGGGTGGGCGCCCCACCAAATCAGCGTCTTATTTTGTCTACCACAGACGTATAGTGGGTGGAGAGTGCCTAGAGCAGCCTTGTAGTGTCAGATCATACCACACAGAACACGAGTTAATACGCCCTTTTGTTACAAAATGACAACAACACCACGTCTAACACTCAATTCCACTACAAGTCAGTTGAGGGAGGCGGTTTTCTGATATTCATGTCCCACTAAGCTTTTCAAAATCTTGAATTTGCAATGTTTTTAAGAGGAGTTTCAACCCAACGGCGCCAAATTACCATCCTTTAAAGGGTTAGAATTAGGGCTGAAGTTGGACTTAAATAATCGTATTTTAATATTTTTGCGATAAAATGTATAATGTGTTAAGGGTGCCATGAAATGCTAGTACGATCATCTCTTCGAGAATTTGTGAACATCAATAAGTTTACGTATTTATCCACAGAAACTGGTCAGAATTCCCGGTTCACACCATCGAGCGATAAGTACAATCGCATTTCCATTTTTTCTGAAAAATCTTTGTGATATTACTTCTTATTAAGAAAGATAGCAACTTAGAATACACTCGGCACACTCGAAAAATTCTATTCTAACTATGGGGGGTTAAATCTAGAATTAAAGTTCTACACACAGATATGTATGTGTGTACACCTAATATTATTAAAAATATTTAATTAAATTTAGTTGATTTTAGGATGAATTCCTACAATTAGATCACCAGTGGGCATTAAAATTTTCAAGGATGCATCATTCATGCTAAAAATGAATCACTTCGTAAAACATATGCTGGCTGAATTCCAGATGTTGATTTCAATCAAGTTATCACATTTAAATGCTAAGCCCAAATAATCGTGGCGACATGCATTAATCATTGCCAAGTCACAGATCACAAGCAGGTTACCTCATCACACGATCCTCGGAGTTGGAGGTGAAAGGCACCTGCACAACTGTGGTGAAACCGTAGACGAGCTCAGAGCAGCCGCGGTTGCTTTTTGTGGAGACGAGGCAGACCTGGTAGAACATGTGTAGATGCGGGTCCGTAGACTCATTGGCTACGAATACTTGTACCATGGCAGGACCTGACCATCCTTGGAGCTAGAAACCCACATTTAGTAAAAAGAATGACCATCCTTATCACTACTCTCTGCCATTAATTGGTTGATGGTCAGGTAGTTCTCTATCTGTGTTTTACTTTGTTTACTTTTGGCAGACTCACTACACAGTTGTGACACCAGTAGTTGGTAAGCCAAGTGTGGATAGAAACATCACTGAACACGATCAACTTTGCAGCTCCAACATGTAAGATAGAGCTCACCGCTGCCTATCTGCAGTTAGTGAGCAGGTAGCCCCTCAATTTGGTATGCTTTTATAGGGGGTAGATTCAGGTGGCGAATCAGCTACTTAATTGAACGAAATTCACCAGTTATCTAAATTAATTTAGCAATTATTTATATAATTCACAGCATTTGAAAATATTTTGACCGATTCAAAGGAATTTTTCCTCTATGGTCGGCATTTACTGCGGATGCTAGAGGCAAGTCTGGGCGATACTTATGTTTAAGGGCCCTATTCTTCAGGAAAGATTCAATAGGGTCAACATGAGCTTCTGATAGCAATTTAAGGGGTTCATTATCTTCATTTAAAATAAATTCGTCGTTTTAGAATGGAAATCTCTCCTGTCGTAAGAGGTTTCACTGCAGTGCTCAACATTTATCGAAATAGTTTACCCAGATCGGTACAAATTCCCAATAGCCAACCCTGTTCTTAGCATTACATTTCGTCTTTGCTTTACATCCGAGGACTTCTTCGAATCGTGCGCTCTTGCACAGTGCGTTTTCACCAAAGCATAACGTCACGGTAACATATATTGCATATAATATCAATAACATTATTGCAAATCAAGCTTAAAAAGAAAACACCACAATATTGCAAATTTGGAACTGGTAAATTCGACCTCTGGAGAGCTTTCATTTATAAACAGATTAAAATCACTGCAGTTTTACTTGTAAAACTTGGCTGACATTAGCAGAAATAAGCTGAGATGGGTAGAAAGGACCTATTCAAAAATTTTAATGCGATGAAAGTAAAGCCTGTTTATTCGTCTTAAGACGGAGACACTGTTTACCTTCTGGGTTGTCTAATTCGGCCGTAATGGGGGGGCCTATAATTAGTTTACACTGACGTAATTAAAAATCGATGGCAGTTTCGCGTCTGGCCTAGTTTCGATGCCAGCCCAGCATCAGGACGGACTTTGGCCCCTCTCCTTCCTCCACAGGTATGTGTAAACACGTCTAGCCTTCCAATCCTAGCCAAAACTTCGACTCTGTACATACCTGGATGGTAGGATAGCCGTCAAAGGTGCGATTTTTAATGGGTCCTCGACTGCCCTCAGTGAGATATCGAGCTCGGTGTTGCAATTCGGGTTGCTGCAACAGCGTCAGTTTCACGTCCTTCCAGGTGCTCTCAAAAGGTTTGTTGAAGTAGTTGAACTCCTCCGAGGTGAGGTATCCGCCGGAGAGAGCTGACGAGATCATGCCACCACTACCACCACCGCCACTGGCAGCATCACCACTACCACCACCATTGCTATCACTACCGTCTTCAACGTCATTCTCCTTGCTCTCCACTTCATAGGCGGCTGAAAGGGGTCGTGAATGACTGCGCTAACAAAAAAATTTTGACGATTTCAGAGTTACAAATGTTGCTATTACTAACACGTCCCCAATTGATGCATTCACTCGGGGAGATGTCAGTACGCAATATTGGCGGCATATGACAGGAAGTAGTTCAGCACTGTTCAATCAGTTAATGTGAGAAGTTTGGCATTCTGAGAGAGTCCAAAATGCGAGAGGGGAGATAGTGGAGAATGTATTATTCCGGTTGGCAACTTTGGTAAGGCAACTTTCTAGAAAATTCTCACTCCCTTGTAACCAAAATGAGTGTTTCATTAATTTGAGAAAACTCATGAGGCAGTAAAAAAGTTGTGCCGTTAGATGAAACGAATCATTTCTAGCATTTCTAAGTTGCAAACAGAAAAATGTGTCCTGCGAAAACTTGAAGAAATGCTATTTGGTTGATTGGCTGACTGGTTGATCAAGATGACGAATATTGCCCACTACCATACAGTCACCGTTAAGATTCTACCAAAAAACAAGCATTTCAGGCGTTTTTCATGATCGCTTCTGTATATTAATGGTAAAGTTTGCCTTTTTTGTTGTTTTTTTTCCTGCAAGTGGAATAAACTGCAATAAATGTTTTGTAACACGTTAAGATGAAACCGCTGAAGATGATCGCATCGGCGGATGTACAAGTTACTGATTTCTAGGCGGGACCTATCTTAAAAAGTAGTCTAAACTTCCAACTAATTTATAGTTTAAGCAAGAATTATACGAAAAAAGATTATTTTAAATCAGAATAGGCGATTGAAAGAATGACATGCTTCCCCAAATTAAAGTCAAGAAAACGTGGTTCAGTAAATTGTCTGAGAGCGACTCCCAATTCTAGCGATTGGTGAAATCAGAGGTTACATACCCTAAGTTTACGGTTCCAAAACCACATTCTTAACTTCAAAGCAATCTTATGGATAGATTTCGTTTGATCATCTTTGAGATGAAACTATCAATTTTTGTTTACTCCTTCATACCATGAAACTGTCAAGTGAAGCTACAAAGTCATCTCACCACAAACAGTAGTAAATCCCGTTCCGGTCTTCGAAGCCCGATGATGATTTCAGGTGGAATCGACACAGTAATCAGCTTATTCTCACCGTCAAACATAGCCCGAGACTGCAATGTTGAATCACAAGAGGCAGAACACGTACTTATCGTCTAAGTCTACTTCATTTTCAGCTAAAATCAGAATGCTGATTGGTTCATGATCACTGAAACTTCAAGGTGGCATCATAACGGATGGATGTGTCTGCCTCCAATGTGACTCAATTTTAAGATTCAAATAAAGTATTATAACTAGCCATCTCTACTGCGTCGTCGAAATCAAAGCTGGTTCAACAAAGGTAACAAAACCTTCCGTCTCATCGCTATTTCTACATCGAAGTCCTTAAAATGCTAACTACAAACTCATAATTGCAAATCAGAGGAAGAAAATTGGGAAGTAGAGTGATTTTTTGCATTCAAATAACCAACACTCATTCAAGTAAAATCATAACCTCTTCATATGTCCAAAACTAATTGGATGTTCCACAGCCAGGGCTCTGGACTTCCTTATCACGCTCTTACTCGCACCTTAATGTTAAATGTGATTCTAATTTACTTATCAGTGAAGCTCAACATCAGTCGTGTAATAGTTTGGATTGAATTCAGCAGCCAAGTTTAGTCCGTTTTGGAAGCCTAATGATAATTTCAATTGACACCACGATTAGAAGTCAGTCTCAGTCACGGCTTTGAGTATCTAGTAATTAATGAGGCACACTATATTCATAGAACCTCGATTGCAAAAACAGTTGTAATCATTAATTCAATCCACTCCTCCCCCATTTGTTGAGGCTTAACAACTGAAATTGGGGCTGCAAATTGACGTCACAATAGCGTGCAAACAAGGTAGACAAATGTGAAAGCACCCATCTAAAACTTTACATTAACACTTACGAAACACAGTCAGCTGAGTAGCTAGCGTGCTTGTGTATGTGTGTACACGAAAGTAAATCCAAAAGTGACACCGTTACACCCTGACTCGTGACTCCCCCCCTCTGCCTTGGTAGGCAGCACGCTGACAGCAATGGTATTGATGACGGCAGTCACAGCGGAGACAAGCACACCTCTGTTGTGTGCATGCGCCTGTATGCAGTCATCACAACCGACACGCATTGCATGTGACCGCCACCGCTGGTGTTGGAGCCGCGTGATCATTTCCAGTTGAGCTCGGACAAGGCTCTCGCAAACACTGCCTCAACTCGCATAGGATCTTTCAACATTGCTCGGAAATTCTACTAACTACCGTGGACCTTCCTCTAATCAGATAATCAAGCAGAAGACATTGAAACGTAACCAGCAGATCAGATTCAAGCAGCTTTTAACGAAGTGTGAAATGTTCTCGCGTGTGTTCTACCTTAAATCACACCTGTCAGATTGATCAAGGCGATATAGTTGAACAGCTGTGTTTGCTGCAATTCAGCTTTGACTGTGCCGATCTTTTCGTCCTAGCACAATTTCAGCTATCACGCTTGTTGCATTAGGCTCTGCCAATAATTTTCCAACCTCTGCAAGTCTACAAAAGAGTTACCCCCAGGCTTGTATATTATAAATAATCTTAAGGTGTAGGTTAGTTGTTATGGTTAATCAATTCTAAAGAGCGTTAATCTCGCATTTTACTGATTGATACTGCACCAAAAAGCGGTAAATTGAAGGCGTTTACTAGGAATCTACAATGATCCATAACATATGGAGAACAGACTAAACACTGCTTTAAAATAGCAAAATCACTAAAGAACTGCGTACAGAATTGCCGTTGAGGAGAACGATTTTCGGCGCTGACTTGACTGAGAGTAGAATGTAGTCCAGCCTCTATCAGCACATCTCAAAGAAATCCATTCCCCATCGGATATAGATCCATGACATTCACCACCGCTATGGAAGATGTATTTACTATATACTATTCGTTTATGTCTCGCGTTTGGTTCGAATGTACAGGAAGACTTTGGATGCTCGAAGTAGAACAGTAGTCACAAGGAGACCCCGAAGAAGTGTTCAAAGCACGCGAGCTATGTGGCATGGTAATGGCAGTGGAGTTGACTATATAGGCCTCGGCGCTCTCCTGTGTTTTGAAAATCACATCAGTACCATGGACCATGCTCCCACTAACCATGATAGCGTGCTTAATCACATTTTCACAGGCAGCCCAAGCGACGTCAGTCTTATCTCTTTTTTACCAAAATGCGTAACCACCACCATTTTTTCAACAAACAAGTAAATAAGAGGGGAGGAGAGGGAAGAGAGGTTGGTAAATTTTAACTTACTGGGTCGAGGAGTGGTTTTACGTGGTCGAAGTCTGGTGCAAGAGTTGTCTGAAAATTGCCTGGATGAGGGAAAACTGAAAGTTTTTGATCTCCCTGTTGTTGCCAGCATCGGGTCGAAGTTGGATGTGCTTGGACTAGGTTTCTGTAGTATCCTATAGGTAGAAAAATTCGGTAGAAAAATGGAATAAGCAGTGCATTAATGAGCTGTGCGGTCCGATGTTTCCCTTTTTCCTATCACAAGGGTTTTAAAATCACTATTGGGGTTTGGGTTCTCTTAGGATCGTAAATCTGCCGCAAATACCCATTTTGATTCCTGACTAGATTCAGCCATAGGATATCTTAAAAGCAGTTCTTAAAAATGCAATAACCTTCACAGACAACTCAAAATATCAACACACAAACAACCAACCAACGGCTAACATATAAGTAACATGATGATAAAGTGGTTGAGGGGATTCCGTCCCACTTTTTTGTATAAGGCCTAAGGCGATACCAAAGTGATTGAAGTGTTGAAAGCAGTAACGCTGGTAATAAATTTGTGCCTTCGATAACACCTTAAACGCGTGCATTTCTTAACTAATTACACCAGTACCTCGCCTTTATTTAGTCTAAGACTACACATTACATGTTTCTTAACCCAAGTTCACAACCCAGGTCCCCCAAATTACTCATCTCACTTGGTCAACTCAAAGAGAAATTTCCCCACTATTATTGATTTTTTTACTGAAGCAAACCAAGATGATTACTTTTGCTGGAAGACGAGGTACAAGGCGGAATCCCTCATTGTCATTCGCAAAAAACGTGCTTCGTGAGTAAACAATATCCAATTTAGCAAATTCTTCTTAAGACCTCACAGGCAAATTTACTTATCGTTTCTTTTTCAAATAAACGGATTATTTAAGCTCCGGATGTGTAAGGGATGCAGTAAAATGACCCTCATGAGAGGTTTCGTCAAAAAAGCGTCATTTAAGTGCGGGGACACGTTGAAATCGACGCTGATACTTTTGTCTGAAAAAAATACAACATGACGAGTTTGATTGACAGCGGTGAAGTGACTTAAAGCAATACTTGTATTCCTTGAGATGTATTGCAATCACCTTTACTTTGAATGATGAAAACATTATTATGAAATGGTGATGCAATTTACAGATCTGGTTGAGGTAGAGTTCAAAAATGAAATACATGATTTGAAGGGACCATCACGTGGATGCGGTTTGAACCCACAGCTCTAATCACCTATGGTCTCTGGTGAAGCTGCCACCTTAAATAAATGAGTTATTGATACACGGAATGGATGCGCTGTAGAACATCGTCCAGCTGTCAGCAATGCCCTTGAAGCGGAGCTTAATATAGGAGTCCCATCGGATTTCGCAAGAATGAGAACATGGAAATTTCTCATTATTATAAAATTTACCATATTCTTCTTGTGACTGTCTCGCCTTCGTTCGCAATACAAACTTTTAAGCATTTAACAGTAATTATTGAGGTGTAAGTGGGAGTACCGAGGACGATATCCTAAATGCTATTCAAAGTCGTCACACTATTGATATACATTCCATGGATTTATAATTGGACTAAAGTGGAAGCCTTGGTACTAGCTGCTTCTTTTGAACAATGCAAGTTGTTTACATGGCTATTTGTGGAGATGTTGAGAAATGAGGCGATATTTCAAACAAAACGCACCATGCGTGCGCGATGTAAAAAAGCAAATTAGCAAATGATCAGTAAGTTATCGAAATAATTATATAAAATGACGAGAAAATTGTTAAAATTCTCAGTAAACATTAGTTAGGCGGAGGGAGCAATTGCCGTGTGCTCGCCTAGCAGTTGGAAGAGTGTTAGATGGCAGAGGAAGACGCGTAATCACTCCACCCAACCAGAGGTCAAATGACGGTCTACTCACTGCACCTTCACATTCCGCTTTAATTCATTCAAAACACAGCCAAACATCCATTTCTCTTTCTCAAATTACACACAAGAAAAAGTAGCGGTAATCCATTGAGACCCCTGTAGCGAGCTTTTTGGGGTGGGAGCTATGTAAACCGCCATCTGATGTCTCGTCTGAAACTCAAACACCCCAGCAAGGTAATTATAGCAAAGGTATCATGCAATGCTTACTATTGAACATTTCTTCATGACTACGCCTCCTTTAGGTGGAGCAACAAGGTGAGACTTACTTGGCGTTCTCAACGCTCTGCTCAGAGGCCATTTCCACCCGTCTCATCATGGACTGTCGACCAGTGCACAACGATGTCTTGCGAATTGGTGGTGGCTGCTGCTGTTGCTGTTGTTCTTCAGTCACAGATGGTGGGGGAGGTGGAATGGTCTGCTGTAGACGCCAGCGCGGAGTGTTCACGATAGCAAGCTGTTGCTGACGCGTCATGTGACCCCAGGCAGCATTGGGAGTTCTGTCTGAGACCTCCGGAGCCGGAGTAGGACTTAAGTGGCCCCGAGATGCGGCAGCCTCATAGAAGTACTAAAAGACAAAGCACAATAGGTCACCTTCGGCCTGTACTTTGTCATCGTGCCCCTCCTTTTTTTTCCCGCCTATGAGTGTAGCAACCAAGAAGAAGCATAATGCAGTGGGCGGAGGAGAATGGGAGATGAGTACTTACTTCCTGTTGCCTCAATATCTGCTCTGAAGCACCACAAGCAGATGAAGCAACGGAAGCAGAGGCAGCAGCGGCAGCGACTCTGGGTGACTTCCACGGCTGTGTTCTCAGGTTGGTGAAACTCTGACCATTGGTGTAACTGCGCAGTGCATACTGGCGTTGTACGAACTGACTCCTCCGAACAGGCTGAAGCTGTTGTTGCTGGTTTGAGATGTACATGGAAGCACCTAGGCGCCGAGGTCTAGCGGGAAGTGATGCAGCGTTTCGACCGTTGTTCACCATCATGTCAGGTGTCAGCATCTCAGCGCGAAGCATGGATCGACGCTGTGGGCGCAATTGGTTTTGGAGGCAAGGTAGGGGGTGAGATGATTATTGAGAAGCAAAGCGAAAGCACATAAGCAGAGCAAAAGCTGTTGGGAGGCTTTTATACTCTAGAGGGTCGGCATACTACACCTCTTCGATTTCGGTCCAAATTCTCCTTTTATTGTCGTTGCGTTTGTCAAGGCTGTCTTCCCGCCGTAGAATCTCGGGAATGAGAGGTTAACTGTGTTGGCATTTCCGGTACGACTGCGTGTATTCTTTTCACATACGCACGCGGTCGAATTCAAACAGAGCTGACGGTCAATGTCAATGACTAACCGACACTGAGTAAGAGCCAGCTGTCTAAACTACCTTCTGTGTAAATAATTCGACTATCTGTACAACTCGGCTCTGACATTTTAAGCCCCAATAAAGTCACCGTATATATTCACTTCACGGAGAAAGACTGCTTATTAAACAGGTGTTGAATTTTTGAGAGCAATACGAATTTTGTATTTACTAACTCAAATTCACATTTTATTATCAAATGCCATAATAAGCTTTTTTGCCTTTGAACTAAAATAGCACTTCCTAATGGCTAAAGTACTTTGTGTTTCATCTTATCCTAATTGAATCTATCCTTTTTATTTTGCTAGGTTTAGGACACAATGTTTCTTCGTTGTTCTCAAAGTCACTAATCTTTGTTGATTATTCAAATCAAGAGGATTTGGGCATTTTTTTATGCAAACTTTAGGTGTGTGAGCTTATGGTGTATTGACTTTTTTCCAAAAAAAGTATGAAACAGCATTTCTTAATGCCAGTGCGATTAGTCAAAGGGAACTGAGATATACGATGCTACGGTACCTCAATAAATACAACTAAAATTCATGGAGAAAACAGGCTGGCTTGCTATTCCACTTATTTTACATTTCATCAGGATCATGGAAACCACTTAACACACCGACTGAGGAAATGAGCCACATCCCATCAATTTTCTTACAACACAAGAACTAACTTCCTTCTCACATGTAAATGCCCTCATACGAAGGATCAACTCTAACCACCACAGAAAAGTGGCGTATCATCTGGTCAGATCCATGAAGTTCATTGCAGGCTATTGAAATTAGCCTACCTTTTGGGAGTTTAGATACTGCTGCTGTTGTTGGTGCATCTGCGCCTGCGTCAGTCTACTACTCCGTCGCATCATGGATGGGTCAAGGTGGTAACGTTTATCGGGACTCGACTCCTGTTTCGTGGAAGCTGGTGGTGGCGGTGGTGAAGATCCCCGAGTAAGTTGACTTATAATATGAGAGGAGGAACTCGAGCCTTCTGAAGAGGGATCCCCAGGGGTGTAGCAGTATTCTGGTGGGGGTGGTGGTGGTTGTCTCCTATCCAACAACTGTCCCCCTGTTGTCGGGTCTGTTTCGTTAGTAAAGTACTCCGTGGAATAGGGGTTCTGAGTTTGGCTTCGACGCTTACGACAACTCGAAGGTGTCTCCTGGATGGTAACAAGGAAAAGAGGATGGAATTTACTTCTTTATTAATGGCTGTCTCTGGTCCCTTGATAGAAAATTTGTCGCAATACTGCTGCCACTAACTCTCATTTGATGGTGTTGTGTACAATCTCAGTTGCTAACTCCTCCCGATTTACATTGCGCTAATTTTTCAGAGATAAATAACGCCCTTATCCATTTTTAGGAATTTCTTTTTGTAAGTCATCAGAGCCAATGCATACAACAATATTAGTTGTCGGTTTAACTACACGGCCCTTTAAGTCACTGTCTCGGTGGCTAATAGTCCTTCGGCTCTTTTGCACAGCTCTGTCAAGACTCATACATCTCAAGGGAGGGCTCAGTGCTGTATTATTCGACCTTTTTTTCTCTTGTGGTTACAATACACTTCTACCATATTTGGTAAATATTCAAATCTTTTAAGCAGCCAGACTGGAGGCAATCATTTTTCGTGCCCCAACTAAACGCGACTATTGTGTTTGAATGGGTGGGATTTTGAAATGGGTTAAAGGAGGAGGAGTGAATCAACAAATCACTCACCTATATACTGTTAAGGAACTTAAATTGACTATCGACAACACCATAGCCTAAATGGTAAATCAACAGATAGCCCTAAATAAAGTAAGGAATCGAAGCCACAAATGCTTTTTTGATCATGCAATTTAGCTCTGAAACGATTCAGTGCGACAAATTGCATTTTAACTATTACTCGATCATTGTGGTTTCCGCAAAGACATTGGGACACCAACAAAGCGTGTTGATTTATTTGTGTGGCTACAGCTACCAAATGTAGATGACACAACTTTAATTCCATATAGCTTCAGGTTATTTATTGCGCAGTCAACACTCGAAGGACCTTTGGTAGCGCATTGCAAGTACCCAGAAGGGGGAAGGGTTCTAAAAATTGCAATTCTTTATGATGTGTCAGGCAATAAAAGCGACAACATCAACTTTTTGAATCTAGCAAAAGTGAATACCTACTAACATATTGGAATGTCGCAAATAATATTTAGCACATTTACTATTGGATTCTCAAATGAACAAACTAATTCAAAATAAAAAACCTTACATCTAATCTGCCTCAAACTTAATCAATCTATTTGCAACCACAGTTGTATTATTTGTAACGCTTGGCTCAGTTTGAAAATGAGGGGTCACGGGTCTGAGATTTTAGTAGTTGCCAGGCTATGGTCATATGAGGGTAAGCGTTTGAAAACCGATTCGCGCCTAGTCAATTGTCAGTGATACCTACAGCCAATTAAAACGGCATCATCAATTCCAAGACCATTTGTGCTATCAAACGTTAGCTTTCCGGGAAAAATTGTAAGGAGAATTGTTAGGTAATTATTTTTAGGGTAAATTAAAGGAGAAATAATTGCAAATTTTTCATCCAAAGGACCTTTTACAAAGCATAGGCTAGCACACACGCGAGCCCTCTTGCTCAAGGCCATTCAAGCTATTGGTAGATGAACTGTTTACAATTGGAAACAAATTGTCACAAACCGACCAGCACAACCTTAAACATAAAAATTTTCAATTTGTACAAAATTTTGTTCTACAATAAGTATTTAAAAGGAGGAAAAAATAGGGGTAGACGGCTGGTGCATTCTAGCGAAAGGCGATTAAATTAACCAGTCCTCTCCCATTTCCAACATCAAGGAAGTTAGCGCCATTTCGATTATTTTACATACTCTGATGACCACTTCTACCTAATTCAAATGAATTGACCTCATCAACTAATCAAATATTTTTTTGCTGATTTACTAACAAATTTGAATGTTCATGTTAAATTTCTACATAAAGATGACTACTATATTTTGAGATAGTGAAGCCTCATGCTTCGTTATACTCAACGAAATACTTCTTTCGTCATTAGTATATTTGTCACCAACATTACATAGATGAAATTCCGTTTATCCGCTTACGCCAACCTGTCACAACAAATCGTGTTTCACAAGCAGACAAGTTGAGTTATAACGCAGTGTATACATATGCTGTTCCTAATACTAATCACACCACCAGCTTTTGAACGCCTGTTGAATGAGCCAAAAAAGCAATGGGATTTGATGCCACACAAGAATAATAGAAGATCTAATCTGCTTTGATCACTTTCCCACCAAGACTTGGGCGACAATTGGATCAGTTGAAATTGGCCGAGAAACACGAACCTATGCGTGGCGCTATGCAAGCATGATTGGGCAAAATTACGCCTGTTTGGAGCCTCAGGATAAAATCCTGGCATGCATGGAAGGGCTGAGTAGAAAAGAGCTTTGAGGAGTGACTCTAGGCTTGGCTGCACAGGTGCTGCTGTGTGTGTGCACACTAAGTCAGGTTATCGATCTCAAACATCGATGCTTGTCGTATGACCTGGTATCAGGACTCGTTATCTCGACGCCTCACAGCCTCATAGTTCACTGATCCGCTCAGGGCAAACTGTCAGGTCGCGCGGTTGTTGCCCCCACTGCCAACGCTGTTTCTGTGCCTTGTTGCATGCGCTCTCAGGCGACTACACACCATTGAAAGGCATCGCGTGTTGATAACCAGTGTGATTGATGACGGTTTTAGAGCAACACATACACACACCTAACCCCTGCAATGGGCGGTGCGGCCTTAGAATCCTACCTGCGTATGCGTGTGTGCAGCCTTGTGAATTAAATCCTAAAAAAACAGAGAAGCGCCTTCATGTCCTGTGGTCCCAGCATGCCACACTAGACTAGCAAAACTTTGAAGATAACGTAGGGTGAAGCTAACCATGTAAACAGAAACTACTTGTTCTCTCGGCTAATTCAGTGAAAATTGACGGTCTTTAACTGCAAAATATAGAATGTCCAATTTTACGGCATCGGGGTTTACTTGATTAATGTACAGGTTGTCTAAGTCAAAGCAGAACGTTTAATGTCAGGTTGGTAAGAGAAGATACATCAACTAGGTAACACCCGAAAGTCAGGGACAAGTGTTTTCACATGCAGGTATCAGCAATAGGGCAGTTTAAACACTGATATTCTAAGTTTCAAGCAACAATGGTAGTGCATGGAACAATGCATGATGAAGTTTCTTATAAACGAAGATGTAGACTCCGAATCCATCGGTATCTACGGGAGACTAAGCGCAGCATGGTGAGGCAAGAGGTTCTAAATCGCATCACTACATGTGAAGCAATCTGCAGACACAATTTTACTCCAGAATCAAAACGAGCATGCGGATGTACATGTCAATGAGGAAGTGAAGCAGGCCGTCCTAGGGCAATTCAACTTATGCCAAAGCCTTCCAGACATCAGTAAAATGCCGACTAGTTGCGCGTGTTAGGGGGCAACCATGTAACGCGTGACGAAACAACCACCACTTACCCTATCTCCATTACCACCTAATGCTTGAAACGGTTACCCACTCCTGATTCTACTCCACTGACAAAATCGTATGGAGTTTCAGGAGCTACTCAAACTCCTGTCCCAACTGCAACATCACAAGTGTTTTAGGGAGCTTATTTCAGTTCTGCCTTGCTTAAATCAGGCTCAGTTGGTTTTCGAGACTACAATAGGCGTACCTCTGCTAACCAGACACATCAATTATGACGTTCTAATCTGTCTGGTCTGCTTACACCAGTTGCCTTTCCTTCGCAGAATGCACTTTAACAGAGGTCGTGACAAATCCTGATGTACAGCAGAGCTAACATTTGTTTCGGCTGGATGTGTGAATACACTGGTATCTGCAGTTCTGTGCAATTCGGTCGCCATGGCCGTGGATTAAAGCCTTGATAATGTCTCCTACATTGTTAGTTCCTCAATCTGAACTTTTGGATAAGGCCGTTTCTGGACTTGTATGTCATGCGGAGTCTTCATGAACGGTTCGAGCAATACAAAAACGGATTGACACGTGAAGAGGATTTCAAATCGTAGACTTACAAAAGTCAAGCAGATATGATAAAGACAAAATTCGCACTATAATTCAGTATCGGAAAGCATTGCCTTGCACGAATACCTGCATGGATGCATGCAAACGTTTATGTTCGCCATCTCAAAATTATATTTCTCGTTACACAAGGTGAAAGGGAATAAAAAGTGGAACGAAGTGAATGGTAGTGAAGTGTTTACACGTGACAATGTCAATTATGTAGAAAGTGCATCAAGAGAGTGGCTTGCATGACTGCGTCGCTGGTCGCTAAGCTTAGATGCTCTTCAAAAATTATCCCCTCATGAGTGCTACTACAGCTCCAGTCGACCTATGCCTCCCCTACACTACTGCTGATAGCGTAGGCGCGTCATGCCATGCTACGTGTAGTTACGTGCCTGTGTGCTGTCTGCGTGGGTGGCAGGATTGGTGGTGGCAGCGGCACTGTTCATACGCGCGTGTACACTTTCACCTCTCTGACAGCAGACTTGATGTGCGCGTGTGCGTGTGTGCCTTACACGCAAGGTCAACTCAAATTAGCGCCTCCATGAGTGCATACAGGCCACCAGAACGAATCGCGGGGATTCCCGAAACCCTCTTTTCCGCATGGAGCATACATCAGAAGCCATAAGCCGCCCCCTTAATAGACATCGATCCAAACTTGGATCCAGGATTAGGATTTTTATTTCCCGTTTAGACCGATTTACGCTTTGTTTTGTAGCTCAATGGGTGTGGTGAAAATCAGAATGCAATTTTTGGTGTCGCACCAGCAAGCCCTCATTGCTTTTAACAATCAATCACAGGAAGCAAGTGTCGATTACTATTTCGAGGCAATTTCGTTGAGTGTGGTGGTGATGAAAAAGAAGCAGGTGCTCGACGGCATCGCGGTGACGTTCCTCCCAGATAAGTGCATCAGTGTATTCACGCTCAACAAACTACCTGATGCACTGCGGATTTGAATCAGTAATCAAGAGGGAACTGAAATGACTCCAGGGAGGGAGGTGACTTCTCAAGCAGAAATAATTTGGTGATTACAGCCTACTTTAAATAATCAACATCATGCGGTATTTTTACAAAAAGACATACCATAATGATGGTTTACCAGTTATTAATTAAATTTTGGGGATAAACATGTAAAACTTTTCAAAAGTTTATTCGCTTTCTCCTTTTTCGGGTGGAAAAATAATGGTTACTGGAATTCGTTGGCGAAAAAATGCCAAACAGGGAGTTGAAAATATGAGCCTTTTGGGTCAAAAAGAGTGGACAAATGAAAATAAAGTTTAAATTTTAACTGTACTTTCAACGTCATAGAATGGGGTTTAGGTTTTGTCCACTATTAGTTATAGAGCCTGGAAATCATTCAACGTATGCGAATGATGAAATTACTTTACTTAGGTAAGGTACACTCTTATTAATTAATTTAAACTGGATTTTATTTTTAAAGACCTAGAAGTTTCTGAGATTTTAGTCCCTAGCGCATTGAAGTGCGATGGATGCGGTGTGGTCGACTAGTCAGACCCGCTATTACACTTCCGAGAGCACAACAAGCCTCCTTGGCCTAAGTAAAGGCCCACTAATCAAAGTTGAGAAGTCATTTTAAAGCTGTTTTCGCGTTTTTGAGCAAAACTATTGACTACTCGTATTCACTTTGAGTTATGACAGTTTGAAGCAAAAGGGCTTTAAATTGAGGGTTCTAGATGCTAAACTTACTTCGTAATGACATTGCAAGCAAGAAGTCAAAATCAAAAAAAAAAACGGAAGCATATTTACCTTCTGAAATGAATTGACACTAACCATGCTTCTCAAGGATTTAAACCTCAAATTCTATGTGCCAAGAAAGCTTAACAGATCGGTGACTAACCAGGTTAATCAGCAGCCACGAAGTGTTGAAAGTTCCTACAAAATGGAACCCTTCAACATCTCTCTTTTACACATTACAAGTCAAGTAGCCGAACTATTCCGCATTAATTCACTGAGGAATCGAATCCAACCACTGGCAAAGTGGTTCAGTTTTTTAGAGTAATTACGAAAAAAGGTTTAATTAGGTTGCCAAAATGCTAATTAGTGGACCCTAGTCAGCAGACTATTTACCAAGGCCTGAAAAAAAGGTGAAACTCACCTGAGAAGTCTGAACTCTTACAGCAAAGTCCATGGGTTCTGCATGCATAGTAGTCAACTCCTGGAAGGTCATCTGACCTCTAACCATGGAAGATGACCGGATGGAGGAGTCTTCCGGTGTGCCTTTGGGACACTTCTCCCTCTCCGGCGTACGAGGTAAACCACCATCAGTGCCATCTTCGCCTCTTCTTTCGCTCCCGCCGCCACCACGAGTTGAAAGAAATCCTTCCTGACCAGCCATCATTTCCCCATAGCCCCTGCCAACAGAGGGCATCGGTGTCGTCATTAGGTCGCCTGATGCAGTCTTGATCGAACCCCCATTGGGTTGGTAGCTGAGGCGTTTTGGCTCACCACCATTACTACCACTGCTACTACCGTCACCGTTCTCGGTGGAATAGCACATCTCCTCCACGAAACATCGATGTTGCCCCATGGAGATGGTGGCGGCAGTTGTGACAGCAGCAGTGGCCGGGGAGTAGTCCATGGAGCTGAACATCTTGGCCTGGAACTGTTCATGGCCAGGAGAGTTGGTGAAAACGCCGGTTCCACCAGCGTTGGCGGAGAAATCCATGCGCGTGTGATAATGACAACTGTGTGTGTGCGTGCGCGTGTGTGCATGGGAGGCAGAGCAGACACGAGGTATCGGCAGTGCACACGCATGAATGCGTTCATGCATGCAGACGTGCATGTGTGTGCACTCCCCCCGCAGCCAATCAAAGAGACGGCTGAAGTGAGGTGGTGCGTGCGTGTGTTTACAGCAGCTGAGACGGGCGTGTGCGTGCCGGAGTGTTTGTGGTGTGCCCGATGTGATGTCTCCATGCGTTTGATGTTTCTGCTCTGAAACCTCGCCACCGGATACCTTCAAAGTCTTACCGAAAGAAGCTTTTTTAAAATCGCTTTTTAGAGCATATAGAGATGAAAAGAATGCATTGCCTTTCCTCTCAGAATTAAACTTTGAAGTAAAATTAGCTTTGAAAAAAACTGTCCTTGATTAATCGTTGATTATTAGTATCTCCTCGATTAGAATTCGGCATTTTAGCATCATTCATTTTGATGTATTTTCAACTAGTTTATTACGTGACCAAAGTGGTAATAAGGCTTATAGTATTGCTTGGTGCCATGGTTTGTAATTTATAGGAACTTTAAAATACATCTGATTGTCAACATGCTGCATAAAGCTCATATATGTATGTGTCAGTCTGCCACCGCTCCACACTGTATGTTCTACTTTTTTACTCTTAAGTCCCACCTTTGTTCCATAAAATATTGGATCAAAAGTTATGGCTGCAGAAACTTCTTATCCATCTTCCTTTGTGGGATTTGGAGATGTGGTATGTGGTATCAAATTTACCTCTGGAGACATACCAGTTTAAGGTTGATAGTATTAACAAGGCAGTTCGAGTTGCAGGTGTTCAACTTGAATGATGATATTTCAGTTTGTTTACCCTCACATCAATTATAAAGGAAAAGTCACGAAGGACGCTAAGAAAATGGGCCCAGTCCACTTGTCATGAATTAAGAGGTGTTAATAGGGTCCTAGGATTACCAATTTGTTCCTCACTTCACATTATTAAAAAACTGACTTCTTGAAGATAGTCTCCTGACTGGTTTGTAATTAAAAGTCGATTTTGTGCTTTTACATTACGACAGATGTTAAGCATACTAACGTATTGTTGGTTGTTCTCACACATTTCACTAACTATCCGCAAAGCACTTCTAAGAAAGACTAAGATCCAGATCACAGACGGATTTGTTTACTATGAACTGCTCACCTGCTGAAGGCCACTTAATTGTGACTGATATCTGTCTGCCTGATTGAGCTCAGAAGGGCTCGAAGATGGCCAAGAAAGGTTCTTTGCGGAAGAAGGAGGCCCACTTGTAGTCTTCCAAGCCCTCGTACCTCATTCGGCAAAACGTGCCTTTACTTGGGTTGGATGTAAGGAGAGAGTGTTTTGCCTCATCCTCACGGTCTGCATATTCCACTAATTTTACTTCTCAACATTATCATTGTCTTTTTTTTGCATGAGAAAATTGCATAGGGATAAAACTGAGAAAAAGACGCGAAGATGGAGAAGACTTGTCGGATCCCATGCCAGAGAAGGGACTTTTGATGAAAGTGAAAGTTGCTAGCTTCTGTCTCATTGAGAAAGGATTGGTTTAGAATAAATGAGAATGCAGCTTGAAACGATGACCATTTCAACGAATAGGGGATTATAAGGCGAAGATTGCAGACCACTAAATACCGTCATGAAAAATATAGAAAATTACTTAATTACCTTATACTAGTTTAAACGGTCGTGTAGACTATAAAATAAAGTCTTATTTTTTCCTATTGATTCGTTTTCTTTTCCCATTTATTCAAGATGATAGAAGTCTTAAAATTAATGCGACTGTACGAACAAGGAATTTAACAGAAGTGTGTAGATTTTGAAAACTCTTTCCCCACTTCTCTGCAAAGCCAACTTTAATTGCTTGACTTTACCATGCAGTTTGTCAATCTCCCTTCAGGTGGGTGAAAGGCTCATCACCGTACCGTTTTAACTGTCACTCAAATAGTAATTTTGCTTAACAAAAGTGAGTTTACGTAGCACTCTGTGATGAAATGCCTCAAGGCCCTCCCTATGCTTCATCAAAGTCCTCCTTTTCTACAAAATGTATTTTTCCTAAGAACCACGAATTTCCTGAATGAAGTGGACCATTTTAACCAAATTTGCCGAGTTAAAATAGGCCAAATCCAAATCATCCACCACTAACTAATTTTAATTTATGTCACCTATAATTTCATTTGTATTTTGTCAAACTGTCAGATAGGCGATATTTCATGTTGATGTATTTGCCATCACACAGCTCTACCAAATCGAAAATTGAGATTCTCACCTAGGAGATTATGCTCTTAACCTGAGTTACGCTAACAGTGCTCCAGCAAACAGCAAACAACCATTGATTTCCAATACATTACGTGTTCATGCACGCACTTCCGCGACAAAAAGTATCGCGAGTTAATCGATAACACCCAACACTAGTTAACTTTTGCGACGTTTATTATCCTCGTGATGCGTTTCCCCAATCTTAGGAATGCGCTTGACTAAGTTTCTCGTAAGTCCCTTAAGGTCGTCATCAACCTATTTAACCTAACTCCTTTAAAGTGAGAGGTGCTGCACTCATGTAGTGTCCCCACGATCCTGAAACATGCATAAAATCTTACAAATAGCTTGAATTTGGTGATTTAAGTGGTAATGTGGTCCCATTTTTAAAAAATTTTTTAAAGGCGCGTCAGCTTATGTTTAAGTTTTGCTGTTCAACCTACCACAACAGGGAAGTAAAAGTACCAAATTACCAGAATAAAAATAACATCCTTACTTCAAAGCGAAATACGATAAAATTTGTTTTGAATTTGGTATTGATACTGTAGAATAATATTCATTAAGTCGCCAACACGCCTGGCGTATTTTGGGTGGTCGTCATTCTACCATAATGGCCGCATTGGCAACCATCGGCGAGCCCCTGTTGTTGTAGAAATTATTATTGGTAGCCCTAACAACAATAAAGCAGACATGATAGTCCATGAGGTTTAAACTGGTCGATCCACGAGGTCAGGCATTAGGGGTGAGGCGTTAAGGTGGGTATACTACCGTCCGCCCATCGGTCTTGCCGAGGCTTGTGAGAAAGTTTCACTAAGTCATCTAAGGCCTTTCCTGGACAAATCTATTTAGGAGTTGGAGGTGTCCTGTATGATTTGATTTCTCAATTGTTGCATAGTTTAGGGACTCTGAGTTGATTTTGTAATTAATCTTACCATCATTCTGGAATTGTCGTTGAAGAGTCATGGGCTAACTAGAAAAGTGGGGGCATTTGGGGGTGACTGATGGTCGAGGAGATTGTTTCTGCATTTAGGGAACACGCATTCCCATAACCATTACAAAAGGCTCAAATTTGTTACTCCATCCTAAGTTGATTTTATTTTCAAGAACTCTGCTTTTAAATTATTCGGTGAATCCTCTATCTACACTTTCCGTTTGTGAGTAGAAGTGGGAATATTGCAGAAGTTTTCCAAACAAATTTAGTCTTGGTTACTTGACATGTTTAATGTCATTATATAATGAAATTCGAGCAACAAAATAACACCGGAACGGGAAATGAGTAGATTGTAGCACTTTTTGTTTGCTTTTACTCTTGGTCTTGGTGATGGGGCCACTGAGGTGCTCCGCCATTGTATCTTCACCGGGTGACCTGGCATCCGATCCAGACAGCAACTCCCAAGCCCTTCTGTTATGTCCTCTTTCATGGTCAGAGAAGTCTCAACGCGCTACATGGACAATGCCTCGTCAAGTACGAAGCATTTGCTTCGCTTGAACACGGTTTGAATGAAAGTGGTATTGCTACTGCTTCAGATACAAGTTTAAATTATGACTTGCCACGTAAAAAAAGGGGCAACTACAGTTTTTATCAAATGTAAGTCTAGTATCCCTAATCAAGAGTGCAAAGTCTGATTTAGACAAGTACTATTACATCTCACAAGATGACATTCAATTTTTTTATTATCGTTATTGTAAGTAATCAAGTTGTGGATCAAGCCTCTTCATTCACACCCGGTTTTGCTGAATTACTGGCCATTGTTTAAACATTTACGGCGTTTTAAAAGCCCTTCGTAAGAACTGGCAAGTTTAGCCGCTACCAAAAGGTTCCATCCTTCTTTGACGCTTTGAATCGCTGTTATGTCGCTACAATTGGGACTGCTATCCTCTTTAAGTCGCCTCGCAAAAGGTGATGCAGCGTCTGAACTTGTTCTGAAACGCAGCAGAGCATACGATTGTTAAGCAGCTCTCTCTGATATTCGGAGAGGTGATGGTGAAGGGCTCCCTGGATCACCAAAGCAAAAGTTGAATTGGCAGAGATTGGGAGGACCCCCGTAGTCGTGTAAGCATTTAAAATACCATTCTATGAAGGGCGAGCCAAAGTTGAAGGACTCATCTATTGACTACAAAGTTAAGATTACCATTCTTAACAGAAAATTATTGGAATTTTCAATAGCAATTCCAGATGTCTACATAAATTTGAGACTTTCTATACAGAGTGGTCTGCAGATCTCCCTGTACGTTTCTTCCAGATGAACGAGGATAGATAAGGCTTCATGGGTTAATTAAAAACACAAGCATAATTTAAATGGTGATTTATACGTTGCTTTTAAGATAACAGGAGGCAAAAAATAGCAGCATGAGTAGTTTCTTCAAAATTTGTCGACATTTGCTGCTGTTTCTGATACGAAAACTTGCTAGTTCTTTTATAAAATGCGTAATGATTAACATCAAATACTGGTTAGGTATTGTCTTACTGGAATGTGGTGTTATCTCCGAAAGTGCCTTTGCCCTCCAGACAGCTTGCCATGTCAATTAAACGTTGAAATAGAGCAGACTTGTTTATTTCGGGAACTGGTTGCCGCACTTTCGGAAATGAGTCAGTGGAGTGAGAGAACTGTGCTGAAAACGACGTAGCATGTCCAAATATCACACATTGTTGGCCTGCCCAAACTGTTAATAAAGTTGGTAGGCACCGGTTGCAGTGCATGGAACAGTGTTTGACGGTGAAATTCATCGTCTAGACGTTTCAGACTTGGCGGATGTCTCTCATGGGCGATCTAGACCACGATTGCCTCCAGTCAACTGACAAGGAATAAAGGTGAAGACTTACACTCAATCGGAGACTGAGACTAAACAGCTTCATCGGTTTTAGGACCCACCGAAAATGAATGAAAAAAGACCTATCTCACATCTGTCCCATCCTACAGTAATTTCATTCATTTGTTAGGGTTAATTCAAGAGAAAGCCCCACTTCATTGAGCGACAGATTGTCGTGGAAATTTATCTTAGTATATTGAGAATATCTGCATTTGCTTTAGTGATATATAATCAGCTAAATTCAAATAATTTGGTTCATTTCACTAATTCACCAGTAGTCATTGAGGTCTGGATAGAAAAGTAGCCTGGGGGATTCTTGCAAATAAGTTGGTGCCATACACTAGATTCCACTATCAAGCCAGCACCTTGAGCGCACTACCCAACACTCCGGTTACGTCGTTGATAATTCCACCGGAACGATAACCCTTGAGTGGATGCAGCAGCTTCTGCATGCACTAGAGTGAAAATTATGTGACTTTAAAAGGGACTGCAAAATCATTGACTTTAATTAGATGACTGCCTAAAAAATCTACTTTTAAATAAAAACTCAACGCACACTCCTACCTTGATTCAACTTAGACAGAGACTTATGGTAAAATTGAGGCTGTCCTCCACGAAATCATGACGGGTAATTCTCATGTTTATAATATCTGTTGCACAGATGATGTTATTAAAATAGGCACATACAAATCAGAATTCTCGTTTTTGTTTTACTACAGGTAACTTTATTTGATCTTGCAATCAACCTCCTTCCCCTAAAAAATCATTTTCGCATTGCTGGAACAAAAGGTGTCATTTATGCGAAGCTTCGGGGCGACATCGTACTTTCCAGCATCAAAACGTGCAAGAAACGTACGTTTTATTATAATTCCCTTAAGAAATAAACACGCTACCTTGCCATCTGACGGTACTTGACTGCATTTTATTCAAGCTGTACTGACCCACCGCTGTTGAAGACAGTAAAAGCATTAAACCTAGCGAGGGTGCGTAAAAAACAACACAACACAACTTCTTTAATCAAAAAAGTGATTCATTGCAAGGCTGACCTCGGTCACTTGCAGCATGGACTGACCACGTCACATATGCGGACCTTGGAGCGTTTAATTTGCGCCACCCAAGTCACCTCTGAAGAAGCTATTAAACGGAGAAACCACTGCATAACTCAGTTGCGGTGAAGTTGAAAGAACGGAGACAAACTGTAAAACAATGCCTATATCAACCCAGTACAGGAAAACGGAACTGATACTCCAGCACTTGTTCCTTATAGGGTAGCCAAGGTCGAAGCCAATGTCCACTCAGGCGGATTCGGAGGCTGTGGTAATTTTGTTTATTACACGACCAAATGCATACAAGGCTACATGGGACGAATGATGAAATCGTTCATTACTGACAAATTGAATAGTCGAGATAGGTAAAAAGCGAGTCCACTAGTAGATCATTTGGTAGTTTTGAATGCCAGGGAATTGTGTCGGTTTGAAATCGAATCACCCAATTCCCCCAATAAGAGTAACTGCGCAAAACGCTAGATGGAACCAAGTGCATATTCAAAACACACGATAAGATCCCCTTGTCGCTTTTCTGACAAATTTGTCAACTGCCTTACAGTCTCATGCACCGTAACTGCAATTAAGACAACTTTAAGTTACCAAAGGATTAATGGGGAAGTTATTTCGCGTGAGATGATGAAGGCCAAAGCTCATTACCAGAAGGATCGAGGTGCCCAATGGGTAAATCAAGAGCATAGAGAACTTGTAGCAACACTCACTTTAAATGTCTCCAAATCACAGTTTTTGATGTCACATGTACCCGATTATTTGGTCGCATTAGTAGAAAAATTCGGAGAGCGTAATTCAGGCGAGTCTCCATGTATATGTTAAAATAAGAATCGCACCCAAATACATTTCAGTAACCATTTTTGAAACTCGCCCGTGGAAGTGTAGGTCATTCCCATTCCGTATGGGACGGCGGCGATAAATAAACCATTAATACGTGTTACTAATGTGTAAGACAAATAAATGAATACAAACCTGAAGAAACTAATCTCAAAATACACAAATTCTATCAACGAAGTCAATGCAGCGGTCAAAGGTTAGGCGCGCAACAGCCTATTGCTCATGTAAGTTATAGACGCTCGATGGCACAGCACAACATGAACGAGCAATGTCTACAAAACACCTATTATTTAGACGATATGTTAACTAGAAATTACGGAAGCGACCCATTGTTTAATAATGGTAAGTTCACAGATATCCTAATTTCACCGGAACGTAAGATCAAAACAACTCGAGGTAAGTAGCAAAAGCGGATTCGAATGAGAGAATCGCAAAAAAAATTTAACAGATACACCAGATTTAAGGAGCAAATAAATTATTTGAGAGAAATGAGGGACGATTTTAAACATAAAACCAAAGTTTCGTTCCGTGCTTGGAGACTGAACCTCAAAGATGACGACACAACGACAAAGCACAAGGAAGTAATATATTACGACTTTGGAGTCACAGCTACAATTGTTTTTGAAAATGATCAGGTTAATTGAACAGATCCCGGTTTTCATCAGTCACCACTACGTCTTCACGGCGCTTAACTACAAAATAAGTACGCATGAATTACATACCCGAATAAACGTTTTTATATTTGAATGTACGTTCCAGTCCATCGGCTCTGCGACACATGTGACGGTATATGGAATAGCCGAAACCTAATTAATTGCAGAAATATCACAAAACCGAAGACTTACACGCAGAAGCAAGAGGAATCCCATACACTAAATGCGGATAATTTTTAAACAAGTAGACTACATTGGCCCGAACTACGGTACACAAAACAGATAAAATAAAAGAAAAACAAACCCCAAGACATGATGAGTGGACGACGAAAGAGAACAACTTTAGGCAGTCCTACAAGGCGGGCAGTAAGTGATGAACCCAAACAAAATCGGGTTAGGGGAATAATTATAACTGATCACGGTTATTTGAACTCAAAAGTAATCTGAATAAAGTTGCTTATGAATGCAGAAATGCAGGAGCTGCTTTGTAATTTGGCAGGAATAAATGAAATAAACCGACGCAAACATAACGAAAATGGTCAACTTGGTACGTGGTATGACTTTTAGCTAAAAGAAAAATCAGCTGGTTACTACTTTAAGTTTCACTGTGATGCAAGTTATTTGAAAACGAGAGGCCTGTGAATCAAGATGATTTTAGGGGGAGATAAACTGGTTTTCCAATTCCCGTAATTATGCTCACTATCACTGGGTTGATAGGTTTTATAGCCTAGCCTGCTATCTACCCCACTTCAGTTGCATATCGGCGCGCAATATAGATTGCGTATCCCATTACTGCTGTTTGTTTGCCTGCTTTTCATTTGAATCGGTAGATGCTGGCCTCTGTTGCTTCCAGTACATTTTTTAGCTCGTTGGAATTTCGAGTGATTTATTGTGCTCTGCAGTCAAATATAAGTTGTTGGCATTTACAATTCTCGGAAAAATAGCCTTTTATTTCCTCTATCTCGTTGCGAGGCATCATTTGTCCATCTGACATAGTAAGGGCATGAGTTTCCTGTTGTATTAAAGATGTGTTTTTACTCAGATGAAATTAACGCTTCCCTTCTCTTTACTTTCCCCCTTTGCCAATTCACAATTGCTCATTAGCTTCTTTACAAGCAATTGCTTACCCTTTTTGAGTCCTGACACCTCGTACTCTCTTGACCTCACATTTCTTCGCAATATGTTTGGTTCCGTAATAATTACAAAGTGTCTATCTGCCATTCTGTTTAGTTATCTCAGGAAAAGTCGCTTGCTACTTTCAACCTTTTTATTCGTATCCTCTCTGTGTGCGTGAAGTTCTTACTTGCTAAGAACTCTAAATTAAAATGATTCTGGAAATTTTCTTTACTCAACACTTTTTGTGGTTATACGTGTTCTTGGAATTGTTTAGTATCTAGTGCCAATGACCTACTTCACCTTACCCCATTTCGTATCATTAGCTTCAATTATATCGAAGTATTATTTTCGCTAAAATATGAATTAGGCAAATCTATTACTAGTCTTGAGCGTGCTTTACCTTCTCAGGCCACTTGCTTGAATTTAACAAAAAACGCCTTTTACCTTATTCATTACAGTAAATTAATGGCACCTCTTCTTTTCACCTTTCTGTGAGTCTTCCGAAGTACTTTCCGGTTCAACCTTGCTTTAATTTAAGCGTTGAAACTCATCACCTGTCACATGAACATTAGTCTTGAGTTTCACTAATGTTATCAAATCGCAGTTCCCAGTTGCCTCAGTATTTGTCTTCGAAGTGTTACTCCCTTGTTATTATCGTTAACTCATTGCCCTTCTTAATCTTAGATATCCGCGTACCTTGAGCAAGATAGCATTCAGCCAGTCGAATATCAGGTTATTTGCTCATTTTTCCTTACACTTCGCTTTTTTAGGGTTCCTTTCGAGGGGTATATAGAACGAATTTGTCCTCGCTCGAGGACTGGAATATCTTACATGATCTGCAAAGAGTAAGAGTCCCTAATTCTGCTCTATTTTTTCAGCGAGAACTTCGAAATGGCAGGCTTTCCGACCTTGGACTATCCTACCTCAGCAAACAGTTTGTTTTGAATCCTCCACTATATTTCCTCCCCCTCTTCCCCCTCGTTAGACGTGTGCCAAACAGCGTTTTGTGGGTCCTCTCTGCTGTTCATGATGCCTACTGCGGGATATTTGACAAGACTGGTGACAGGTTCTTTAGTGCCTCTGTGAGTGAGTAGACAATTCTTCCGTGTGCATTTTTTGCGCTAGAAAACCGCGTTTCCATATTTGACTACACTGGACGTTACCTTCGACTCAACCGTGTGGTTGAATGTAAGAATGGTTTTGGAGGCATTACCTCAATGGTTCAAAGGTAGGGATGTCTCTTTAATTTGGCTCTTGCACCTCATAGATTAAACGACTTCTCGTTCCTCCTCTCCTGTTACAGTCCGGATCAGCGACAACTTGCCCTAGCCTCCGACTCCTACGGTTGTATGTTCATCCTCTCTCTGCTATCATGTTTTTAAACTTTGTGAAGCATATTCGTTCGGATCGAGATTTAACGTTCTGAGCTCAAGTAGATGCTTGAAGTGTTGGTTCCCAAGCTTCGAAAGAACACCTACTCTTCAGACAGAGTGTTGGCTTTTTGTTTATTTTTTTTCATTCGCTTTGTTTTTTTTTTTCACTCATGATTATTTAACTCGTCCACAGTGATGGAAGCCGCTGAAAATGCTGTTCATTGTCTCCTTTTTAGTATACTTGATCGATCTTGATAGTGATGCCGGGGCTGCAGCTGTAAAGATTTTGCCTGGTATAGACAGGCACCCAGTTTATAGCCTCGCCTACTGTGGCACCTCCAATACTGAAATTATCTATGGGTAAGTTCTTAGGTTCCTTATTTGTCAATGTTTGTCGCAGAAGTGGCGGGTTTCAAAGTGGTGCTATATAGTGTGCTTATTATGCTACTGCCGCAAAGGTTGAGTTGTGGGCTACTAACAGAGTAGACGCAGTGAGACATTAGATTCAATCAAATATCATTCTTCTATGTGACCGCTTTCTTCTTCCGTTGAGCGTTGTCCTTGCCGCTCTAATGATGGTAACGCATCTTGGAGGTTTCGATGGATCTACTTGTTTTGCCTATTTTGTGAAGTCCTCAGGGCTGAACGACGTTTTGAACGCAAGCATATTTCGTATGACAATGGCTTTTTAAAGGAATGTTTGCCCAAATGAAAAGTTATTCAATACGGAAAGCACAATGTAAGCTGGTCCTACGGGACTGTCTTATATTCATTCTTCCTTACTTTGTAGCCATCTCAATGTTGTTCAGCAGCCCAATTAGGTTCTTCGTTGGTTCTTACAGTGGCCTTTTAAATTGTTTTTTGATTCTAGTCCCACATCACTACTGATTGGCATGCGAGATTCGAGATTGGGGCTGTTTGCAAAAGATGGTATGATTTCGAACATTCTATTGTACCCTTTTTGTGGTACTCGTAAAAGAACATTCATATTCTTAACAGTAGGAATCCTCTTTTAATTTCAACAAATACTATATTGTTATCTTCCTGCCGCCTGCAGCACTTCTGGGTCACGCGTGTCGTTGTTTGACATTGTCACTGGGACGCTCAAAGGCACGGTATGCTTCTGTGTTTTTTAAAGCGAACCACTAAACTACCTTTTCAGTACGCCACACAGACGTCGGCTGTCGACGTGAAGGCTGTCGCATGGTTGCAAGATGGGGATTTTGCTTTCCTTGCCGGTTCCGATGATACGTGTATTTGGGTAAGTTTCCCTTTTCTCCAGTTCACACAGATTGAGGCTACTCTTAGGGCGTAGAGAGCAAATCTGATATGACAAGCTACAAGAATCACAAAGGTTCTTAATTTGCAAGAAAAAGAGGCCACATTTTCCCATTGCATGATGTATACGTACATTTTCCTTTCGAGCTGCAAACGTAGGGTGGCAGGAAGGAAGACCTCGCCTGTCGTCAACACCGTCAACAGTGGGGCACAGGGTTGCGATAGAGGGGACAAGCTTATGGGGTTTGCAACTGGTAATTTAAGCCGTATTTTTACCTAACAGGGAAAGATGCGTCCCTTCTTTTCCGTCCCCTCCCCTTTTTCACTCTCCATTCTCATAGCCCTTTACTACAGTTTCAAATCCGTTGTCCTCTTATGAGGTATGTAGCTGGCTCTGATGCGACCAAAGATGATGCGATTGTATCATATCACAAGGCAACGGTGTACCTGAAGTATTCTGCTAATTGGTTGATTCGACCTAGGATCAGACCGGGAATCTTCCGTGTGTGCATACACAGTACCTTAATTATTTGTGTGCTATAGGTGGAACTACTTACACGGGTATCACAAATATTTTATGAGAGAAAAAGCAATCGTTATGCTCGAAATACTGTCCTATTGTTTTACTGTATTCTCGCAATGCAGATCTACTCGGATAATGCTAAACTGCCTGCTTTTATTAATCATTTATTTGTAGAAATATGATAGTAGACAGGTACATGCGGGTCCTGTAGCGGTTTACCCTGGGCATCTCGACGGCGTCACCTACATTGACTCAAAGGTAGCTAAGTAGACTCATTCGCAGAGGAGACTAATTGTTTTGATGGGTAAATAACTTTCCTTTTTCCACCTTCAAAAGAACGATGGTCGATACTTCCTGTCCAACAGCAAGGATCAGACGGTAAGACTGTGGGACGTTAGGTCCAGTGCGCCGGTCAACGAAGAGAGAGTAAGTTGCTTAAAAAATGGTGTTTTTTGGAGCGCGTTAACACAGCCCCTACCTCTTCGACCTAGCGAGTTAAACCGGTTTATGAGTGGGACTACACGATTGATCGGGTTCCGCGGATATGTACGTTTTCCACCCCTTTTTTCGACAAAAAGCTGTGTTTGCTCTAAATCTTTCTTTGGTACTAGGTGGTGGCGCCATTTGATCGCCATTCCCGATGCTCTTCGACTAACCGCTTCTAGCCGAAGTAATATTGGTTAGAAAAGTTCCTTCTGCAGATTTAAATTCAGTAGAATTTTTATTCATCACTTTCTCTTAGATCAAAATCCAGAGGTGGAGGGGGCAAAATCAAAGGCCCTACTGACGCTGCGCGGTCACACTGTACTGTACAACCAAATTCGAGCCAAGTTTTCCCCTCTCCATTCCACGGGTCAACAGTTCGCCTACTCTGGCAGCGCCGATGGCGACTGGGTTGTTTGGGATCTCACTACTGGTGTAAAGGTAAATTTACCACTGTGCTGGATTGTGCGCCACTTTTGCACTTTTTTGCGTGTAGCTGCCCCAAAACCGCGTGAATTTGGCGGTGGTACGGGATGTCGCGTGGCACCCCTGGGAACCAGTGTTGATCACCTCGAGTGTGAACGGGTCCCTCACCTGCTGGAACTTCCGATTACCTGATGAGCCACAGCTGTCACCCGTCCTCCTGACTCCACGACACCTGGATGCTTCACCTCTCTCTCTCTCTCTCAAAAACTCAGAATACGCTGAAAGAGAAGCAGAGGTGGACGAGAGCGTCCGCTTCTGTCACTCCGAGGCTGGCCAGCAGGACAGTGTGATTCAACTCTCTGCAGCTGGTTTTCACTACAGAGTCTGTTTGTACTTAACACTGGTCTCCTATTCTGTTTGAGTTGCCCGTCGAAACGCCTGTTTGTGTCATCCAGTTTCCCACTTCGACCCCCACTGGATCTTCATCAGGTTCGGAAGTGATCCCATGGCGTGATATAGAGAGTGACGATGATGCATCTAGGGAGGAGAGGGAACATAAGAAGGTAAATTTGACTTGGCATTTTATGAGTTCAATTAATGTCAAGGCGTTGGCAGCCCGGATGACCGACAATACTCTGCCAAAGGAGGATGAGTGGGGAGAGGGTAGGAGGCTCACTCTTTTTGCTCGAAGCCACCTCGACTATATTGTGATGAGGCAAGCATTCCCGGAGCATAGAAGGCATCTGTGTCCTCGTCCCACTTCACCGCCAGGGCTGTCTGCAGGACCGCTGACGCGGTCGCAAACGCGGTTGTCGGCGCAGCAGCAGCGGCAGCATGAGGAGGGAGAAGTGGATGTCGACAAATGATTTTGCATTATTCAAGATAGATTCCTCCAGATTCTCAGCAGTGTTCCCAGTAATTTACAAACCTAACTTCCTCTGCCTTCTACAATGCGTATGCGTGATGTAAAGTGGTTGACCACTTAGGGTCAGTGCAGGATCTTGGCTACTTGGTTTTCTTTTCGCTTCGTTTTCATGGCTTTATGTACCCTCGCATTGTTCCCATGATCTCAATGTGTGTATTTATTAGTATATTTTACCTACTTTTATTTTGCAATGTTTTACCACTTTCCGGGAACAGGATTTTCGGATGCGTGCAAAAATCCTAAAAGGAATTCACTGGGGAACTTTGGCTACCATGTTGTGAGGTGAGAAATCTTGAGTGGTCGTCCTTGTGAGCATAAAATCAGTACAAAGTGGGTTTCATAGTGTATCTCATGCACTCGTTTTTACCATGTGAAATTGGAATAACGAGAAACGTGGGATGTCTTAAATTCAGTGCCCGCCCACCTCGTAACGCATGCTGCGGTTTGGTGCAAAGGTAACACAAAATCGACGCCGGGGGGAGGTTGTCTAGGCTAAATTATGTCTGTTAGATATTAATAAACTGAAACAGTGGAATGCTTGGGATTTGGAGGACCATGTATTTCTATGAGTAGGGTCAATGATCGGGGACTCCTGCGTAGAATTATGTAGTACGACGGTGGTCTATTCCTCGGTATTGGGGAGGCGCCCTTTTTGCACTTTGAATGTCTTTTTGTACCTCGCCGGGTGGGCTGGCCTTTAGGCTATGCCGATAGCCCAAACACCTCGGTGCTGAATATGCATTCTGCTCGAGTACTGTGGCTTCTTTCGTCTTCAGGGAAATCTCGGGACGCTACAATTACATCTGAAGCCCTTCACGCAACCTTATTTGTTCCAGCAACTAATAAAACTCATCGAAGGTTTGGCCAGTTATTCTCTGCTCAATAAATACGTTCCCGTTTGTATACACTGGTTATTTGTGAAAAAGTTGGCTAGAAATGGCTAAATGCCCAATGCGGGCGCACAACGATAGGCCGTTTGTCAAAGACGCCAAGACCCTCATGGCTTGCATGGAATACATGGCTCTTTGATTTCAGATTATTACTTCTTTCCCTAGCCGTTAGCTAAGTCAACAGCCAGCATGCACGTGTTTGTATTCGGTGACAAATGCGAGCAGTCATTTAAATTCTTTGTTCTCTGCTTGGCTGTTATGCCTTTATAAAAAGAACAAGCAGTTTTTAGGAACACAGTTTTTTAGATTTTGGAGTTTTGGTTTGGAGGTGTTGACATGGGGATGTAATTTCAGTTAGCTACGCACAACTTAAAATTAAGATTTATCTATTTGTAGGGGTCAAATTTGAATATATTTGTTGTTTGCAAATCCACCTGCTGTTAGTACCGTCCATTTTTGCAATATACAACCACATTATATTTAAAATAATTGAAAAGAATATGATTCACCGGTTGATGATGCCGTTACTGAAATCGCAACCGTGTACAGATACAGCCCAAGAGCTGACCTATTGCCTTCTACGCCCCTCGCATGGATGCTTACTTTGCTGCATTCCCTAACGACTTTGATACATTGGGCGAAGTTTTTGTAAAAACATACTACGAACAACTGCAACTTAACCGAAATAATGTGGTGGAAATGTATCATGCAAGTTCATTATCGTCGTTTGACATTTCTTTTGCCAGGATATGGCTTTAATGACTTACGAAGGTACCAAAATCCAGGGGAAACAGGCTATTGCAAAACATTTTCAAGTTAGTCTGACTGTGCTCGTACACAGTTTTCCTTTAGGGTCTTTGCTGGACTACGATTGCCGTAAATGTTAGTACTTGTGATTGTCAACCTGTTGATAATGGCTACCTTGTGTTTGTTAACGGTCAGCTGAAGGTATGTTGGGTCTTTTAATACATCAGTTATTATTTTCGTCCATACACGCTTGTTTGCTGCTTTCTAGGTCGACAATGGAGAACAGGCCTTGCCTTTTTCGGAATTTTTCCTACTCAAGAAGGTTGGAGATAGAGTTGTCATCCTCCACTCCATGTTTCGGCTGCATTTCCACAACTTCTAGGTGCTCATCTTGGCGGTCATACTTCTGCTTGCCTCCTTTTCCGCGTTCTGACTAGATTTTAATTGGACCTTTTTGTAATTATTAATTCTCCTTCACTCTTCCTTTCGCGCCCTGTCTTCTGAAACTTGTGTGTATCCCGTCCCCTTCTCTGTTCCCAGGACCTCAGCGCATTGCCTGTCCGTCCCAATTCAAATGCTTCCCTAAGGGCAGACTTGTAGGTTTATTAAATGTGCTACTTTGGTTCCTTAGAGAAGATGATATTCTTTTTATCTGAGGGTGTATAGACACCCTATCCCCAATTTGCGAGTCTGTCATAATCTTGTCGGTAAGTTTGTAGCGGGGCATTGGTTTTACCCTCGCACCTGTGGACTGAACTATCGTTGTGCATGCTGTCTTGTGCTTCTGTCCGGCCCTTAAACTGATATCTACTCGTTTTATCTGGGTCAGTTATCAAAGTTTATTCCATTTTTCTGGCGTGCAGATAAATGCTAGGCCTTAATGTCACTCTCTCTGGAGAGAATGGCATTTTCTACGCAAGACCACGCGGTATTAAGTGACTAATTCGTGTGTTTAATAATCGTAACTGTAGTGAGCATCTGTCATCCTTCTAATTTTATTTTGCTATTTTGTATTCGTTCCGGCGCCTTGAATCGTTTACCCTTGACGACCTACCCGAGTTGTGTCTGATTAATGACGGTAGTGTCTTTGGTCCCCCAGGGTATCGAAGAAAATGCACTTATAATTTCAGACGGATCAAATCTGTTACGTGTGGGTTAGATGCATCAACTTTAAGGTTCTCGGGTTTACCACTGCATCTCGGCGCCGGAAGGAGGCAGTCGTGTTCTTCCTACTTCTCGTAGCCGATTACTTTTGTCTTAGGTTGTCTTTGCAGCTCTCGTCCCCTATCGGTTAAAACTTGGGTCATATGGCAGCCGGTGCGGGTTAAACACGTGGTCGAAATCACACAAACAGTTGTTATCGTTGTAGAGGGAGTGTGACAGCTGAATGAACTGTTCCAGGAACTCAAGTAATTGGTAAACTCATCGCATTCAAATTTTCTTAAGTGATCATGCAATACTTGTGCTGCCATTTCGCTCGACAGGAAACGAGATTGCGATGATGGTGACTTACATCATTTAAGTACTATTTACGGAAGGAACAGTTGTTTATTGGTACAAAGAGGATCAGAAGCAACTAGTTCGCTTTTTAATTCCTAGTGCTATATTTAAAGTTGAAATAATTCCTGCTCTCAATAAACTATGGACACCAGATCATGTGAATAATGCACTAGCGGAAAAAGCATGCGGGCGGAATGGTACCAATTCACGAGAGACCAATGAAAAACAAATGACATAATCAAAATAAACGAGAGGGGAGGGTGCTAAGCGCATTATGGGGAAATAAAATCAAGTACAAAAAGCCTTATATGATGCACTCCTGCCTGCGGTTACACTAGCATAAATAAAAATTTTGATAGATATTGGAATATACTGACTATTTTATGTCAGTTTGGTCTAACTTGAAAAAGACTTGGACTTCCCACTTTCTACCTCCGCACGCAGGCCCAACCGCCGAGCCATATTAGTAGACCCTCAGACCTTCTTTAGTCGTCAGGGCAGTCTCGAGGAGCTACATATGAGACCAGCCGAAATACAACAAAGAAATCACAAGTCCAGAAGGAATGCAATTTTCAAGGGTTCGTCTTACATACTAATGCATATAATCCTCGATAATTGTGGATAAGTCGAAACGATTGGAAAAATTGTCAAAATGATTTGGTGGAATGTGGAAGTCGTTAGTACTGGCACCATGCAATAGTAACACCAAATCTCTAACTAACCATGCGAATTATGGTCTTTTGTGCAGTCGGCAAATGACAAACAAATGTTTTAATTCTGGAAACAAATATACGCTTAAAAATCACACTGAATAGCAATTTAAGTTGTGAGTTATAACTAAATTAGCTTGTTCTTAGAAGTCGTGTTGATTTTGGACCTGGAAAGTTGCTTAATTCTATTGTACATATCACCAAGTGATTGCCTCAGGTGCCTGTTGATTTAATGTATCAATTAAAGCGTCTTCAGGGTCAATGAAGATGGTGGCAAGCATAGCAACATATTAACGGCTGACTGTTTGAGTTTCTAACTGGGTATTTCTGCCTTGTCATTTCGAATAGAGGATTTAAAGTTCTATTTTTGATAATTTTAACATGAAAACAACGGCTCGCGCTCCTGCAATGTCTACAATCGAACGGGCAGTTAAGAGTGAGGATGCTCAATCTTAATTTATATTTTAGGTGTCCCGTACCCTCCAAGCCGTAGACTTACAGTTAATGATATATTCGAATCCAGAGGAAAACCAAACATCGAGAAATTGAAGCAGCATTTCCTTCTTGAGGGCCGAGTTACTGACGAGGCAGCGCTCAAAATCATAAATGATGGAGCGGCTCTCCTTCATGAGGAGGCAAATGTTTTGGAAATCGATGCGCCTGTTACCGGTCAGTTGATAAAAATGTATCTTTATTTTATTTTTGCTTGTGCTTTTTTGTTTCATCGCATTTGTTTTAGGTTACAGTTTAGTCTTTCACGTAGTCATTTATGGTTTGTACTCCACTCTTTTTTCTATTATGTGTTGTTTGTTAGTTGAATTGAAGTTCCCACGGTAATTTCTTAGATGCGATATATTTTGAAGCCCTGTGGGAGTACGTTTATACTTAGCTGCCTATTCAGTACTTCTTCTTATGGCATTAGTTTGCGGGGATATTCACGGACAATTTTTCGACTTGATGAAATTATTCGAGGTTGGCGGACATCCCGCGACTACCAGATATTTGTTCTTGGGAGACTATGTTGATCGCGGGTATTTCAGCATCGAGGTAAGCGCTTTTTCCTCATGCCTGGTAGTAGTTTTTCTGTCATGTTTCAGTTGTGTCCTATCATTTGACCTTGTAAGTGGAGTTCGGTAAATTTATTAAGGATTTTCTGACATGAAGTTGTAATTATCTATTCCAAACCAACATGACCATTTACGGTCTCTTCTCTTCGAATTCGATTCTTTATTCACCTGATTGAATTCCAGGCTACCGGGTTGGATTAGTTTAAATTCTTGGTTTTCTTTTTGTTTTTTTTTTTCATTGAGCGGGTGACAAACCACATTAACCACGTTGGCAGATGAATTTCTTGTGTATACACTTAACACATCTTAGTAGTGACGCAGCCTCATTCACTTCCACCTCCTATATCTCCTTGGTGTTGGCTTTCGATAGTGGAAGCTTGCCGTCCTTGTTGTAGTAAAAAAGGCAGGTGACATGATAATCTTGCCCCGTCTACTCCAATGCTTCTCTAATTGTATGTATCATGGCGCAGTTACATTGTATGCGTGTTGGTGTGTACGTTTTGCTGTGCTGTACTGTGCCATGCCGTGCCGTGCACATATGCACTTGCACATCCATAGATATATTCCCTGTGCGAAACACTGGGGTGGTCGTACAAACTGCCCTCGATGGTGTATAGTGGGCAAAAGCTAGTAGAACCAATACCCTCGTTTTTTACTGCTTTATCACTCCAATTCTCTGTTACTCATCCCAACCTCTGCCTTCTGCCGCAGTAATTATTCCACCCGTAATCTATCTTGATTCTGGTTAAAATCAAAACAATAATAATTAGCATGCTTGCCAGACTTGGATGCTTTTGAGAGCATGAAGTTTCAGAATCCGCCTTGTCTATAGTTAGCGCCTTTCATGTTGGTGAGTAGTGTGAGAAGGCTTCTCGTCTCCAGTTTAATACCAACACAACAATGGATGAATTTGCAAGTTATTGTGCAAACATTCACTTTCCCTGTATAGCCGGTTACTGGTGTTTCTTTTTCAGTCATTTGGTTGTACTATCCCCTTTTGTGCACTTGAAATGGCTCATGGCATCATAGCGTTGTGCTATGTAATGGTGACGGGATAATCAACTACTGTAACTCGGAATTGTCAGGGGCTTATTAGCAATGTACAAACAAATGTGTATTTATGGAAGAAACGCGGAAATTTCTCTTTTATTCCTAAAATGGACACATCTGTTTTTCTTTTTTGTGTGTACATGCGATCTGTTCTTTTGTATCGTTTAAATTATCCCCATATTTCAGCAAAACGGAATGACGGCTCTCGTTTCTGCTCTCTAGTCGATCTCCTACTTTCTTAATAATGGTTTTTTTTCCTGGAACCCCTATGATAAGTTCTCGGTCCACCTCATGTGATACTGTTATTTTTGATCCATGGTCGTTCCTCTGACCCCATTAGTCCTGGTTTCTTTCATGTCTCTGTTTGGATCGCAATGGCGCTTCTTTCGTGTCATGCATGCCAATCTGGTGGGGCAATTGTGCGTGTGTGGACTTCACTTTCTCGATCATATGTCAGCCTAGCTTTCCGATTTTCCCACTATAATAGTAATTACTTGTACCCACTCAACCTAATCTACCACCACAACAGTACCGACAACTCATTGGTAATCTCCTTGCGCATAATTGATACGATTGTTATTACCTTTATTATTGTTGTTGCTCTCGTTATTCATTACTACCATTGGGAGGTGCGCATCGCTTGCTTCATTACCGTGCCTTTTTGGGCGCAAGTGCAGTCGTCCGATGGACAGCCCTGGATGGTCGACTGCCTTTAGCTTGCTGACAATTTTCATAGACACCCTCATGAGTATGTTTCAAGTGCTTAAATTCAATTAGAGAGGGTGTAGGGAGGGAGAATGGGAGCGAAATAGATGGATAGACATTAACGCAAGCACAGCATTCCCCAAATCACTCGCTGAATCATCCCACCCGTACCCACACACATGACCAATGTGTTTCTTCAGCTTATTATATCAACGCGATGAAACACGCACCCACGTGCGCACACACATTGCAACGTCTGGATGCTTGGGTCTCTGCGAGCCCAATGGAGAGTAGTTTGCTTTACTTCTGCAGAAAGTAGGGCAAGCCGTGTCGAATCGATTGCGTTAATCTTTGCATTCAATCTCTTAGTGCCTATATTAGTTATGGGTGTGCAATTATATGTGTACTCCATGGTCCTCATTTGTTTCTTTCAATTTCATGGAGTTAATGGGATTCTTTTTGTGTCCCATGCCTACAAAATCTTATTTTTGGCCTATTGACTTGGTTTGAATAACCCCATTCAGGAGGTGAATGTGGTTGAATAGCCGTGGGGTATGAAACCGGTTGCCAAACATTTTGTTACGTTTACAGTCAGATCGTCATTCTGTGTCCTGTTTGTGTTTCTTATCTCTCGATTTTAATACTCAAGCCGCCCAATTATTGACTTGATTTAAAGTCGGTTCTGTACTCATCCTCCCTAGCTAAACACTGTCGTTGAAGCCTCGAGCTGTCTGCTGCAAATTTATTCGTTTTCAAAAAAGGGGCTTTGGACGGATTCATAGATTTTTTGGAAAAGCTATGGGGAAGTGTACAATTACGACATTAACCATGTCTAAAATAGGAGCGTTCAAGGTGAACCGCTAGAGCTGTATCGAGCCTCAATCGAAGTACCACCAATGCAGATCGGACATTTCATGCTCATTGGCTTAACGTTACCCTCGGCAGATGTCTACGACTTGAATTTTGATGCAACATTTTGCATCCTCTTGGTCGACATTATTGTTACTGTTAGCGCTGTTGCTTTCAAAGTGTCAATAAGCTCTGCTCTCATTTTTTATGCCAGTCAAAACGCCATTCCACACCAGTTGTAAGCTTGTCGCGTCTGCTCTTCTATCGCATCCAGTTCGCATTCCCTTCTAATCTGGCCTCCGAACGGAGAGCAGCAGCAATAATATCCCTTTGCCAGTTATTTGGCTTATTTAGACGTCACACTAATTTTCAGTGTTTTGTGGGCGTATGTACATTAATCAACATCGAAACTGGCAATGCCAGTAGTTGTATTTGGATCTGGTTGGTGGGATGTGCAGGGTTGTCACGTGATAGAGTTTCTCATTGCGAGGGCTAAGGCTGTTCTTGTTGCGACTGCTCTGTGCCGCGCCATGCCACCCCACGCAATACGGCGCCACGCCTAGTTGTTTTTTTCTCAACCTCTCTCTTATTCCTTCGTTCTTGCAGTGCGTGCTGTACCTCTGGGCTCTGAAGATTCTCCATCCGACCAACTTCTTCCTCCTTCGAGGCAACCATGAGTGTCGTCACCTGACAGAGTACTTCACTTTCAAACAAGAATGTACGTCTTTTTCTTGTCTCCCCGCAGTATTTTTCGTTTTATCCAAAATGAACTGTTTGTAGACTGGTAGGATTCCGCTCCTCCTCCGACTTCTTTTTCCAATTCAATTTATAGTGAAGCGTTTTTTTTAATTTGTTTTGCAGAGAAGCGCATATTTGCGTGAACAATTATTTACTCTTTTTGACTCTTAACTGCTAAGCTGGATTTGGCTTCTTTGGAGGCAATATGGGTAATTTCCTCATTAATTGATCAGAAGCAAGATTGCAATCGGAAGAAGAGGTACGAATAAATCGTACGCCATAAGTTAGGTGCATGTCCCTTGATCTAAAAGTACCACGTCGTACTTAGGAGCGTGTTTACTTTTTTATCTTTTCAAGATTATATCCAGTAGGGTCATTTCGAGATCGGGAAACAGTGTAGGCAAATCGGAGATGCACATTTTTTTTCACCCTTTTGACAAACCACAGGCGACACCTTTGAAAGATGGAAAGCAGTTACCTCTGCCCTGTAAATTTTCGTGTCATGTGAAACATAAGAAGATACGGTATTTAGCTGTTCGCAGCTTCCATAACCACTGCTGAACAAGCAGTTTTAAGTGGGTCGATTGATATAAAAATAGGATTTTGTGTTTCGCTCCTACTGGTCTTTTGCACAATTTGCTGCTTCGACGTGTTGCCATTGCTGCTGCTGCTTTTGACGGAGATTACCGAAGAATATAGTTCCACTGACCTTGATATTTCTCTCTCCTCATCTTAACACCTCAGGAGTGATTGTTTCCGGCGTTGTCCAAGCGTTCCTCCCTGCGCCTTTAGCTCAGTCTGTTATGTGAATTTCACCAAGCTCAGTAACTCGCATTTTTCAGCATCTTAAGCCGAAATGTTGACCCTTTCTGTTACTTTATTTGCCAGGCCGAATAAAGTACAACAACGAGGTGTACAACGCCTGTATGAACGCGTTCGACTGTCTTCCTCTGGCGGCTCTCATGAACCAGCAATTTCTCTGCGTTCACGGTGGCCTCTCCCCCGAAATCCAGACTCTGGACGACATTAGGCGGGTAAGTGGGTGGCTACACCCCTCCCATCTACCCGCTCACCCATCTATCCACAGCTATCACCCCTTTCAATTACACATTCATCCCCATTTTCCACCCCTTTTTTTAAACATGGGCGCTCATACGCCCACTGTTATTGTGTGTGCGTCTGTACGTGTGCGTGTGTGTGGTTTCATTTTTTTTGGCTCCCGAGAATACACATTTTTGGCACTTTGACAATTAGCGAGGGATTTGCACCTTTGTCTCCCCCTCTATCCCCTTAAGCATCAATCAAACTATTGTTGGCGTGGTACTCCGTTTTTCCTGTTTCGCATGTAACATTCGTCCCATTTTTTAAGCATTAATTCAAGGGTTTAGTACATTATCCCTTTGTTTTCTGTCTTCAATCCAATTGAACCGTTTTACGTTGATAAACTGTAATTATCTGAAGGATATTTTCTCTCTCCTCAAACCGTATGCTTGACAAGGCAGTGGAGGGTAAAGTTGAAACTTACCTGAACTGAAGTGCTTGGGTCAATCAACCCGTTACTGAAGTGTATAAATGGGGAAGTGGTCTTCATCTTTCCCCTTCGCATCTACTGGGATATTTTTTGATTTGAAGTATCTTTATTTAATCCGAGTCCTCTATTTATGGTTTTAACGTAAGTTCAATCAAGACGTTCATTCTCAAACAAGTCAAGTGGATTCGGTGCTTGAAGATTCTAGACTTTATCGATAACATGTCTTCTGTTTCCTCTCCAATTGAATTCATGTTACTCCAGATGTTCAAGCGACAGACGTCATGAGACGCACCATTCGGGAAATAGGATAATTGGAAAGAGTAAAGAGATTGCTAGACTATTGGTGTGACTGATGTGAACAGAGCTTTACACAAAACTGCTGCATTATGTTTGCACCATAGAAAACTTAATCTTTACTATTAATTTCCGTCAAATTCGTTAATTTCATGCCACCACGAATAATCTTCTACCGTTTGCTGTGAAATGGTGGTCCCTCCAACTTGGAGTGGCGGGTAGGAATGTGGAGGCAAAGTGAGCAAAGAGGTGTGCTTTCAAGTTTTCCGCAAAGCGTCGGACAAGTGGTGGTGGGGTTTTATTTTGCATCCCCATTCATCCAAGCGCGTACTCACCCACGTGCACGTACGTATGCATAAAGTTAAACTTCTTCACTTGCTCCCTTTCTGGTCATGGGAGGTGCGTTTATTCGTCATCGTCATCGCCTGCTACCTCAACCCTCTCCTCCCTCCTCTCTCACTATCGATGCTCTTTTTCTGGCATCTGCCAATTGTTGTCCTGGTTCTTCTTTCTAGTTTTATGCCTCACTTTTGTGGTGGCTCCAGCCCTCTCATGGGAAGAGGTAAACCTTTGCCGTCGCTAGTAAGCTTACAACTAGAAAGGAACAGAAATCCTCTTCTGGTGTATTTTGGCTTTTCTCCCATTCAAAGCTTTGTGTTTTTCGTGGGGTGGCTTATTTTATTTGCCCATGTATGTGCTTAGCAAGTCCGCTTCCCCCACCAGTTAGCTCGGTCCGTGAAATACTTTAACTGTGAACCGTCGCTTCCCCTACTCTTGCTATACACCATGTAGTCTTTGCAGTGCTGACAACAAAAGTTATAAAATACTTTCTTGATCGAAAAAGCGGGAAAGCGTTTGGTAAAATGTCCCTGGTTGTGTTCCAAGTTAAACCTACGAAAGGCAAATCTGGAAGCATTCTCACCGTTGCTCCAATCAATCGCTTCGTAGGCGTAAATGAGACTTCATAAAATAGGTGTCACACAGTGACGTATTATGTGATAAATTAGCCAATGAATCCTTGGTTTAAACTATTCCGCGGTGCCACCTTGATGGTTCGTGTTCAAGAAGTCCAAATAAGGAGAGCTAGGGGTTCAATTTCCGGTGGCAGAATTCAAATGAACTTCTTCGGTCATCCATTTCTGGGTCGTGCGAGCATGGTAACCCGTGTTCTATCGTCTAAGTGCATTTGGAGCTCTGTGCCTACTTGACAAATCCAATGCTTTGAAACAAGTTTTTAAAGGTGAAAATGTCATTTTGCTGTGAGGGGAACACTTCCAACCCTATCCAGGTGCTGGTGATAGTTAAGCTGAAGGCCATATCTGTTTTCAGTGCTGAAGGTGATGGAAACGGGGCAAGCTTTTTCCCCACCTGCGCTAGATTTGAGGGACTTTTGTTAATGCCTTAGACCTCTGAATGATAATTGAGGAGGTTATTTCGTTGTATTCATTTTTCTTGCTGGACAGTGAACAGCTGCAATCTACTTTGCTATTATTAACACTGGCAGACTTTACAAAAAAACGGGTCGTTGGGCTCCGCCCCACCGGGGATGATAAAAGACACTCATTTGTAACGAAAGTATTTTGTTTATTTCCAAGGAAAAAACAATGAGCAGCACTAGCCAACAAGAAAACGGCTCGGTAGATATCTGAAAATCTTCCCCCTATACCTTCAGATTGACCGCTTCAAGGAGCCTCCGGCGTACGGTTCGATGTGTGACCTCCTGTGGTCTGATCCTCTGGAAGATTTCGGCAACGAGCAGAACACCGATAACTTCTCCCACAACTCTGTCCGCGGCTGCTCCTACTTCTTCAGGTGAGTTAAGATGTGACCTGCCCTTCGGTAAAATCCATCCTCTCAGGCAAGTTACAACAACCTGACCTCGTGATGTGACCTTTGCAGGAGGACTTCAACAGCTCCGATGTAATCTCCTTACTAGGTGCACTTGGCCAATAGTTTCGATCCCTCTTCATTTCCACTATCGTTGTAGGTCCAATAAATACGCCTCATGACTTATTCTTCCTGTCAAAGTATCGGTGTTTATAGATTTCCACTGCCTTACACGACAGGTGTCGAAATCCTAACGATCCTGTCAAAAAGTCGTTAGTTTGTTTGTCGAAATGACCTTTATTGACTACCAGCACAGATATATGATGAAATTTTCACCTGCCTGCACTGTCATCACCAAGAGAAGTGCTTCTCTTGTTTTTTGCCTTTGATTTCCCACCTTGAATACGCTTTTTTCTTCACGTATTACTTGTATGTGCTTGGCAAGCTTTCCTTTGTGTCAATCTTTTAATCATTTTGTTTTTCGTGCTAGTTGATGTCGTACTATACTAAAATATGGTTTAGATAGTTTGCCATGGGTTGAAATCGTAGCACGATATGGTCTGTGATTAAGGCTTTCGTTGGAAGAAGTTGTTTTTGAAATATGTCGATATTTCGATTCGAATGAGCCGCATAGTAGGGATGAGAAACTTGTTGATCCACTCAAACAAGTTAATTGAATAGCAATGACTTAGAATCGCAAGTAACCACATTTCTCTTCCTTTTTGATAGGCTATACCCGTGATAGGGCAATCAGGCAAATAGAGCAGTGTTTCACAAAGCACTTTCTAATTTCTTAAGGAAATAATGCCATGCCTGTCGGGTTTATTGAGATCTTTTCAAACTTGTTCGTTTTGCTTCAATCACACTAAAGCTAGTTGGTTGGCTCCTTAGTGAGTAATCATATCTAGTTGTGTATGCCCTCTTTTCGAGCAATCGCAACTGATGATGGATTTTGTTGTTGAGATCTTTGGTCGCCAGACTGGCTGGGGGCGAGTGGGAGGAAAGGAGGGGGTTAGAAGGGTGGGGAGAACAGGGAAGAAGAACAAAAGCATCAGAAGCTATAGGACTGGGAATAACGGAAACATCGGTAATCAGAACAGATGGCAGGGGACCGTATATGTGTATGCTAATTTACGAGCGCCAAATGTTACTGAATGAGCCATAGCAACAGCAGGAATGATGGAGGGGCGGGGGTGGAGGGAAATGAGCCTTGGGGGAGGGGGGGGTTAAGCTGGGCCGAACTGGTGAGTGGCAGTGGCGGTAGAGCATACGCTAAGATCCACTACGTATGTGACTGCATTCGTGCACACATTTCCTTAGGGTTGCTACTACTGTTCTGAGTGACTAGATTGATGGCATCTTGGCCACGTAATCGCACTCTAGACGGGGGATAAGAGCCGGATGTGGCCTCATTTGAGTCGTATTTGCCTCGCTTCTCCTCAAGGGCATTAACAAGCTGTCTTGCCTTCTCTTTCTCCTCTGAAAGTGTTCAAGCGATCTTATTTCTACTGAATATCCTTTTATTAGCGATCTGGGACCATGATCAAGTGAGTTCAGAAGTCGTCTAGCACATTTATCCCCATTGCTCTAGACACACGAATCAGCCATCAAGGTTGGTCTCGCTTGCTCTGCTTGCTTGTCCTGCGATCATGCACTGACTATATAATGACAGAGGCAAGGTACATCTTGACCGTCTTGACTGTTATATAATATCAGCTCAGTAGGGCCTTTTAAACTATTCAATCTATGATTGTCTCATTTAACAAGGGATTTGCTCGCATTTTCCTGGAGAAGATGGTTTCTTTTGTGTAAAATTAATAATGGCTTAAACGCATAAAGTATGATAACTGCAAACAATAATGCAATGATGGGCATTGTAGTAAGTAGTTTTCTGAAAATGGATGGTTTTAGAAGTGTCCTACCCCCGAGAAGAATCGCCTTTCCTGTTGCCAATGTTTACAACAGAATTGCCTCCTGGATCTTGATTTTGATGCCCAGATTGATGCTACGCACGGTGAAGTAGCTTTTATTCGAGCGATCTTTTGTGCATGGAAAAGCAAAAGACTACCACGTTATTTTCTCGAAGGTCGCTACTCCCCGTTGATTAAATAGTTTGGTTCTCTCCGAACGCTGCATTTGGCTCGACTGAGTTAATTACACCCTTTACCTTCCCATCCACCCTCCAATGACAAAATCACCACTATTTTATGAACTTGCACAAAAACAATTTTTGTGTGACAATCATGCACATTTGAATAATCTGCTTCAGCACTGTACATCAGCATACAAAAAAAACAAAAAGAGAAAACCAGTTTACCACTTTTTTTGACGTCGTATTTTGATGCACTGTTTCAGCTACTACAAGGACTTCCGTGAATCAGCCAATTAGCCATAAGTTAGCAGTACTATGTGCTTGCCAGCTGCTGTCGATCGTTTGTCATGTTATCTGATACCTGGACATGCCTTTATTGCCACTACCCCTCCCCCTTACCGCCACTGCTACTTTTTGAATGATTTGCGCAAGCGTCTCAATTCACTGGGGATCTAGGGCCAACTTATACGTTTCAACTTTGCACTCACCGCTCCTCATGTCTGAAAGTCCTATTCCGTACCAGAGTCTCCTTTTCTCCCACTTCTGACCAAAATAATCAGGACTCGTGGAGACTCTTTCACAAATAAGAGGGGTGAAGTTGAGCTAGCTTTGTGAAGTCAAATGCTCACACTTGTACGATTCCTATCTTTCTGTGTCACAAAAGCTTATTGTTTACACGAGGTAAACATACAGCACTGCTTAGTGAGCGTCTGCATACTATTGCTAATCGCGCTTTTTTCCTCTCTCCACTTCCTCTAGTTACTCAGCATGCTGTGATTTCCTTCAGACAAACAACCTTCTTTCCATAATCCGGGCTCATGAGGCGCAAGACGCAGGGTAAGCCTCTTTTTAATTCATATCACTGGGATTATTTACATCACCTGAAAAAAAGACTATAGTTTAACGAACCAGCGGTTTAGCAGCTCATAAGCCGGAAAAAAACACGACACCAAAGTCTGTCGCCTACCCTCTCACTTCCTCTTGCCACTTTGGTGCTCTCTTCGTATCCCTTCTTCGACGGTGGCAATAAATCTCTAGGGAGATACGCCTAGTTTTACTCCCCATTTACACATGTAGACTAGTTATCCTCATTGAATCAACTGCTGTGACTTCCAGTTGTCACTGAGGCTTTTCTTAATTAGTGTGTAGATTGGATTAAAATTGATGGCGTTAGTGCTGGGTGGATACATCCATTATCACTCATCCACTCATGCAGGTACCATCATCAATGGGCAGTTGATTACCCCCAGATGCAACTCAATTATCTCTGCATTCGGTTACTACTAGGGGTTTTGTAGACTAGTGAGCAATTTTTGGGAACAAAAACACTTTGTTTGGTCTCGACATTTCAGTCACGCTGATATCTATCTGTAATTCAGGGGGTCTGTTTTATTTCTTTCAAAAATGTTTGAAATTAACTATGCTCTAGAATGGTATGATTTGGCTCATGGGTGTTTGTGATGTTCGATGGCAATCAAATAACAATAATCTCATGAAAATTAATTGTCTCATCCGAATTGAGCGTCGAATGTACGCACGAAGAAAGGGAACGCGGTCGACTAGGAATTCCTTGCACTGCCCCTTGATGCGTGAAGAGGGCATTGTTCACCTTACAGAAGCGTCTTTATCGCCGTTTTTGGGGCATTTGCTCCAACAATGAAACCATTGTGTACGCGCCTTGTTGATTCGTTTAGCGGTCCTTTCTCCCCTTCTCCAAACAGAGCACTCTTTTGCTACCACTTCCTCCATAACTATTGCGGTATGAAGCACAAAAGCATCATTAGAGGTTACCTGATAATCGGCTGAAAGGGTAGAGGGGGAAGGACGAATGGACTACCGAAAATAGAGCAATGTACTCGTTTGTACCAAATGAATGAAAAGAATGGAGAAGAGAGGAGCGAGGAAGGAAGAAGGCATGCATTCATCATAGCAGAATCGTGAAGTGTTTCGTTTTCCCTTGGAGACACGTAGTTTCCACTCATGTTGCATTGATGGGAATTGCACTTTGCTAGCAATCCTAGCTTCATACTTGTGTACGATGGCAGTGGCATAGTTGGCCTAGTCAAATGGCGTTTATTGCTCCCTCGCCCGTCATTCCAGCTCTCCGCTTATTGCCTCTCTCTCTCTACCATTCTCGACCCTCCCCCCTCGTCCTCTCGCTTTATGACCTTCCCTATCAGTGCCTAGCGCAACAGTTGTTGTCTGTAATAACACTCGCGCTCAAGGGGAGGCTAGGCAATCGATTGGCGCAATTTGATGGAATTCACAATTCCATCTTGCTGCATCATGTGTCTCTATTGGCTGTAGCTCTCTTATTTGATTCGTATCGCAAGTTCTCTTCTGGTCTTGATTAGAGAAGCAGGCAGGGTTATACTGTATGATGATCAATGCCTATCGTGATAAATGCGGGAGGATGTGAGGTCACTAGCGTCTTATTCGCTCCAATTCTTTCTCCCAGTGTTTTTTTCTCCCTTTTTTCAAGTTTTGAGTTGATTGAATCGCCAATAGCTCCTTCTCTACCGCGGTCTGGAAGGAAGATGGATCACAACAAGTGGGTGGATTTCCTTTCATTCCAACCGCTTCTATGGTGATCGAGTAAAATACAGGAGGTGGAATAGTATCCTCACCTCGCTCTTTCCCATTTCATCCATCATTTTTTGCTTCTATCATTACTATTGCTGCTGCCGTTTTCAGGTACCGAATGTATCGAAAAAACCAAGCCACCGGATTTCCATCCCTCATCACCATATTCAGTGCGCCAAATTATCTCGATGTATACAACAATAAGGGTTGGTCAGACTTTGCTTACTTGTCCATATATGAATTTCTTGCAGGTTTCACTACAAAAATTCTTTACATAATTTAGTCGGTTTTCTCATTGGAAATTGACGCCCCACGGTGATGGTCTATGAATTTGACGCCAGCTATTAATACAGTAGAAATTAATTTCACTTTTGGTTAATTTGCCCTCTTGTGGATTCTTTTCGGATCCACGTTTCACTTAGTATCACTCAAGTTAATCTTATTGAGCCGATTTGTTGATTCAAGTCATTAGTGCCACTTCATCTGAACTGTAAATGTGGTGGATACTTCATTACTGGGTAAAAAATTGGTTTCCCGCCGTTCAGAGGTGGCAGAAGTAGCCGTGTCAGTGCTTAAAATATGGCGAATTGAGACTGAGGATGATAATAATTAGCTATGAAAAAGAGGAGTGTGGTTGGATGGGGAAATAAGGGCTAGGTGTCATCAGAGGCAGTTAGCTATCCTAGTTGACAGTTCACGCAAACAGCTACCGGTTTCTTCTGACAAAAGCATCTGTCGGCGATAAGAATTCACCTCTAAAATAACCAAGGTGGTTAGTCGAAGTAAATGTTTGGGTGGTGGCATCAACCAAGTTCTGAAAGCCACCATTCCTTTCCTGCAAATCTCCTGGTAAGACTTGCATGTTCTGACACCATAGAGTGAAATTAGCGGCCAAACTTTTGTGCAAAAACTAAAATAATCCATTTTTTTACAATCTCAGGACCCTTGGGTTTCAGCGTTAAATATCGCTTCACTAGCATTCCCTTTATCAATGCTAATCTCTCTGTCCTCATTTATAACTTCTTTATTTCTCTAAGCAAACTTGTTATTTGTCAAATGCTTTTCACACTAATCCAGACTTCTCGCATCCTCCTCTCGCCGCTTGGAAATGGGCTTTGGGGATATATTAGCGATCATTCAGTCGCTCTTTGCCCGCGTTATCATCAACACGCTCACGTAACTGGCACCGAGGCTGCATTTTTTCATTCACTGCACGCAGATTGATTAGTTATGAATCCTAGCTCACAACGCCCGATAGGGGGTTGGCAGCCAAGGCGAAACGACGACATGAAGCTGTGATGGAATATTTATTCCTCCCAGGCTCTCTATCCCCTGCGGCTCCTAATGCCCCACTTTCGTCTACTTTCAGTTGGTGGTTTGGCTGACGACTCCTTCTCCCCATCTGTCGCCTTCACCTTCGATGGTAGTAGCAACAGGAGCAATAACGTAGTTTCCGCTCCGCTCTTTGCATATGCAAGCGGGGTCATGTAGTCATGGTTCACTCCAGTAATACCTTCGTCTACGATAGATAACCCGTAAATAAATTGTCTGGAGCTCATACACCTTCGCCAACTTTTTTTCTTAAATGCGGCTCGAACTTAGGCGATGCTACGCTGTTGCCCATTGGAAAATCCACACTTCTAATGAATCCACCTTTGTGGTAATGGGGAAAGTCAATGCATCCCACTCTTCATATTAAGAGCATGAAGTTCTGTAACTCCATGCTTTTGGTTTTGGATCAGATTTCTGCGATAGCGTTGCTAGTAAGCGAGTTCCATCGTTTTTAGTAAGATTCAAATTATGACATCGACTGGACTGGGTTTTTCCCTTTGAAAAATATCTTATTTATAATGGGCTAAAAAATTGCAGATGTAATCCCTTCATTCTGTGGCGGTGTTGTTTGTACTTCACAAAAAACGGAACGCGTTTCGCATTTCACTGCATAGGCTCCCCGATAGAATAGGGTTTTTATCACTGATCAGATTTCTAGGCTAGCTTTGTTGCCAGCATGATAATGAATGCATGAGTTCTATGGGCTTTAAAATGAATAAGTTTTTGGCATTTGTGCGAGACAGTTCTCCTTGAGTTCTTTTTTTTAATCAGAAAATGGGTACTTGTTTTCCTGTTATTAAATTTGAAATTAACTTACTTGATTCTGTCATTGACCTTGTTTCACTTCTCCCAATTTACCGTGCGATTTCACCTTTTCTTATTGTGATTAGCGGAATAGTAACGTTATAAATAAATGTATAACTGAATGTGTGAATGTAGACTGTTTTACTTTCAGCCGCAATTCTGAAGTACGAGAACAATGTGATGAATATTAGACAATTCAACTGTTCCTCCCATCCCTACTGGCTACCTAACTTCATGGACGTCTTCACATGGTCGCTACCTTTCGTCGGTGAAAAGGGTTCGTGTCTTCTTTCCTCTATGGCATCCACGTTATTCCCACGGGTCTGAAAGTAACTCTCAAGCATAGTGGAGAGACTGTTAAAAGACCGAAACCACGGTGAAAGGAGAGGCCCGCATCAGCTAAAATGCAAACGTCATTCTAGTGCAGTTTAAAAGTGGAAACACGAGTTAATAGGAGGTAAACTCATGTTTGGGAAGTCCTCATCCCAGTTCATTCTTGCATCACTCTGGATACCTCAGGGTATATAAAAGTGTGTGTATACCTGCCCCGGTAGCTTGGGTCTCATGTGGGTTTTAAAAATTCACCATTCCGCTGAGGTGAAAGGAAATCTGATATGGCCGGGATTTTGAGTGGGCTGAAATTTATTACTCAGGTCAAACTTTGCAAATTAAGCCGTGTTCTTTGTACCGGTTTAAGTAAACTTTCTTGTACACAAATTAACTCCTCAGTACATCAATTTATAGTAGGAATTTCGGTGCGGTAAGAAAAGGGAGTGAGAGAGTCAAAAAACAATGCAATTTCTAAAAGGATGTCGTTAGTTCAAGTTGGAGGTCGGACCTTTTGTGGGATGAAGTGCGTTCATTAAAATCTATGTGATATGTCTTACTAAATATTCCTCTCAGTCGAGTTCGTTTACTACCGACTCACATCATGACTTCTGATCTGATCGGCGTACAAGTAGGAAAGTAACTTTTTATGCAAGTAGAGAGCCATAAGGCTAGTACTCACTGGGTCAAAGTCACCGCAGTTTTAAATAACTCGTGAGAATCTTAAATGGCTCATGTAGTGGCATATAGAATGTAAATTACCATACTTTTACTACAGGATCTTTGATTAATTCAGATAGGATGAACCCTTGAATATGTCATCAGGTCCTCAACTTTTAGAAGCGGTTGAAAAGTGAGTTACTTTGCGTCTAATTTCCATACTCTAAGCTCTAGTGACTATTTCTTGATTCTGAAATTACCCTACCCGAATCCAAAATTCAAGCTCTTTCTTTTCTTCCTTGCAGTGGCTCTTTAGGTTTTATTTGTCAGACTTTTGTGGACGCTAAAAGTATCTACTTCCTCAGTTCATTTCATGCCATGTAGCAAACAGGCATTTTTGTCTACCATGTGACATTAAGTAAAAAATTTAGATCCAAGCTTACTTATGTTGCTACAGAAAGGAACAAATTCAATCTAAAGTAGCAACGACTGCCTCAGTTCACTTGGGCACCTGATAACCTGCGATATTATGAGCAGTGGGGATTCCGCCCTATAGCAATTGCAAGAAAATCTTGGGGGGAGGCGAGCTTTTTTGGTGAAGAGAACTAGGAGCGCCTGGAAATGGAAGGAAGCAGCTCATTGTAATAATTAAGTCACTTGGCATCCTGCATCTGAACAAGTGACTGGTTGACTGAGAACAGGTGCATGATGTTTTGTTACTTTTTTCACTTAAACAGGCCCTTCTCAGGGGTTTAAATGAAATTTTGGGTAGGAGTGAATGACGGGGGGGAGCGTGTTGTTGCTTTCGTCTTTTTTTGGCACCGCTACCTCTGCTCTCCCACCCTCACCTACCTTCGAGGTTGCAGATTTTTGTGAGAAAGTTCAGTTGATGTTTGTGCTCTAATAAACCTGTCCATCGCCGCTGTTGTACCACGTGTGCTCTTTGTGAGATGGCAACGTTGCGCTCTGTTGGGCCATCTTAATCAAAGTTACGATTGAATTTGACCATAACGATTTGAAACCAGTAAAATTCAAAATCTGTCAAACTACCTCTTCAAATCTGTTTATAATATTGGTAAATTTTACAAACAGAGGTGGTTGTTTTGGCTCAAATCTCTCGTTTATGACGCTTGAGTCCCTGACACCATTTGTTATTATGCTCTTCACTGAAAGCTCACACACTGCTTCTAACGACACTAAACTTGAAATAAAAACTGCTCTGTTCCTTATACTGGCTTTATTTTTGTCTCTTCTGTCGCAGTGTCTAGACAATGTAATGTTTTATCATCTTGTTTACTTTTCCTCTTTGATTCTAGTGACAGAAATGCTGGTCAACGTGCTGAAGATCTGTTCAGACGATGAGTTGCTCTCAGATGCGGACGACACCTTCGAAGGTGAGTCAGTCCCACATCTCGTCTACACCGCCCGTCTATTATCCACTATCGCCGTCGGTGTGTGTGTGTGTTTACGTGTGTACCTTTCCCTTTTGTCATTGCCCTCCTCCTCTTCAGTGCCGGTAGCTGCAACGACTCCGCCGACAGGTAAGAGGGATGCAAATTCAGAAACAATCACGCATCCTCTTTTGCTATACACTGACATAAGCAGCAATAACAGCAGCAACTCATTTGGTTACACACAGTCTCACACTATTGCTCCTCCTCGATTTGACCTTTGCGTGCGACTTTCTTTTACCTCTATTTGAATTCTTTTGCGCCAATGCCGTCAGCATTACTCGCATCGGCTGGTCGGCTGGTTGACTGATCCCACTGCTTCTGTGTGCGCGTGTTAATTTGCTAATGCGTTGCCGCTCCCATCTCCACTCTCCCTCCCTCTCGTTGACTCACCACAACCAACTAGAAGCAGCAACAGGAATATCAGCATCAATCCTCTCCTCCCTTTCCCACCTTTTGCCACGCACTTGCCCTCATCGGAGGGATGAAGTCACAGAAATGGGCCACTGGTTCAGTACTGTTGCTATCGCGTGCACAAATAAGGACGCCACTTGTAGGCTTTTATACAGCGTTTGTTGGATAACACCATCATGACATTAACAACTTTGTAGAAGGTATTGCCAATGAAAGCGTAACCAGATTTATTGAGGAACTGAGCCTATAGAGGCCATCACGCAGTTGGGTTCTCTTGATGAATCCAATGCAACAGACAGGTTTCATTTTACCACTTTAAATACTTGAATTGATTGTAAGAGTTCTCACATCCTGTTAACGTCAAACGTACGGTAAAACGTTTCCCGTCAAGTATTTGTTGGAAATCTAAGGTGCTTTGATACGCCATTTGTTGGACAACGCAACGGTGCAATTATGACCTCATGAATATACTTTAGAAAAAAAAACGACTGACTAGCATTAGAAATGTACCGAAAATCGCTGCAGGCTTCTGTAAGAAGACGGACCAAGAAAGAAGAGTATCAAGATTAGGATTTCTTTAAAGTCTCATTTTGTTGAAAGAGGTATCTTTGGGTCCTTTCACGAGGAAATTGCTTCGGAAATCAGGCTTGTAAGATCTGGTTGCTTTCATCATCTGTTTTGGTTAGGATTTGGCTATTCCTGGGCTAACTTGATGCATAATTGATGTACTTTCTCTAAGCATCGTCACAAGAATAGTAGATTAGACCGTAGAGTTCAGTGAACCAAAATTTGCGTCCATTTCGTCATGCTGATTCGCCAAATTCTGGACAGACATGTCCACTTCTGATGACGTCAGATGTATCATCAAACCCGTTTTTCCCTATCATATGCGTCTCGGTCCTATTGGATCAAAGTGTTTAAACAACTACCTTTCATTTAAATTTATCCTTAATTATCACACTGCTTGAGGGGGTGATTTTGCTGGGTAATGTCGACAATGCCACACCTTTCATTGTAAAGTGAAGTTAAGGAGAGGACTCTGCCATCGTATTTCTGTTTTCCTCTTAATGCTATTTTTTGAAAAGAGGGAGGTTTTATCCTTTTTTGTTGGCTCTTGAGCCGATTTTGAGCTGTTAATTTACCCGTTTCTATGCTCTACCAATTGACGCCTATATTGTTCACCGAAAAGCACAAAGGAGCTGTCATTTCCCTCTATACAAGGCTTAGCCAAGTAGAATACAGACAGACAGACGGCTATAAGCTTAGGCTTGAAGATGGAAGTAGCTAGTGGCATACCCCCTGTGCCTTGCATTGCCTTGTCCCTCGCCAGCTCATCGTATCCTGAACCGAGCCCTGAACAACCAATCGATGCTGCCTGCAACACCCGCCTGCTCGAACATCACCACCCCAGGCCAGGGCAAGTTTGCCCGTCCCACTGACTAGCACGTACCCGATTTTAGTGGTGGCGGCGCTGGTAGTGGCATTGGTGGTGGTGAAAGGTTGGCTCCAGTTGGTTGATTGGTTGGTTATGGCCCACTTCCACTCCTCATTCGATCGTTCATGCGTTCGTTCTCACCCTTGTGTTTGTTCTTTTGTTCTATCTGCTCCGCTCCTGACCCCTCACTACATTACACTCGGTGATTGGCAGAAGGTGAGTGTGCTGTCCAGTCTTTCTCCCAATCTGCCGTTTTACACCTCCATGCGCTAAAACATGCACACACACACACAAACACCCCTGATAACACCCTCTGTTGTGCGTGCGTGTGCGTGGGTGCGTGTGCTACGCACTCACCAACCTATCTATCCCCCGCTCTTCTCTCGCTCTCTGGTGCTGTGCATGTATTCCACGGGTGCGCAGCATGTGACTTCCACTTCTTGTCTTAACTATGCACGCTGGCTCACCGTCGTGCTGACAGCCAGAGAAGCAAGTACTTCTCAACTGATATCACGATTGGGGTTAGCTATAGCAGTGATGATGCTCATTGAAGGGAAATTAGGATATTGAAACTCGACCTTACCCCAAAAGTTAGCTTCTCTCTGCAATAATGGCAACAGAGGGGAATACTCTATTCTTTTGTAGTCATCAAGTATCAGGCGTTAAAGAACTCCTGAAAATTCTGCACCCCGTTTCTCTAACTCACTTCTAGTGCCTCCTATACGCGACGCTTTAGTTTTCTTCGTCAGTTTATAATAGATTGTATGTTTCAAACAGATTGGTTAGGTTTAGCATAACAATGCAGGTGTTTTTAATAGGAGAATAATCACCATATTTTAGTCCTTAGATTGCTGGCAAATTGGTCAAATTATTGGTGACGCGGTGTTGTCATATCAGAGCAGCAAGACATCTGAGTGGCTGCAGTGGCCAATTGTCCCGTGAGACACTCCAGTAGCAACTTTTTAGTTTGCCATTTCCAGATCGTAATTTTGCTTACCTCACTGGTTAGGAAGGGGGAAAACACCTGCTAGCAAAAGGAAATATAGCCCGCTGAACAGCTGAATGGATGAACCCATATTTATTCAACCTATGAAGCCGTTTTTTCTTCATCACAGAGCTTTGGGCCCCCAGTCTTCCTCTCAGCAATGAATGACAAGGAAATTTATTTCCTAAAATCGCTGCCATGGTGGTAATTTATCTACGACCTCGTCACAAATGTTTTAACTGCGCGGATAAACTCGTTTTACATCGTGCTCAATCATTGAGAGCTGACTCGTCTCAAAAAAAGCTTAGCACTCAATGAAATCTGTGACTCCGCTTCGAGCATGTTTTTGTAGTCGGTACTCCTGCACTGCAATGCAACTATTTATTGTTGGTCATTATTACGAGGGTGGACGACCACTGTGATGTTCATCATGGCTTCTTCCCCGCACCTCGCTCTCCTCCTCCTCCTTGCTCACACTAACATCTGCGGCTGCCTTTGTTCGTTCGTTTGTTGAGTCGCGCACTCGTCTCATCTCCTATGTCAAGTCACATCACATCGTACATCGCTTTCTCTTTTGATTTGTCTCCTATTCTCGTTGACCAATTGTTGCCTCTCTGTGCAGCTGTTTGTTCACTCACTTATGTCTCTCTTTTAGGCGGAACAGTGGCCGCGCGCAAGGAGGTGATAAGAAATAAGATTCGGGCGATTGGCAAGATGGCGCGTGTCTTCACTGTCCTTAGGTTTGTTTCTCTGTTTTGCAACCAATAACTTTTGCAGAGTAAGTTCGTTTAAGCTTGTATTCCCTCCTCTGCCTGTCACGACCCTGGCATACAAATTCAGGCAAGGGAAAGAGGTAGCCTGCTCATCCCTTTTTGCCCTCTATTAGGGATTGAAGGAAAATTTCGATGTGACTGCACTCTGTCTGGTATCTGAAGGCATAATCAACGGGCTGTTTGGTGCAGGGAGGAAAGGCGACACTGTCATCAATTGGATTCGCTCCTCCCTCTCCCATTATGGCATGATTCGTTCTGCTCACTGAAATATCACCTTCTCTTATCCAATGTTTTCGTTTTTTTTTAATTACTCTTAGCTCGGCCTTGTTAAATGCCTCCAGACCTCTGCAGTGGTGGGAGCTGTCTTCTCTTAAACGTGGTGGCGTGTAGATGGCACTTATCCACTCCTTTTCTTTGCTTCGGCTTGATCATTTATCAAACTCGGTTTTACTCGACCTCACCACTTATGAACAGACCGCTTTGCCCCTGAAGCAGTGATTTCTCCATTTAAAACTATGATTAAGACGAACAGACTGCTGATGAATGGAGATGCTACGTAGCAAAGGGCATATGATCCAATTCGTTTGTCTCTCATTTTTATCATTTGTTGATGCTTTGCGCAAGCTTTTCAGTAAAATTTTTGAGATTGAAGCCGGCAGAACTCTACAACAAGCATTAATACATTTAATTAACTGATTAATTTTACGTGTTGCAATTTTTCTTCATCCTCGTCAGAAGGAAAACAAAGGTGGTTATGGTGTCTTTTTTCCCCCATTGAAGTCCACTGATTTGACAAATTTTCACTGCCTTTATTGGCAAAGAGAGGAAAATGAAGGAGAGTGGATCAGAGAATGCGCAAAAACTCGTTTGCACACGCCAGAAGCTCCCACTCTGAAGACACATATCTGTTTGTTTGTGGGTCCTCGCTGGGACGATTCGGAATAGATGGATGGAATTACTGCTGATTTGCGCCTAGTCTGGGATGGATAGGTCCACTGCTTGCAGATTATTATTATGATTATCCACCCTTTCAGTGTTTTGGCCTAGATCTTTTACCTTGGTGACTTAATTTCAGAGCTAAAAATCACTGGGCAGAATAGAAATTCTCACGTTTACTCACTGGTTCCAGTCCCATCTGCATCATGGTTTCATCTTAAAATTGTGTCAGGTGACGATTAAACGATTCTTATGTTTGTAGCAACGATGGAGGTTAGAATGGAGCTACTGAAAATTCTATTAGTGATAGTAACGCTCTTGTTTTGGTTTGACAGGGAAGAGAGTGAGAGCGTGTTGGAGCTGAAGGGTCTGACACCCAATGGAATGCTTCCCTTCGGTGCTTTGTCTGGTGGTCGCGAGACCCTCCTCACAGGTTTGTTTCTTCACCATTTCCCCTTCCCCCCTCCTACCCCTTCCTCATGTTTGACCATTAATATATTTGTCTTTTCTTGGAAATTGCCTGGCAACCCTACCAGATGTGTAGGCCTCCTCATAGGTGGGATGTATCTACTAGATTATGCTTATTTTAGAAATTGGTACCATTCGAAGAAAAATGTGTAGGTAATATAAGTACTTGTGCATTCACGTTTTTCTGCTACCTCGCCGCACACACGTGCACTAAGATGGCGAAAATCAGGTGTGAAGTCTGCGTGTGACACCTTATAACTGAAAAACTATACTTAGATTGGTCTTCCAGTTGAAGGGAGAGTAGATTATTGCAACAGCTTTCCGCTAATATGTGGGTCACCACCGGTTTGCAGTAAGGAACGTTGAAGATATAAACAGGTCCTTATTCAGTTATGCGAGGGGCGTTAAATCAAGGTGGAGTGTTTTGGGTCCCTGAAAGGTATCCATTTTAAGAATAGGAATCCTTATTTATTTTTTCGCTTAATTACCTACTGCCTCCGTTATACACTTAGAAGGATTATTCCCTAAAGAGATTGCGTCGAAAAATACAACTGAGCCACTTCAAGACCGCCTGGTGCATTTCATTATTGGCTTTCAAGTGCTGGCCTTCTAGGTACTATTTTATGAACCCAAACAGATGGGAATCGCTCGGATCATGATCCAAGCTGTAAGAAGGATATAGCAATATCACCGGTCGAGTTCCTGTAATGTGTGCATAATGTTGTCCTGATGAATCAGGATGCCCCTAGTGTTTATCTGTAGAAGTCAAATTTAGCTGAAACACGAACTGGTAAAGATGTGACATTCCAAGTGATGGTGATCTAGTAATGGGAGTCGGTTCTCTGTTCATGGTCATTAAGAAAGCACCCATGTTATAATGTTGGTTTTACTTGATCCGATTTAACTCGCTATTGTCATTAATGTGGATGAGGCGCTAACGGGTTTTTCTGCGCGTTAACCCAAGCAATCAGCTTAATTATTCGCTGTTTCTAATTCAAGAAGTACTTTTTTTGGAGAAAGATGAATTTGTAAAAGAATGCATAGTTGACTCAATTTCTCCTGGATTTCGTTGAGTTTCAACTTCTTGTTTTGAAATCTTTGTAAATGAGTGATGCTTAGATTGAAAGGTTAGCTTTATTCAATGTATGGCGTGCTATCAAACCCAATGACTACTTCCATTTACTTGGCAGCGTTGTGCGGAGTGGCGCCGAATCACAAGATCACCTCATTTGAGGAGGCAAAGGCGATCGATCTAATCAACGAGCGGATGCCACCTCGACACGATTTGGGCTCAAGCAGCTCGGCGAATTCCTCGCGTACACGCGCCTCATCCTCCACCTGCTCCTGCTCACATTACTCCCAAACGCCCGCCTCTGCATCTGGAAAGCAACAGAATAGCAGTAGCAGTAACAACAACGGGGAGCGGTCATCGTCCCAGCATTACCACCGCCATCGCAAGTCATCCACCAACGCACCCGAGAAGATCGGTGGTGGTGGCGTCGCAGACCATCACCACCGCTCCTCTGGCCTCTCCACTAACTCCCCCGCCTCCTCCTCTCCCCGAACCTCCAATGCTGCCGCCACTGCTGCTGCCGTTGCCACCGCCGCCACCTCGTCCACCGCTGTCAGCCGAAGTGGGCGGTCGCCCAACAGTCACAGATGAGGAACGTGATGCGGTGTCTGTCACCGATGCTACACATGCTCCACCTCCTGGATCCACTACCACTGCTCCCACACGTAACTCTCTCGTCTCCTCTCCTCCTTTTCTCTGTTCTTGTGCGTGTGTGTGTCTTGCTCTCTTGCTCGCTCACCCCTCTGTATATGTACACCTTCTGTGAGGAGGGGCGTTATTTTTATCAGTTTGTACATTGTGATTATTATCATAATCTTCATTTCCCTTTCCTTCTCTTCGTTCTGTCTCGTATTTATTTCTCCGGACGACCGACTGACTGTTCACACATGCACACACACACACACAAAGGCGCTGGTTTAGTCTTTCTGCTCACTCTTCCTACTCCTCTACTTACCTCCCAAATAATATAGTATTTTGTTTGGCCTTTTCTTTCCTTTTCATTTTACTTCTCTTTCCTTTCTATCTACTCACTCCTGCCACGTGAGTTATTTTGCCTTTGACGATGGAGTTCGTGCGCAAGGCTCACCCGGGCACCTCCGCCTTCCTTGAAAACACCCGCTAGATATTTATTTGGCAATATTATGTTGTGTCTACCCTCCTCTACCTTTATCTTCTCTCCTATGTCTTCTTTCTCTCCTTTAATCTGTGAGCTCATTTAAACAAAACAAAATAACTTTCGTATATACTGAGGATGTTTTGTGGACTGCATTTGGATAGGTGGCTTTTGTGGGTGGGCCACAGAGGTGGGTTAGACTTTGATGTTGGAAAAACGAAGCTCTCCCTTTGGATGATATCTCCCTAATTAAACGCAACGATTTTGAGGTGGTCTCCGTTCTGGTACCTTAACTGATTGCTAGACTGACACGTGGAATCGGTCGTTTGTATGTAGTCGGAAGTACTTTTGCCCGCCATCCACGCTTGTGTGTAGGCAGTTGGATGATAAGCTGCCTCTCCAGCAAAGTGCACTAACCTCCTCGTTCTTTTTTACAGCTGTTGAAAGTCGTGTCTCCTTTTTTACCTGCAGTCTGTCTGCACGTTTGTCGGTAGCGATCGCTTTGGAGGATGGTGAATACAAAAGGCAGCAGCATTGAAGATTGGCATGCTCATTACCATTCCACAGCTGAGGTCATCTGGAAATAAAACAACAGGCGAAGTAGTATGAGAAGCCACTCAACACGTGAGTGCCCTGAATGAACTGAATTTTGATGCTTCTCTGACTGCTCTTTTAAACAAGCAGACAAAGTCTCATTGAAAAAGTGCGATGCAGACTCATGAACACACGCTTGTCAGGGTTCTTTTGCGTTGGAGGCGAGACTGTTCCTTGTGCTGCCGAGATTATAAAGGACATCCACACACAGACGCCAAAATACTCTTTCAAAGTGCAACATTCCAGGCCACTGGCCGAGTAGCCTTGTTCTGTTGTTCTTATACCATAGTTACTTTATAAAAGACAACCACCGTAGACGCTTTTTGTGGAACCAAATGGCTATACTAAGCTTCCCCTGTGGTTTTGCCAAGGTTGGCGGTTGAGACGAGGTTTATTTTGCGAGTGAATTAATTGAAGCCGAATCAAGGAAAGGGAAAAGAGAAGAAATTCAGTGCGTTTAAAAGGTTTCTTAACATTTGAATCTGCTTAGCAAATTAACTCTTGATAACCTTGGGAGCGTTCTGTTTCACCAGGACAGCCTCACGCTCCTTCCTCTATCGTAGAAGTGGATGTTATTGGTCTCTTCCAGTCAGTCCTTCATCTTTGTCGAGAGGCAAAAACATATTTTTTTTTAAATTTATTGCAAATACTAATTCAGCTCATTTATTTTCATCAAGTGTGAGATCGTCGTAGGGTCTATTGGCATCGCTGCGTGGAATGCGAGCCTGACAGCAACCTTATTACAAGCTCACTGGGAGACTCGTGGCATGATCAGCGCCACAAGAGACTGAGACAGGCTGTAAAATAGAGCAAATATCACTGTTTCAGGCTCTCATTTGCTCCTTCACTTTGCTGCCATTGATTTTAAATTCATTGGAAGATAGTTTTTCACTGCTAAGATTTGCGCCATAGCAACATCTTTCAAAGGAGACTTTGGGGGTAAAACTAAGCTCTTTTGAAATCTATTAGGCACCGTTTTGGGGTGGGGGGCAGTATTTCCTTTAAGCTTCCAAAAAGCTGGAAACTAATCTCACCGCTACCATGCACATTGGATTCAGTTGGATCTTCTTGTAGTGCCAATGCACAGCATGCCATGATTAAACAAGTCCAACTGCTTTCGAACTCGACGATCGCTTCCGCGCCACAAGTCAGGTATTTAAAAATTTTCTAAAAAAGTGCAAAACATAGGGCCTTAAGTAATTTTGGTCCTTTGCCAGTCCAAAATTGTGAGTTGTTCTACTCATCCTGTCCGAAAATCACGGTAACGCAGGCACCCTATACCTCCTAAACATAGGTGTACTCCCTTCGTCTTTAAGAGATTTAAGTGCTTCTAGCCTTTGTCAAGGCGGCAATATTATGAATTTCCACTTAGATTCAAAAGTCCGGTTAGTCTATCCAATCCAAGGCTTTCTTAAAGAAAAGTAAGGACAAAAGCAAATCAGCTCAATAGTTAAGGGCTAGCTAGCCGGATCAATGCAGCAGCCTTAAATTCCACAACAGAGACAAACACCAAGGTTTTGTTCGAGCTAATTACTAAGAGGAAATCCTTACTTCTTTCCGTAAGGCTGTTATACAGTCTGCACCATTTAGATGTGAATGGCCAAAAATGCGGACTTTCCTATTCTCTCTAGCACATGGACGCGCCTGGAGAGTTACTAAAGTTCTCGTCAAGCGGCATGGCCACGACATCATGGGTTTGTTTATGCCGCTTAATAATAACACAGTGGCCGGCACAGACAAAGGTAATGTACACCGTCACATTGGAACGGATGCCTGTTTTGCAGAACAGTCTTGAGATGGTTATGCAAAGATATACCAAGTCCTCTAAGTATGAGTTTGACTTTTTCAACTTTGATCTTTAAAACTTGAAATTTCCAATTCCTTAAATTATGGTTCTTAGCCACCCAAGAATTCACCCATTTGAGTGCAGAGTGGAGGTAGGCAGGGTTATTCTCAAGCTTGGCACAATCTTCCTCTTGAAATGGGCACTAAATAACCCATTCTCAACATTACACCTAAATCATGCCACACCCTTTAAATGCAGATGTTTTTTGAGTTTCATGAACAATAGGAAACAAGATCATTCATGAGCTCTCCTCTTTCGCAAAACTCCTCTTAGCCTCTAAGTCGCATGGCCAATGCAAAAGTATAGAGCACCAGATATCTGCGAGTTGGCCACAACCCCATTTAGTCAGATAAGTTAGTGTAGGAGACAGGCGCTTTGGGGGATACGCTTTGCATCTCTCGATGTGCCTATTTTGGGAGCAAGAGCGATCCACAAAGTGAAATGACGGGATGAAAACTAAGCACTCTGAATATCGCCGGAAAGTTCTCCAGACTTAAGGTAACCATCCATTCGTAATCTCGATTTTACATAGTGGCGGAACTAAAACCAATGCCCCTACCACCTGGAATTCTTGCTGATCTATTGTGCCAATCATCATAAAATGGTCGGTCTTAAACCGACGACTAATGCAGTGCTATCAATCAGAGCACATGGCACAATTTTGCCAGCTTAGTTAAGGTAAATTATTTATACCGACCGACTGTCCGCTCATTATCTCCGTCCTGGTCTCTCATGATACTGTTCATTTGGGATCAAGATTAGTGAATCATTCTAGGCGCGTCGACTGCGTTGCTATGCCTACGAGTTGAGCTGTAGCTTTAAAACAGTCATATAGAAGGATCCTAAGACCAACAGCATCGGTGGTATGGGAAAAGTTGCATACCACTTTCGTGGGGGCTGAAAGTATCTGAGTAATCACTTTTACACTCCTGTTGCATTGACTTTCTTGTGTCCAGTCGCATTCTCCATGCTTCTCATAATAAATCTTCCGCTTCACTCAGTACACTAGTGTCTAAGTAAATGGCCGTCAACCCCAGACGGGGACAAGAAGTACACTGCAAATTTGCCATCCTCATGGAAAGGTTTACAAAGCAAATTAACTATTCACGATTTTGACGGGTCTATTTGTCAAGCAATACATTGCAAAGATCACTTAGGAGTGCGTGGGCTAAAATTGGACAGTGGACGGCAGCAATCACATGCATAGGGAAATTTGCCTCAAAAATCAAAATCATTTAGCATCCCATGGTGCATCCTGTGTCCATTCCTCCGTTCCACTTCGTTTCCACTCTCTACCTCTTCAGGCATCCACCCGAATTATCCGCAACTCCTGGTACGATGAGGTGTCGAGTGTTTACACTTTACATGTTTCATTTTTTTTCTACTGCCATAATAAACTGGGTATTAGTTGACGTTTTGAACAGGGTTTTCGATCCACATCAGATGGCTTTCCCGTTTAGATTTTCGCGTAGTAAATGGTTAGTTTATTTAACCACAAAGGACTTCATTGAGGCGTTGACGTTATGCCTGCAAGCGGTTAAGTGTCGGATGCATGACATCGCCACTCGACGGAACACCCACCCTCTGAATCTATCAACGTGTTGCATGCTCTTCTTTCAACGTAATTGCAAACATTATAGTCACTCTGCGGTGTTACAAAACAGCCCTAAGGGCAGTTCAAAGGGTGCTCAAGACTTGAACGGTCATTCGTCGTTGATTTTCCAACGAATGCAGCGCCATTCGTTTAAATTGTGAACTAATGGAGGTCAACCGCCACGATTATGAGGCGGAGTTGTTTCCTGCCCCTCAAAAGAAGTGACTTAATAGCGGTAAACCTTACCACTTTAATGGCTTTCCAATTATTTGGGAGGCCAGGTGTAAATTCATTGGAATTCAGTTTGTTATTCTCAGGGAAGTGAGTGTTTCATAATTGACTCCGTAAATTTTGGCGCAGAATGACCTCATCGGCGCAAACGCATTCGGCAACTGTATTCCCAAAGGTCACTTTCTCCCTGATGACCTCTAACTCAGGTAATTTATGCACTTGGGAGGGGAAGCTATTAATATCTGGCAAGCCATTATGGCTGTTAATCTTACACCTAGGTCCCTGTTTCAGGAGCTGCTGTTTGGGTTCGGAGATCTATGTGTGTTATTGAACTGTTGCTAAATTTAGACTACTGAAGGCTTTCATGAGGGATGCACAACTAGAAGACTGGGATTTAAGTCTAGGACGAGTCTTTTTCGCGTGCAGGGCTACAGTCCATTCGTCAACGGCCGTTTCGCCGTTGACGGTGCTCATAGATCGTAAAATGGGAGTACCCTCCGATAGCTTCTTACCAAGCACAAAAGTAGCAACAAACAATACCTTCGAGCACGTACTGCCACTGAAAGAAGGAATGAGCCAAGCATTCAACATCTCCTGTACCAGGCAGAAGAAATATTACGGTAAATACGGCCAGGCTGACGTCTGCCGAGGAGACCTAGCGCAACCATACAGACCGATCCTCCCAACCTGGGTTACACCGCAAGTTCCATCACTCGTGGAGCAAAGGTGCATTCCGAGTGATAAAAGTTCTCCCACTATAAGCTTTCTAATCAAAAATATCTGAGGATCCCTCAGAATAATGAAGTGAATATTTTAAGGCATAGCGTAGAACAAAAGATAATGTTGTCACTTGGATAAACAGCGGCGATGTTTGCGGTTAGGCTCATAACTCCTACCTTCCGGGGAAAATTTCGCTAGATTGCATAAAATTTGTCTCATCCGCTTCCCTTCAAGTTGTAAGTTGCAGCCATTTATCTAATTGCCTCGGTGGTACTTGAGAGTACAGAGAACACTACCTGTGCTGAAAGTCTAAACTGGAGTTCGCTTTATTCACCAGCTGAATCCGTATTACTGGTTTTCCTTCTGAGCGCTTTCTCCGTAGCGCTGAAGGTGACGAGAACGCTACATGCAGTCAAGACTCTCGAATGTTGAGCGCAGTGGCGACAGGAAGGGCCTAGTTCCACTTGGACACTTGTCCTTCGGTATATGATGACGGGGCGACACTTTTAGTCGCATTAATTACACTGTGTATGCATAAAGAACCATAACTATGTAGTCAACTGCTACTCCTTCAATCACCCAAATTTAAACTTATCAACTCACGAAATAGAAAAGTTTTTTGAAGAAAATGCGGCAGATTTTATCATACATTTAGGCTCTCCTTAATGGTTCTTTTCACCTTATGCTCCGCGATAAGAATCTCTTATGTCCCGTCCCAGTGACTATCAATCGTGCTGTTCACTGAAAAGTAAGATTTTATCAGTGAAAAAAATCCTTGAAATGTTTACATGGTAAAAACAAGACAGGATAAGCATTTCTTTGCAATTCCAGCTGCGCTCGTTGAAAAGAATACATATTTACAGGAAATAATTTTCGTATCCATCTGAATGAGATTTGGGTTGGCTAAAATGTATGCCTAAACCTGGTTTTGCCTTTCCCCTCATCACTGTTTAGCTGTAGGCATAACAAGAAATTCAAGGGAAAAAAATGAAACTGTTCTTGTTTCGGAATGGTCAAGACTTTGTAAAGGAAATGGCAAGTGGAAATGGCACATGGGGTTTTTTTCTCACAGTCTAATAGGAGGAAATTACTGGACCCCTTATCAAGATTTTCTTTCGCCACACGCCATTGGTCACCGCCATTAATGTACCGGGCTCACGGGAACCGGAGGCGCCGTTCGGCTTCAAGACTGGAATATATATATGAGCATAGCACTGGAAGTAGCCATATTTGCCCTGGGCAACCAAAAAATGGTTTTTAGGTATTCTAAAGAAGGTAAAGTAGAATTTGACTTTCAATTGTCTCAAAGTTGCCGTCGCTAGTAGCACTACATCATGAATGGGCAGTAAAAGGGCTGTACATTACCTCAAGGGTCCAAGTCACCCTTGGGGAGGCAAAAATAACAGAGATCACGCTTAACAAAGGTACTAGCCAAAAAGGTGCCAAATCAAATCGACAAAATCTCAACCAATCAGCTCACGATTTGTGGGCCAATCAGCGCAGCACTGGGTGGAGATTAATCGATAAGTGCACTCATCGATTTGGTCTGGGGACGAAATCACCCCAAAATCGATGCTATTACTCAAAAATGTGCGTTTGGTGTTCACATTTTTGCACTGGTTTGGGGTCGTAGGGCAAGCTGGGAGCGCAGGGGTGGAGTCGATGCCAGACGCTTCCGGAAGGGAGGGGCTTCCGCTTGTAAACTCCCACTTTATTTGTTTCCCCTGCAGGATGCATGCACGTGCACACAATCAGAAAATCTGTTAACAACTTGCACAGATAAGCAAATTAATAATTAATTCAGTCCTTTCATGCCCCCTACTCGAGTCTGCCCGGCTGTTGCGCATGTTATAAGTGGAGAAAAGGTGGGGGAGGGGGAACTGTGAATACAATATTATGTGTCTCCAAGTTTTCGAGCGCTTTATAATTTTAAATTAAAATTAGTGCCCTTGTGAGGAGTGTAGACAAAATCTCGCATAAATGTTGGAATAACGTATTAAAATAAGTGATTTTGCTTTAGTTTAACGCTCTTGTCTGGCTTTGAACAAAGTGTTGGCTCTGCATTCGGTCCACACTAACGTGGATAATTACTTTGGATCTCAGTATTTTAGCCATCGAAGTTTTGCCATCTAACCTCTATAACTGGAAATACTTTAAGACGCCTCTAGAGGGAAGGTTCCTAATTAAACCACATTCTTCCGCGCCTTTTTGAAGTTCTGCGGCCTTTTACGGGTCTGTGTAGGAATCCCGTGATAAGTTGTAAACATGCCAATAAAACTTCAACAAACCATTAATCATGCTGAATTTTTATAGAAGTCATCTGCCATTCATAAAATTCAGCCATGTGTAAAGAAATGGGTCGTAAACTCTAGTGTTTAGAGGAAACCTTAGTCAGTTCAGGTTGCTTTCCATTCCTAAAAGGACAATCACGTTGACTTTTAAGCGGGTTTTTAGGTGCACTGAAATGGATTATATCGCATTCCCTTTTGGGGTTTGAGGGGTGTTTCTATTCCAAGCGTAGTTGATTGTTCCAAACGCCTAGTTTTTGTGCCTTAAACGCAACAACAGTTTGATTGCAGTTTGGGCATCTTTGTTAAAAAGAGAGTCTTCTAAATATGGCACGCATCAGTGGGAAGTAACTTCCTAAATATTTCCAACACTTTGATGAGACTGCCAAAAGAAGACCATTTGGATGGACCACAACGATGTACAATTCCGCCACCATAAACTTCCTCATTCATTTTCCATCGCCTGGTTGTACCGTTCACCTTTGAAAGATGTCAAAGTGTGTACTTTGTGACTCAACAAACTCGACGAGGTAAATTGTCTTTTGCATAATTAATGCTTCGAGATATTTTAAACGTTTTTAGCTTTCCTGAATCCCAGCATTTTTTCAAGACGGCTCAAATATGCTCTTCCTGAGCGGTGTCACCGTTTTTACTATCAAAGCATACAAAAGTGCGACTATTAGTACTCCTTCTAACTCGTCTATGAAACCACAGGTGTGTCATGTGCTCTCCGTGATGTTATGCTGGGTGGTTGAACGCAAACCACAACTGAGTAGATGCGAAGTGTCCTTGGTCTGGGCATTATTGCTTTTTTTTAGTTTTAGATCAGCTTACTTTTAACCTTTTTCCACATTGGGGTAGTCAGCTTTCCTCTCCAACCCTGGTTGCGAGCGTGTTGGTAGGCCACACAGATTTTGAGCTAATGAAGCTGACAATTAAACGTCCCTCAAAAACATTGAGTTAGTATTTCGAACGGATTCAATTCTTTCAAAATTATAAAGTTGAGTTACAGAGTTCTTAAAACGTTTTTTTTTCGATCAGCAATTCTGACTCAACAAAACCGACGATGAGATGGTCCTTTGGAGAATTTGTGGATGGTGCCATGTGTAGCATTTCTTTAAGTAATACGTAGCGGTGCTTCTGTAATTACTTATATTTACAGTTTTCACTACTTTCCCATCCAAATCTTAGTCACAAAATGCAGAGACTTCTTAACATGTTCCTCGTGGGCTAATGATGCGTCGGCATTTCGAATGAGGTTATTACTCTGAAAGTTCCGATTTCCCTTTCAAAAATTCTGGCACAAATTCATTCGGTGAGCATTATGGATTTCCTACAAATGAAGAGGACCCGGATCTGTGAACACAGGAAAGAATTTCATTTACAGGTTTTAGTGAGAAATTTACACTGCATTTTACCGCCTGATTAATGAAGTCACCTAGGTGATTGCGTTGGTATTGCTTCTGGTTTTGGCTGAAGACGCAAGTGGAAGCCGAAGTCCAGGGACGCATCACATTAAACACTGTCCCAAAGGGCGAAATGATGGAAAAGCGCCCTCTCAAGAGATGGCCACCCACCTAGAGGCAAACTACTAAACCGACAGTCTTGCGTGACCCCACCGTCTACCGATACGTGCAAGCAGAGAGAGAGAGATATAGGGATGAAGGCTGAACAAGAGGGAGTGAGAAAGGGAGAGGAAAGAAGGGAAGAGCACTCTTTTAGCATTAATCATTCAAAAGGTGTGTAGAAATAGAACACGTGCAGGTGAATGAGGTAAAAAAAAAGGAGGATGCAGTCCTTCAAGGTCACTTCTCTTAGAACTTTTCCTCACTTTTCTTACATTCCCCGATCAATCGGCCCAGCTAGCAAACTGTCTTTCTCACTCTATTCCTCTCTAAATCTCACCTTTTCATCCCTCTGGTTAGTTGTGTTTCAGATGTGTTGAACGGATCTATTGGATTAAGCTCTTGAAGATCTCGTAAGACGCGGAATCACTTCCATATATGCACTGCATGACTTTACCTGCATCACTTAATTCCTATTTCATCTCTCATTCTTTCACAATAAGACTGGACACTCAACCGAAAGGCCTTCCATATATAGCATCACCCTTTATCCTTTTAACCTAGCTAAGACCCAGGCTCTTTGAGCACAAGACGACCTATTCAAGCAGTTGTTGAAGCACTGAACTCTGGTTGGTTTCGATATTACGTCTGGTCGTTAATTTCTTTAATTCAATGAGTCGAACAAGGACCCATTCTTGTAGGTAGTCCCGAAGATGGTCCCTTCATTTAAACACGATCCAAGTGGATTACTAAGATGAGCTTACTAACCTAGACTGCACAAACTACTCTTTTAAAGAAAAAAGCTTCAGTTCACCCATACAAATTAAGCATCCACCTGTTTTAAGCTAACTTCTCTGTGTTTGACTCGAAGGGCTTCTGGACGTTGTTAGACTAATCACTAAAACTGTTCAAAGCTTGGATTTTTTGATGAGATTTGTTGCTGAACCGCGTGTCCGGTCTGAAAAGTACATAGTTTCTGTGATAAAAGACAAACAGTTTTGATCTTGGTGTGCTTGTTCAAGTGTCCCAAGAATGGGCGCAGGTAAGCGCATTCTGCAGCCGGTGGGTCTACGGCAAAGCGCACTTACTAGGCGGAAGTAATTAACTCCCCTTACTTTTCTTTCCCTTTTCAAATAATCTTTCATAATTTCACTCGCTGTAGGGAGGGTTATTGAGAGTGCCTTACGATCATTTACTTGAAATGCCATACTTTCTCGAAATAAATAAATTCTGTTAGGATGCTTAACTTCCTCTGTTACCAGCCTTTCGAAACCATAAATACATCAATGTTATCCAAAATATTTACTCCGAAAACATTTTTATGGAGTCACGTATTTGTTCGTTCGCCGAAATAGTGATAGACTTCATCGAAAAGTTGGTCAGAATGTAGCTGACAGGGGGGTAAAGTGATCGACAACCGGGGACTCCTATCCCAACAGGACATTTTAGTAGTTAAAAGGCCTTATTTGTCTTGGATACATGCGATGAGATCAGGTCGAATGAGGAAAAGAAGCTGGAAGGAGCTATTGTAGAAACGGTGGATGCAATCATCTCAAACTATCCATGAAGTAATAGAGTCGAGGTTTAACCCAGCTTTCGTACGCCCTCACGCAAGACCTCAAAATTATTGTCAGTTAAACAAGTACCAATATTTGAGGAAAGTTTACTTCCCATATGCAGTTCTAGACATTTCAAAAATCTCGAATCAACGAAGTGCGTCTTCAGTGGTGAAATTTGCACTAAATTGGCAGGAAGGCTTGGAAGCCGTTTGAGCACCTTTTTCTGCGAAAGTGGAGCAACTCCTAAAGATCCGCGTCCAAAATACGGTGGTTGATTTTAATGCAGATCCAGTAAAAGCGGCAAAATACGCTCATCTTAAACAACAAGTGAATCAATGGAATGTTTTTGTGTCACATTTTCAGTGGTGCATTGAAGAGAATCTTAAAATGGATGAAAATAATGAGTTAGAAACGTTCAAAAAGTCTGTAAGTACTTATCCCCATCTAATTCAATGCAATTTATGTTTAACAATGAGGGCACGTACATTACACTTACATTTTCCTTGCTATACCGTTTCCCGATCTAGTTTGTGTCCCTCCCTCGGTTGGTGCGGCTAACCACCCCGATACACACACTCAGCTGAACCTGAGGCTCTCGGTCTCATCACCAACGTTCGGTTCGCTAATTACTCTTTTTATTGTACGCGTTATTTTTACGGTTTCCTCTTCATTTCTGCCTCTGAATGGATGTTTTACGTGCTCAATATTCATCACTCCAGTGTGACCGTCCTTTTTGATAACACGTCAAGCTGAACACAAATGTGATTGACAATTTGCTTCTCCTCCTCAATTCCCATCACAGAAGGCCATTTCATTTTCAATGGTGTGTCTTATGTCCACACTACAGTCATCTTTTCCCTGGGCGATAGTTCTGTAAATGAACTGCTTGCCAAATGGCATACGAAGACCAGACAAACCACTACCCTTCTTAGGCCCTTGCCATTCAAATCGAGGTACATGAGGCGTGGAAACCTCTCAATTGACACTTAATAGTCAAAAGCACCTTTTTACCTTCATTTAAAACTCCTTGCAAAGAATTTAGAATGACACAATATTTTGTCTCACTTACTTTCTACTACTTCGACTTCTACCACGATCTAGCCCTATTCCGTTAACATTCACAATGGAGATGTTAGTCAGATCCCATCCAATTTACAATGATACACTTCTCGAAAATGATAGGGTTTCCGCAATCCAGCTTTGCGCATAAAGTCCCAGAGCATATAATTTGCTTTATTTCCTCTCCCAAGCGCTCATTATCCGCCCTGATAAGAGGAGTCAGGTGAGCCGGGCAATTAAACTGCCCGCGGACCTCTGGCATTGGGCGGCAGGCTAGCGCTACCCACAGCCTTAGGTTGGTGGCGCAAATGGAAGCACTTAAAGTAGATCGACTCCTCCCATTAGGAGGTCTGGAAAGAAGCGGGACTTGAGGTCCTGCAACAGAACGTTAGTGAAAAGTTACTTGCACTTTTCGATTGGGTTGCAGCCGTGTCAAATGGGAAGACTGCTTCAGTATTTAAAATTCTGCTGAACTTGAGTTTATTTTTACACGAACCGGAAATGCATTGTTGCACTTGCAAACGACAAACAGGACTTTGAGAAGTGGATAGTAATTGCCATCCGTGGGGAATACGAAAATGTGACTATCGTCGTTCGCTGAATCCTGTGGTTCATAAACCTCCGCCTCGTCTGTCTTGCTGCGGTGCAAGAGGCCTCGTGAAATTTCCCAAGTCGGAATTGACCAACGATAGCGGCTTCAATTCCTACAAACTCACCGAGGAAACGCGGCAACACTCATCTGGATAGGCAATTACGCATGCCATATCGTAATTAAATTTTGTTTTAAACGGTCCCAGCCGTCATTGGGATGCATTTCATGGTCAGAATGTAGCGAGAGAATGAATGACTGGGTGTGGTTGCGGCCGACTTTGTTCAAACTTGTTGTCAATGTCCTATTGTGTAATTTCGTTACAATGTATTTACACACACACATAAATGCGACCACAGACACACACGCATCGTCCATAAAATTTATAAGGCTACATGCCTTCAATTAAGGCGTCATTAGAGTCGGCGGCAAATGGGTGGGATTTTTGGGCACACGGGCAAAGTAACCCCTCCCCTGGGAATAGTTACACTGTTCTCTGTCTCTCCAGACAAATCACACCTTTTAGCCACTCACCTCGACGGCCATTTGGCGACTCACCGTCCTTTTTCATCTGTCTAAAGGATGCCTTCTTAAGCGCGCCCCTGTCTGCGCCTGTCTGTGTGCACTCGGAAGGCCTTTTTGCCCTTTTTAACAATTATAACAATGTTTTTAATGATATGAGGTAAATCTAAGTAAAATACGGACAAAAATGTTCTAAAACTGATACTAAATGATATGGAAAAGAGCCATTTTGAAAAGGTGTTTGGCAGTTGCTTGGTTGCTTTGAAGGGCGGCGCATGTGGCGGGGAAACAGAGGAGGCGGAGGTGAGATGGACTGTTTTTTTTGTGGAAGCTGCCTACTTTGCCGCCATTCTCTCGACCGCTTGCGTGTAAAGGCTTTGGCACAACTACACCTCTGGCGGAACTTTTCTCCACTAGTGTGAGTTTTGCACCGCGACAGTGCCGCATTATCCAAACCAGGCAAATTTATTTGCTATTTCAATGTCGTGCAGTTTGATGGAATAATTAGACCTGAGAAGGAGCATTACCATTATAGCCAAATACGATGAGATCAAGGCAATCTGTATCAGTGTCTTCTTCCATATTAAATCATTTACGATGTAAAAAACACTTGCGAAAGCCTTATTTACGTAGTGTCGAGGAGAGAGAGCCGGTAAACCAGGAACTACCTTAAACCTCTGGTGATTTTGAAAGCTGCTGAAGGAGTCAAAGCAACAAAACACTTGTTTGATGTCCATAATTTGAAGGGCGTTTTAATATTTGAGTAATAAAACAAATATGTGTTTATGGCGGAGTTGCTGATGTTTCTCTGCATTAAAAGAGCATAACACCAATTCTACCTTTTAATTAATTTAGAAAAGACACAAATTGTTAGAGAGACAGATACATCTGTGTTGTTTCTTGAACTGCAAAGCCACGGCCAAGTGAACAAGCTATCCCATTATCGTTCCTATTCCCGAAACCGAGGCGTTTTGTGCATCGTGTTTGGGCTAACGAGGGAGACGATGGTCGTGTGCCTCTCAAACCGCGTCAAGGAAGGGGAGAACCACAACCACCTGCCGACTTCCAGGTAGTCGTTCGCTAGCGTCAGTACGTGTGAGAGCTATAGTAAAAAATATCGTAGCTGGAACTGTTAAATCGCTGCGGAGAGCTACAATGCATTGTAAATTTTACAGAATACTGCAACATCAGTCGAATTAAGAGGCATCAAAACTATTTGCACACAATGGGCACCAAAAATTGAAGATATAATGCCCATCATTTCAGTAAATTCACCAAAGAGGGCAAAAAAAATGCCTTATAAAAAATGGGTTCTCAAAAGTTTTGCTGTTGCACAATGCTGGCACAAGACACTGCACACAAAATCGCTGTCATGGGGTGTCTTGTCAAGGTGACAACAATATTTGTGAAATTACTCAAAACGCTCTTTAAGTTGTCTTTTATACCCCAAAATCTCTTATGGGATGATTTTGAACTCATTTGTGCATCTCATGGGGCTTTACTCCCTCTTTCAGATGTAGTTACAGATCTGTAATGCACCGTCAAGTTTGTTTTATTACTTTGGAAATATGTGCATCATTTACGTGAAGGAGTACCCAGCACCATGGTGGTCCTATCTTTATATTACCCGTCATTTAGCAGGCATTTCCTCCTTCCGTGGCAGGTCAGAATAATACCGTAAATGTGCCAGCTTTTTAACCACGGAGTGCAATCCTCTGATTACTTGTTTAACCCTCGGTTTTGGTAAGGACCCAATTAGATGCTCTGCCATTGTGCCTTCGCCGGGTGGGCTGGCCTCTGCGTCAAACCAGTGGCTTCCAGCCCTTCTCGACAAAATAATACATATTCTGCTTGAGCATTATATCCTCTTTCGTCTTCAGGGTAGTTTTGGGGCGCTACACTGGTGGCGGTGGAAAACCAACTCTGTCTTGAAGGACAAACATCCTGATTTCTTTTACTGGGCAATAAACCTCAATGTGGCAGAAGAAGTGCATATACTGTGGATGGAGTAATCAGTGATGATCCCTAACAGAAGGGTTTGAAGTGACCTCTGTCCTCGGCAAATAACCCATTCCCGTATTCTGGTGGAAGATCATTCACAACTGAAGCGATATCAGCCGCGAACCATCAGGGAAATTCCTTTAGGGAGCTGTCTGCGGTACCATCATGCAGATGTCAATTTGGTGAACTCGCTATACCTTCTTCACTCCTCCATTAGCTGGATGTAACCCTGTTGGGTAAATGGCTAGGCAGCAAAGAAGTGAGAACAAAGTGACAATTAGGAATAGAAGCAAAGCCCTACCCCTACGGAACAATGGTAAATACAATCATTTGTTATTCGACTGCTTGTAGGGCAGTGTTCCTAATACTAGCGATGGACATTCGTGATGTATATCACATTCTCCTGTACCCCAATAAAGTTTTCCAAACAGGTCGAAACCCTAGATCCAGGGGAATAGTCAAGAGTGATCGGTGACATTGGGGTTAAAGATCTACTCAGTTACACGCAAATTCCATGACTACGGTGACGGACGATACGGGAGGTTGACCAAGGGGAGCGGCGGGTACGACGCTCAAAAGGGTAATACTTTGGTTGTTTATTTGATTTATTGGCTTGGTAACGGGCTCCACCACTGTCAAATACATCTAATCTGCCCGAGTAGCATGTCGTCTTTCGCCTATAGGGAAGTCTCCAGGCCCAGCAATATGGCTCGGACAAATACCGGTCCGATCTTTATATTATCAGTTACTCAACGGGCACGTCTTATCATCATTTCATAGCATCTTTGCTTCCGGTGGCAAATTAAAATAATGCTTTGAATGCGCCAGTTTTAATCAGTTGGGGGGACTTAAAACGCATCCCTTTTGGAAGTCCTCCAACCAACTTTGGGTCTTTTAGGCCACGAATAAGCACTCATTTAAATGTGGAGGAAATCATTTAGCATCAGATATTGACATGCAGTCTAGTGTACATTTATTTCACTTTTAGTTTCCGCAGGAAATGTTGGTCGAATAATCGTGTAAACTGTCGAAAATTGTTTTCCTTTTCATTACCAGAAATAAGCATTAGTAATTTGCCTCACGAGAAATACCTATCCTGGCCAGCCTGGCAACGTAAGAAGTTGAATTAATGGCCTTGGACAGAGCCTGCCGACAGACAAGACTACCTTCTGGACACTGTCTTACGAAGTTACTTAGTGAGGCGCGCTTTGATTTTGCGATCCACTTTAGCATATAGTTGAATTTACCCTCAACCATCATCTTCAATATTTAGAAATTACTCCGTTCGTCAACTATGACGCCAGTGTTTGGAAATTGAATTGTCGAATAAAAAAAATAGTGATAATCCCCTTTCCTCATATATTTTGCCTTCTCGTAGAATGTATTTTAATGTATATTCATTTGAATGTACCTTTGGGCGAGGGGCGGTCGTAAAGAGCTAGCCTCGTGCTGGATGGACACTCTCGATCCCCGAGGAGGTGGGATCGTACTCTGGACAAGCTTCAACCGTGATACCTGTGCTCCTTTATTTACTACTACCCAATAAATCACGTCCTCTTCCAATTCTTCTGCTCGTTTCAATTGCATGATGTTAGTGGTGGAAAGTGAAACACCGAGCCCTTTACAATTCCTGCATTGTGCAGCCGATTAAATAGAATTTCAGTAGTATTTCTCATTTTTATGTCCGAGCTCTATTGTGAGGTTGGTTAACTGTAGTTTACGAGTTATAAAATTTGAAGTACACGTTAGTCACGCTCTGCAAGTGGAATCTGTTTGATTTAAGATTGGTCAAGAAAAGGATGAACGGAAACTGCTACCAACCTGGTGAAAACTGGCCTTTGTCCGGAATAGGGCCTGTGTTAGTGCAGGAGTCTAAGCCTTTGTGTTCGTCGGAGATGTTTCAACCGGCAAAATGCTTTCTGCTTCATTTAAAGCAAAGTTTCGCGTCTTTTGACTGGATCTATCAGGGTTCTTAATGTGGAAAGCCCAAAGGACTACTATACGTTAATGTAGACGCTTCCTTCATAGTAATAAAAAGCTACCTTTATGAAGATCCTGGCGACTCTGGATACGGCCGAAATGAATTATTTCTTGCAGTATGCGGCAGGTCCTGAATTTTAAGACATTTTTTTAACGCAACCTTGGTTAAGCCAGAAAGCTATTACTACTGCCTTTTGCTGCACCGTTTTTTCGGTGCCTCGGCGATACGCGGCACTGTGAGGGTGGCTTGTTTTGCTCCCAAAATAGTTTGTATTACTAACAACATGCTCCGTTTTTCTTGCTTTTATATGTTTACGCATTTCGGCACCATTTTGCAGGGTGAACTGGAAGTGTTCCTTTCTTTTTGTATGGACTAAGATCAGATTGCCATCATAAGGTGGGTTTTGCTACGGTCAGATCGGATTTCGTTCGACTGCCATCTTCTAAAACCATCACATGCATAGCCTTAAGGCTTCCCTGAAGACAAATGATGACAATACTAGGACAGAATGTGTATTGCTGGTGTAGGGAAGAGCTAAGGGCTACTGTCATGGCCCAGAGGCCAGACCACCAGACGAAGGTACAATGGTAGAGCATCCAAAACCGAGAGATAAACAAGCAGTATACATGTTACACACAGCACAGACAGTCCAAAGTGCTTAACTAATGACCTTGAAATTTGATTATTCGTTGAATACACTTGCCTATAGTAAACTTCTACCGATGAGACCCCCAAATTTCTCAACTACTTAAGCGCACGCATTACTCATTTTCTCTTTCACCGGTATTTGCTCTCGTGATACACGGTAAAAGAATTTTTAGCCTGAAACCGTGTGGTTCAGGAGAAAGCCATGCAATCTTGCAGTTGTTTACCTTTTACTACTCTTTAATAAATATTGGAATTTAAAATGAATTCTCTTCAGTCAATGCAGGCGCTTCCATAAAGTAATAGTAGTGTGCCTTTCTTTGGGAAACGCTCTGTCAGTCCGTCACAAAGTAACTCAAATCGAGAGCGGTTTTCTCTATTAACATGGATGGGAAAAGCTCTCCAAGTAGCACAATGACCTCAAGCTTGGAACAAGAGTTCAATCCGTCAAAGCACTGAAACCCAAAACGAGTTACAGTGGTAACGTGGTGTTGTGTCGATCCCTGCTTGCATCACCATAGAACGCCTCTGATTCGATGCTGGATGGAAAGGGGAAGTGTAATTACACTGTCGACAAGAGCTAAAGTCATCGGTCTTGTGCTTGTCACCATTCTCCTTGCATTCGCATCACTGATCCACACACGTGAGCTTCGACTGATGTACACCCGAATGAATTTGGGTGAGTTTTTTTCGCTAACATTTTGAAATCTTTCGGTACCGGTGACCCACGCGTTTGATTCCTCCTCCGTCTGACACATCGCACTGAGTGACTATATTGTTATCCCTTTCCCCCCATGTTTGCACACGCGTCGACTTCTGGTAGGTAAGTTACGAATTCCATCCCCACCAGATGTCCGTCCTGGATCAAATGGAGTAGCTGTGTAAAAAAAGAACGCATGCGCTGTCACTAATCATCCTAACCTGGGCACCTACCCTCCTCCACTGTGGGATATCCCTCACTCTCCCTTTTCGGCATCCAGCATACTACCGCCGAAGCCGGAACACTCTACCTCATTGCAATTAGAGAGTACCTGAAAATGGTATTCGTCAAAAGATGTGCGGTTGTTTGTGTCTTTCTAGCCCTCGTAGCCATGCTGTTGGCTACACTTGGCTTCATTACTTATCAATACTGCAAAAGACGCGCTAGGGTCGGATGAACAATTCAGGCGATTGTCGTGGCAGCAGTATGGACTTCGCGCTTGGAGAGACCACGGCAGAAGTTTAGTCTAGAGGTTCATCACCAGCCCCACTTACCCTTTCACCACCTCACCTCGCCTAGCTGAGGATATCTTCAATTTTCTAAAAAAATTACGTGCTGCCTTGATCTCAGTGATTTGTTGTGATTGAAGGATATCTGGGACTCAGAGTGGTTTTCATTGCACCGCTTAACGAGAGAGATGCAAGGATTTTTCTAAGTTGGGTTTAGGAATCTTATTTATGAACATTTCAAAAAACATGGAAGCTATCCCCTATAGTCAGCTTGGTGTTAGATTTTGCCAAATATAACAGGCACGTTGGAATCAGTGGTGCTTGTTGAGTTCACGACTTCGACAGGATAACATAGGGGCTTTGTCCTTTTGGTCCACATCCCTGGCGATCACCTTTCGTTGCCTTCAATAATTCCATCTTCAAGTGGTCAAATACCTCTTCCCTGCAAAGATGCGTTTAATTCCTGTAGGTCTTGGCAACAAAGCGCTGCATGAGAGAAGGGTGTGTGCGGTTGATCTCCTGTTTTCCGGAATGTAGGTCCTAGCTACATTCACGTGCATCTCTAGAGCGAGCGGCATTTATTTATCCGGTATAACTGACATGCGCTGTGGCGCTCATTAAATGCACACCACGAATAAGACACCAACCGGTATTTAGTAAAGCATTCTAGAAAACACATAAATGTCATGGTTTAAGTTGGTTTGTGTTACTCTAGATGTTATGGAAATCATTAAATGAGAAAGAGTACTATGAGCGATTCAACTGTTGCCATGTAAGGAGGGCAATCAGTTCGTAAAATAGAATGGAAGCAGCCAGGAACCTATTTAATGAAATTTAGGAGAATATGATACTGAAAGCACATTTCTAATCTTCCTAAAGGCGATAGGACTCCGATGAGTTATTGGATGAGTCTTCGACGATTTCTGATAAAAAATGCATGCTCCTGGTTACATCTTTAGCAGCTACTGCTGATTCCGTTTGACATTCTAGAAATTGTTTCCCATCCATCCTTAGTTTGATGCAACCTCAGATCCACTACTAAAGCAAAATAAAAGCCTATCTCAGTTTATGCAGTTACAGACAAATCAGTGACTCCTCATCCAAAGTTGGCAAGAGGGCAGGGGGGCGTTGGTTTATAACCGCTTCCCTCATGAGAGAAAGCATCGGTTTTTCTGATGCAACTAAAGAATCTGTGAGGTTAGTTACTTGAAGTCGAGGTATAAGTAAAACAAATATGGCATAATCTACGGTGCTTATTAAATTCACGCTTTAAGTAATGCAATCTCGGGAACGAAAAGGTCACTCACTAAAAAGACATTATCATTTTGGATATTTTAGTTGGCAATAGGCCTAGAAACCCTTTGTCAGTCCACCCCATCAGACAAAAGTGATTAAAAGACAAAGGTTACTTACTTGACACAGTTACGTGTGTGATTTCCCCCGGTAGGGTATTTTATGGCTAAAACCTACGGAGCGTTGATTCGCTGATTCGCTTTAAATACGAAATGTCTTAATTGTTTAGCTCTTGGTCTTGGCAATACAAATTCGGCCCGGGCATTACATCTACAATCTTCTTCGGGGAAACTCGAGACAGTACAGAGTAAACCTCCTCCTTGCTTCTGTGCTTTTCTCATGCCGATAAACCGATAAACATTTTTTTTTGAAATAACTTGAGACTACTTAATCTATTTTCTTTAAAAACTTCCTTAAAACTGTAGAGGCTGTGGTGCTGATAGCTAGTAGGACTGATTAAACGCAAAAGAGGATTGGATTACGGCAGGAACTCTGAAGGCACCCGATAAGGTTTGCAGGGAACTCATCAGCCATACACATCATGTCTTACTATCGATAATAATTATGCTTCCCCGTTGTGTTCAACATTTCAATTCAAAGTTCAATTCAACCAAAATATGCTTCAGTAAACCCAGAAGTCAATGCAACACATGAATTCAACAATAGTGGAGAAATGTTTTGCTCACCACATATCTCCCATTAATGCGTGCACGGCATGGTCGGGGCATAAAATTCTTTCAACAACACCTGCAACAGAAGAGGAGTTGAAATGGGGTATGGGAAAAGACGGAGACGCCATGGTTTGGCCGTTAACTGTGTCCTCGCATTTGTTAATGTTTTTGGTGCCCCTAAAAGCTCTTCAGGGCGTTCGTGACCACTTGATTCAAAGCAAGGGGGTTGTTTTCAGTCCAGGTCTACTTAGCGGACAACGCCTCATCAAAGTTAACCTGACTGTTGATTGCACCCTGTTGGCAAAATAGCGAATGAGCTGGAGACCAGGAGAGCTTATGGATAAACTTTTATGGATAGAGCTGATGCCTTCTTATCCAAGAATGCCGTATCAGGTAGTGATCTGGCGTAAACAAATTCAATTTGTGACAATGATAGGACTGATACATCAAATTAAAGTGAGTGGAGGCCTATGAAATAAAAGAGGGTCCATCCATAATTGCGTCAAACCACCAAGATTTCGCTTCGTCCATCCCGGATTCTCAATGGCAATGGTCTGCGAAGAGAAAACTTCATCTCACTTTCACTATCACAATTCTCTTTTTGGAATTTATCGCTACTTATACTGATAACTGTGTTTACGCACTTGAAGGATGGAATCTTCTAGGGCAGCCATGGCAACAATGTAGCCAAAGCACCACACTGAGAATGTGCTATTACCAAAGTTCTGTTTGCACAAACTTAAAACAATGTTGCAAAACTTTATTAAAGGGGAATTAAATAACATTTTGAGGGCAGAAACGGCTCTCAAAGGTCTTAAATTCAATTCAAGACCCAAAAAGTTAAGAGATTAAGTGAGATCCGGAATGAGACAAGGATTGTGAATACTATACGCATCAATAAAAGAAAAATAGAAAGTTGATTATTTAAAATATTGCATCTAATGTGAAACTAAGTCAAAATCAACTAGTGCAGTTTTCTTATAATGGTGCCGTTCATCACTAACATTTTTGGGTACAATGCGTTATCAACTATGGGAGGGACATTCTGGTCCATAACTCAAAAGCATACACTTAAATCACCCATCAAACTTTTGCATACGGAAAATAAGTAAGTTCGGCGATAAATGTTGACCACTAGACAAACTCATAGAGGGAATGAATAAATTTGACAAAGCTGACATAACGTATGTGAGATGCAAATGGCCTTGTATCTGTTCTAAAATGCTACATTTGCTATGTCTAAGCACTTTGAAAGTGACAAATTCATCCGTTTTATACAAATTCTAGCACTTTTTATTTTGTTCTTTCGTTCGATGAAATTGGTGGAGGGCGACGCGCACTTTTCGAGGTCTTTTGGTCATGTCTGCGTTTCTTCGTGGTGGTCGTCTGGCTTTGGGTGCTCCAAGGCTCTGCTTGAGACTCTTCCAAACTCGGTCACAAGTTCTATGTAGTTTATTGTTTGACATTATTTTTTAAGCTCCTATCAAGATTGGCATGCCGTCCCTTTCCCCCACTATGGACAGTGGCAGTATCATTCAGTGGCACAAAAAGGAGGGAGATGAAGTGGCCCCGGGTGATCTTCTTTGCGAGGTCCAAACTGACAAGGCCGTTGTTGGCATGGAGGTCGATGAGGAGGGTATAATGGCCAAAATCCTTGTATGTTTGACGCTGTTCCCGTACCTCTATTTTATGGGAATGACCAAACTTGTGTTATATTAACACAGGCTTTTTTGGATGCACCGCTAGGATTTCACGGGGACCTTATAAGATGCAAAATAAAATATGAACGTTCTGATTCACAATCGTTTAGGCGGATGGCTGCTTCTAGTGTTACATTTCTTTGCTGCTCTCGTTCCTATCAAATTACGCGAATGCAAACTATATGCTTCCACTTATGCGGTGCGTCGCAAGTTTCTGAGGTGTTCCCCTTCAATCGTTCCATCATTATTTATCGCTTCAAGTACTTCCACTGCTCCGATGAATCGTAGTGCGGTTTTGCGGGTTTCGTTTGAAGGGTGTTTGCCCTTGTATGTTGACTTATGCATTTTAACTTATTTTCCCTCACTCTATATGGTCGCCACGGAGATTTGGTCGTTGTATCAGCTCGTTTATAAAAACAACTACTCCTATTATTTTGGTTTTTAACTGCTTAGTGTTGTTCCTGATAAACTCAGCGTCTCACAGAGGATGGTTGATGATTATAATGACGTTTTATCAAGCTGAAAATCACATCTGCTTCGTCTGCTGGTTGAAACTTTTCCTGTTTCGTCACATCTACAGCAACCTGAGGGTAGCGTTAACAAAGTCGGTGACATCATTGCAGTATTGGCCAGCGCCGACGAGGACTGGCAGGTGGTAAGAGAGAATGCGGAAGCTTTCGTTGCCTCTCTGGGTGGTGGTGGTGGCAGCAGTAGTGATGATGCCGTACAAACCACTGAGTCTTCTGTACCTTCGACCCCTGCATCTACCCCTGCTGTTCCTGCGTCCGCCGGCAAACAGCTGCCCATCGGTCCCGCTGTTCGTCTTCTCCTCTCTTCCTACGGTCTCTCGCCCCAACAGATAACTGGGACTGGGCCCAAAGGGACGGTTCTCAAGGGGTTTGTGCCTCTCGTTATCACTCTGTCACCCCTTGTGATGGAAACTGGTTTAATTACTTATCCTCCTTTAGGGACGTTCTGGCGTACGTGACAAGCAAGGGCCTACAGAAAGTGCCTCAAGTGGCGTCGTCAGTTTCAGGCAAGCCAGCAACGGCTGGACCGGCCACTGTCCCAAGCCGTGGACCTGCTGTTTTGAGCTCCGGCTATGTCGACATCCCCGTGGATGAAATGCGCGAGATCAGTGTGAAACGTCTCACTGAGTCAAAGGCTACTATCCCGCACGTCTACACCAGCGCCACCTTTACTGTAGATCGTCTCTTCGCTCTACAGAAAGCCATCAATAAGGCCCAGCTGGTCGACTCTAGAATTTCTATCAATGATCTTGTTCTCAAGGCCTGTGCCTATGCTTTGCGGGTAAGTTTCTGTCGCCGTTACCGCAATATTTCGATCGCCAACCGTGCCGATGCTGAGCATGTGAACGTGGACCGTAGCGGATTGTTCCGTCTTCCGTTTTAGAGTGGCGGTATATTTAGGCTTCCCTTCATACCTCAGGTTTTATAAACCTTTAGGACTGATTTTCCGTAGAATACTTTCTATACTCCTTGTTTACCATCTAAATGTGACTAGGTCCACCGCAACATCTCGTATTAAGTCTTTCTTGATACCAGGAACCAGTATTTTGTTTGTAATGGCTATTTTTAAAAACTACTTCGATTTATTACGTGGGAGAGTGGTGTTGAAATGAGAGAATAACCGCATCGATTAAAGAAATAACCTTATCTGGCTTTTTTTACGAGTCGAACGGATTTTCGAAATTTTCGCATAACATGCCATGCTTTAGAAGCATCTGGTCATTCGTTCTGTATTGGTCCCTGTTTAAACCCGAGTGTTTACTGACACCATAGGTTTGCCTGTGCTTTTACTGGTTCCACATGTTAAGTAGCTCCACTCTGCTACTTGTCAATTTCTATGATGGTAAAGGGACATGATAAATTTGAGACATTCTGTGTACCCGTTAGTGGTTTTTTTTGTAATTGCCTGCTCGGTGTAGCATTTGGTATTTAGCTGCTATTTTTGCGCATCGGTTTGTTACTATTGAATCTCTTTTATTGTAACTATCTTTCCTGTAACATTAGCTCTCCTGTGGCCACTTTAACAATTTTGTCAAAGTCCCATTTACTTATTCTACTTTCTAAATCCCAACTGGCTTGACCGATAGCAGCGGTCTGAGAATGTGGACTTTGTTTCAATTCCAATTCCAAATGGACTTCCATTGCTAGTTCGTTGAATCAGAGGTATTTTGTCAAAAACATAGAAGTCCTTCTGCTCATTGCCAGTTGCTCTTCGTTACTCAAAGCAGAAGCGGTTTTCCAACTTGCGTCGAGCTATATAGTGGCAGTTAGTTTGAAAACGGCTGCTAAAAGGGTTTCATGTTTGTACAGTTGTCGGGTTAGTCTTATTATTCATTTGTCCACTTCGTCTTTCTGCTATTTTCGTATGGAATGTATTCGCTTCATTTAAGCTCACTTTTTCTCCGCCCTCCAGTTGGTACCCGAGGTGAACGGTACTTCAACGGCAAACGGGACGGTGTTCCACCGGGCTGGTGAGGTAGACATATGCGTTACCATCTCCACACCCTCTGGCTGTATCACTCCTACCGTCAGGTCTGTCGACCATCTTCCCATCTCGAAGATCTCGGCCCGCGTCAAAGACCTCACCACTCGGGGATTTGAAAATAAACTCAAGCCTGAGGAGTTCACCGGTGGCTCTTTCACGTATGTGACTTCATCCTCTCCAATGATAAATAGTAGTATTTAGGGTTTGAAATAGGCTTTTCATTCTTTGAGCGAATCATTATTTAACCAATGTTCAGGATATTTCGCCTATGTGGGAGTCACTGTCACTTGGACTGCAGTTTAAGGCTGCAAATGGAAAGGTGACTTGGATTCATTTCCTATAAATTATTCTAATCTTTTGCCTCAATATGGGTGTTTTTGCATATTGTCAGGAGTGCAGCTTCATCTTGTCTTCGTTGCTTTTCTGTTGTGAAGGTCGCCAATCGTTTCAAAGAGTAACCTAGGGTAGATTCCGGCCTTGTTTATGTTCTTGTTTAGGACATTTTCTTGGCTGTTATTCAATGTCATAACTACGATTTCCATCTCGATCTCCATTAACTGAAACTTCGTTGTCCTAAAGTGTTTCTGAAATGATTTGTTTAATTTGTTAATGAATATTACACTTGGTTTGACTATGAGCTGACGGCTACTTCGGGGTTCCTTCCAAATAATCCTCATTTTTAAAATGTACTTAAATTTCTATTCAGTAAGCCCGAAGCCGGCACTTTGTGTTCAGTTTGTGACGATCCCAATGATTTAATCCAGACCAGATTTTTGTTAACTATAGCTTCACTTTTTGACCTGGCGTTATCAATTAGCCAACAACTACCATTGAGGTACCATGTACTAATTAGTTGAGTACTGTAGTTGTTAGGTAGCTTGTTGGTAACTCTCATTTACGATCTAGTGATGAACCATACCCATGTGGTTTAGTCTCAAATCTTCATGCCATTTTGGTTGATATTTGTTAAAATTCATGTGAGCATACCATCCGACCTAACTGGTTTTTAATTTGGATATCGCTACCAAATTTCCTGCTTTGAGTAACTAAAGCCAACCTTTGAATGCATATTGAATTTCCTTGAGATTACCTAAGTCTTCAGCAACATTCTCACGCCTTTTGAATTGGCGGAACGCCTCTAAGTCGGTATTTTCTTCAGTCTTATGAATTGACACAAATTTGAGAGAAGTAACTGCTTCGGATAATTTACGTATAATAGGCTCTAACGCATTTCTCAACCACAACTTCGTTTGAACTCGACCGGTGGCTATAGGTCTTTCCAATAAATGACTCCGACTGCTTTTGTTAATCTTCCCTCCCCCCATCCTCCTCCATCTCCAGTCTCTTAAATCTGGGCATGTTTGGAGTGCGCGAGTTCTCGTCCATCATCTGCCCACCCCAAGTGGCCTCTTTGGCCGTCGGCAGTGGCCAGAGTCGCCTTCGCCTCTCGCCCAGCGGTGATTTTGAGACCGTGACCACGCTGACCCTCACTCTCTCCGCTGATGCGCGTTTTGTCGATGAGGTGACTGCGGCCCGGTTCCTCCGTCACGTGCAGAACTATCTTGAGTCCAACCCTGAGGGCCTTTTTGAGGACGATCCACTTCTGGCCGCCAAGGCAGGCTGCCGCGACCTCTCCGTTATGGCCTTCTGAGGTTATAGAAGCCACTTGCGTGTCTACACGCCTTTCCATTTCTCTGGGTCTTCGCTATCTACCAAATATTGCGCAAGCCCAGTGCAGGATTTAGTAGTTATCTGTCCTTGCTTTTTTTCTTTAACCAAACAACTAGTTTGATACTGTTCCAATTGTGTCTTCAGCTAGGCAAGATGGGGAAATACAAATAGGGCAGCATCCACGAACATAGCGCTCTAAATTGCGATTGATGCAGGAGGAGGTGAATTGGTGTCTCTGTGGAACGAGCTCCTCCAAATGCCTCCTTTAGTTCCATCTGGAACAAAGAATGGGTCAGGTTCTCGTCCCAGATCATAACGTGCTTTCCGAGTTTGGAAGGTTGGTAATAAACTCACCTCCCTGAGTCTCGTATCGCTTGGGAAGCATCCTTTTGAGCCAATAAATGTTTGGACGTAATCCATGATCTAAAATGTGGAAGTGGTTTGTATCCTATACTGTAATCTGTGTGGACCTTACTTCTGGTCGGGTACTCACCTTCTGAACCACTTCTTTTGACACTTTGAAATCCTCCTTAGGTTTCTGACCGGCCTCTGGGTAGTTGAAGAGGCTGCAGTGTGCGCATAGGGAAAGAAGGGTTTCATTATACGATTTTAAGTAAAATGTTTGTATTCCGTAGTTAAGGTTGGGCCTTTGAGTAATCTCAAGTGGAATGCTCTTTCCTGAGTCATGGGCTTATATGTCCGCCGTCTAATGTGGGGTTTTTGCTTTTTCATTTCACTTCTGGAGCTCATTCGGGATTCCTAGTCATATGTCCCACTGATTGGTTTTATGGCGGGACCCGTGTACGTAAATCCCCCAGAGTGTAATTCGTTCGAGGATATTCACGAGACACGCAGAACGGGGATTATGACTCACCTCCGCAATAACCCCACGAAAAAGCACCGAAATGATCGAACCAGCTCATTAGTCCAGGAGGATTCTATGGTGGTGTGCCATCCAATCAGTCAATCTATCCAGAGTCGCTAATTCCGTAAAGGGTATACCAGTACCTTTTCAGATCACGACTTTCTTTGTTTTGGTTTATGAAATTCTCAGTTTTCGAGTTGAAATAATGCCAATCGGCCATCAGAACTGGTTTAATTGGTTCAAATTACTGTAAAACTAATAGTTTGGTTTGTTTGGTAGTGACTGTTAACTACGTAGAAGCTAGAAGTAAGCTTTTGATTTGGGCCAGTTGTAACCTGTCGGATTTGCGAGTCAGCCGTGGTCTTGCAACTCTTGCTCAATAGCGGGTCGGCGAGAACCACCCCGCAACCGGACTATCCATTTGAATTTGACTCAATTCCACAGTCATTTCGCAAGTTAAGGGCGGTTAAAGCGAAGCGCCGAGGTGGTATTGACGACTGCCACTTGAGTGAGGTGAGGCATGAAGGTACTAGGACTCCTCTGATAGACAGTTTTGGAAGAGTGGATTTTAGCGCTGCCAGTGTTAGTGCTGTCGCAGCAAAAGCACACTCGAACAGCCTCAATTCTTTCCTCAGGTGATCAGATGTGTCTGTTGTCATTCGTCAAACTTCCCGCGTCTCGTGTCTCATTGGTGTTGCTACTTTTTTCAAGTTCTCGTAGCCTATTTGAGATTCGAATTTAAAGTCTGCCATTGACCATTGTTATTTTAGATCGATCGAAAAGCCTCGGCAAATTATCAAAATTGGTCGGATAAGCCACTGAACAGTACAGTGAAGACATGGATGGCCCAAATCCTACAGCCCCCCAAACAGGAACTCTTGCAGTGCAGGCGTAGTCGAGGTTGCCACTTTAAATCACGCAATCCGCTGCGATTCCCTGTAATTTGACGGTTAGGGACGACTCCTCCCACTCTGTATTCGCTGACCCTGCGCAGCCGCGGCTCCCTTGATCGTTGAGCGGAGTTTTCTGACGTTCGTGCCCACGGGGACATAGATTTTGCTTATGTATTCTTCGCCTTCACATCAAGATAATCGCCAACCACAAGGGCGTTTAAGAACAGTACCACTAATGCTAATTTAAAGTAATGCACATTTGAAGGGAATGTTGGAGGCATAAACGTCTTAGATTTAGTATTTCAATCAACTTTGCCGAAGTTGATGTGCAAACTCACTTGTGGAGGGCCTGAGTGGTTTGTGGTGTCGGGAGTGGCAGTGCGGGGGTCTGCAGAGCGGCTAGACTTCTCACAAGGCTGTCAAATGGCGAGGAGTAACCGGAGGCAGCGAGGGAAAGCATCAGGTCATCCATTTCCACCATCTGCCCCTCCTCTCCAGGCGCCTCAAAAAGGCTGAGAAGTAGGTCCCACACTCTGGAATCCTATCATGCCACAAGAAACAGAACAGGAAATAGTTGGGTCTTTTGTTCGGTTGCGGTTGTAACGTGTTGGGCTGCTGTTAGGTGTGTACCACCGACATATTTGTGCGATGTTTTACGCGAACCTTTCCACTCTGTCTCGATTCGGCCTCTATGCCGATGGTGTGGGACTCTGCTCATGCCGTTTGTGCTAGTAGTCCTCCATCCCTCCTGTGGGTTTACATTCGGCTTAATTTCAGACTCATCGGCTTTGTAGCGTCTTCACACACGCACCGTCTACTTAAAAGTCTACTAATTCTCTGTCGACTCAACTGAAAGCGTTCAAGATCTAATGAACGAGTGTGATGTGGAAATAGTAGCCTTTTCAAAGAGTCTCAAAATCAAGAACACTCAACGAGGAAGCGTCAGAGGCAGAACGTCACTTGGCGGTCCAAAAGAGCATCAATTTTAACTTGTAAGTGCTATTCGCCTCACCAACTTGACTCCTTCACTGGAAGTGATCTTTTTAACCTCCTCTGTTGGCAAGCGCAGTCCAACAAGCGTCGACTTGGCCATTTCATGCACAGTCCTCCGGAGGACGCTCAGACTCTCCCACATCTGATCACTGGATGAATTCAGCATCCTCATAGCAGCCGCGACGATGAAGCGTCTCCAGTCCACCGAGGACACCACACTTAGCCCTGTTGACTTGGTGCCTTGAGGGACAATGAAAGCCTTCGCCAGTTCCATGGGGTCACACTCCCACTTGTCGGTCATCAGTTCAACAAAAAGCTTTTCGCATATGCATCCATGAGGCGCCTCCCTCCGGAACTTGGACGCGAAAAAATGCAAAAACAATAGTCCCATGAAAAGTCGGTGTTTTTTAATTTCTGTCGAGAGTTATTCAGATTCTGGTTATGAATTGACAGTCGAGGGAAATTTTATCAACAGTTCTAAAAGTAGAGCTTAACAAGCTTTGTTCTTAAGACAGGGATAATTACGAAGTGGATTTCTCCTTCGTTTCCTTCACAGGTGCACCTCATCCACCCATCTGAGTTCACACTTCCAGCACAGCTGATGCAGTTCAAAAAATAAAATCGGGCTCCTCGATCGCATCCCCGCTAACTGTTCGTCCGCGATGGTGCGATTGAGCCCTTTGATGTCATTAAAAATGAGTGAAACTGGATTTCCTAATGAACTCGACAGTTGGTATGTTTAATGGTCTGACAGGCATCTCAGTCGCCATTCTTCACTGAGAGTGACCAAGGGGGGAAACTAAATGGGACTGAAGATGTGTTCTTAGGCTAATGCATTGTTCCCATGAATGTTTGTTTCAACTTCAGTACTAGTGGGCTAAAAATAAACAGGCTGTCTGCTATTTTAGACTGGATGCAGGAAGAGATACCGAGCAAGAGAAGGTGTTCGTGTGGTTTTTGCCAAAGCTCCCTGCAATGGCTTCTTCTAACTTACAGGGAGTTGCAGAACACACGCCAGTGTTCACATGCAGATGCAGAGGAGTATGCGGCGGTCTGTTAGTGCGGTCCTCTTTCTTGTGCTTAAACTTGGCACATGCGAATCAAGTTTCCCTGTCACTTTCCAAACCTAGAATGAATTCATCATCGACGCTGTGGCTGCGGACACAGCTGTCGTATAGCCGCTAGTATGGAATTTGGAAGTGTGACACGGGATGATAGAACGGATCGTCTGGGAATAGCCCACTGATAGATAAATGTGTTACCTCCTGGGTGGCGCTATATCCTTTTGATCGCGCCTATTTAAAGCTAACAATGAGGTTAAAATATTGAGGATGGGTACATTAAGTCTTTTGCTCTTGACCGTCTGCCAACTGACTGGACCTTGATGCGAAAGGGCTTCGTATTTTAGCTTTCATTAGGCGAGTGAGCATTTCCTCCACCATCCTGAGACAGTCTAATCATTAAGTATTCTACACTTCCGAGTTATACACCACCTCATCCCCACAAGACTGTGCCTGCCTTGTGTGTGTGTGTGTGTGTGTGTGTGTGTAGTAGGAAGGAAGAGAGAGAAGGAGGATACTCTCTACT